TGGTGATTTTTCTCATGGCCTGGTCGGGGGGTGTCCCCCTGTGCCAAAAGTGTGTGGTCCTCCCCACATGGCTGCAGTAGCGTGCTTCTCTTTAATGGGTGCTGAGTTTGGGTTTAAATATCCTTCCAGCTTTACTGGGCTTCATTATGAGTCTGCGCAGGGGTGGCCCCGTGTCATGGAGCCAACCATGAGAGATCCAAGCTTTCACGCAGGTGCTGTAACTAGGGGGGTGGCCTCCTAGGCGCTGTAACTAGGGGAAGTTCCTTCCATCCCCTTGGCTCAGAGCGTGGCCACAGCTATTTAACGTATCTATGCAACCAGTTAAAGGTTATAGATATGTTAAATGACCATGCCAGAGGTTAGCTGCAAAAGTTAGTTGCTATGCAAAACAGCTCTGAATGGCCCTGCTCCAAGTGTCCCTTTCCCCAAATCACACCTGTAGTGGAGGGTGAGGACATTCTATGTATCTTTATAATATTTCCTGGACACCTTGAGTTCTGAACCCCATTACAAATCCTTCTTTTGGGGGCCCTCTGGGTGCACCCTCCTGCACCATCACTCAGGTGAAAGCACAAGGCTCCCAGAGGTCAGGGGCTTGAAGTGGGGGGGGGGCAGAGGCTAGAGTGGGGGTGCCCCATGGAGGCTCGTCTCAGCCTTGCAGAGAGGCCAGTGAAGAAGGCCTCTGCCAGCTCCCTTCTGTGGGATTGGCCGGGGCGCTGTGCCTGTGGAGGGCCCAGGGATCTCCTCCTTCAGCTGCACCCTCCTGTGGGTTTGGGAGAAAGATCCAAAGGTGACCACACCTCCTTGCCCTGCAGCAGAGATTGCAGATGTGGCTTCTTTCAAAATACTGTGACCTGCACAGTGACTAAAAAGACTAGAGTCACTGCCAGCGGATTTAGTTCCCAGAACTGCTGTGACAATGTCCAGCACGTGTGGCATGTGGCTTAGAGCAACAGAGTGCCCTTCTCTCCTGGAGGTGGGAAGTCCAGGTGTCAGCAGGGCCACGTCCCTTGAAAGGCCTCAGGGGAAGGTCGTTTCGGCTTCCTCTGTCTCCCGGCCACCTCTGAGGTCCTTGGCCTGTAGATGCATCACTACAATCCTGAGTTCGCCTTCGCATGGCCTGTCCTCTATATGCGTCTGTCTGTCTTTGTCCCGATTTCCCCTTTTTTATCAGGAAAACTAGTCATGTTGGACTGGGGCCCGCCTTAACCTCATTTTCATTGGATTACCTCTGTCAAGACCCTATTTCCAAATAAGGTCAAATCTGAGTGTTATGATTGAATTCAACATAGCTTTTTTAGGGGACGCAGTAATGGTAACAGTTAAAAAATAGTGACTACCCAGGAATATAAAGTACAGCATAGGGAATATAGTCAATGATATTGTATTAAGTGTGATGGTGTCAGATGGGTACTAACTGGGGTATTACTTTGTAAGGTATATAAATGTCTAATTGATAGGGGTTTAAGACTTGGGAAAATTTAGCTTAAGGTAAATAGTCATAAATCTAGCAAGTAATGTGTATGTTAAGTTTTTGTTTCAGTAACTACAGATAAGGCCCATCCTGGCGCCTGGGATTCAGCAGTTGACCTCCTGGGTCACTGGCTGGAGATTACCTCAGTCTGAAGATGTCTGTACCAGGAAGAAGCAAGGGACTAACTACCCTTCCCCCCTGGAGGCAACTGTTGAATTTCAAAGGCTTTAGCTGACACCTTGTTTGCCCTCCCCCAATCCCCTTATAAAAGATCTGACTGGGAAAGAAAGAGGGAGATGGTTTGTTAGGGTATGAACCCGCCATCTTCTTGGATCGCCGGCCATCTGAATAAAGTGCCTATAAAAGATTCAATCACTGTCATTGCTTATTGGATTTGGTAGTGACAGGCAGCCCGAACGCCAGTCTTTTCCGGTTACATAATCACTATGTTATACACCTGAAACATGAAATTGTATGTCAACTAACTAAAAAATAATTGTTTAAAAATAACTTTAATTATTTTTAGGATTTTATTTATTTTTAGAGACAGGGGACAGAAGGGAGGAAGAGGGAGAGAAACATCAATGTGCAAGAGAAACAGATTTGTTGCTTCTTGCAGGCCCCCAACCAGGGACCTACCTGGTCCTCAACCCAGGTAAGTCCCAGACTGGTAATCTAATCAGTGACCTTGTGGTTTGGAGCCTGGCACTTTTGCCTTGCTGGGTAGTTCAGTTGGTTAGAGCTTTGTCCTGATACGTTAAGGTTGTTGCTTCAAAATCTGGTCAATGTACATACAGGAAGTAACCAGTGAGTGCATAAGTGAATAGAATAACAACATGATGTTCTTCTTGCTCCCTTCCTCTCTGAATCCATTGAAAACATTTAAAAAATTGAAACCCTGGCTGGTGTAGCTCAGTGGATTGAGCAAGGGCTGTAAACCAAAGGGTCGCTGGTTCAATTCCCAGTCAGGACATATGCCTGGGTTGTTGACCAGGTCTCCAGTAGGAGCCATGTGAGGTAACCACACATTGATGTTTCTCTCCCTCTCTTTCTCACTCCCTTCCCCTGTCTTTAAAAGTAAAATTAAAACTAAGTAAAACCTTAAAAAACATTTTAAAAATTGTAACCATCCTCTTTAGTTGTGCCATAGTCCTTATCAATCTATATCCTTGAGTCTTGAGGCAAGGGATACCACAGTGTACTGCTCTGTACACATTACCTTTGCCTTAAGCTGAGAGACCACAGAGGGGGCAAGCAATGTAGCTGACCCCAGTCATGCACTCTTCAAATCTAGACTGTGTTAGGGTGATCCAGAAGTGGGTGTGTCTTCTTTACCCCCTTTTCCCCATTCTAGCCGCTTGCAGCGTGTTGGAATTAACGGAGCCGCACATGAAAGGAACTAGGTCCAAATCGGCACTTCCGAGCTGACAGCAACCCCAGACCAGGAACACCTGTTTGACAGTGCACATGAATGCAAAAGTGACAGGTGGCCTGTCTTGCAGAGTTTGCTCAGGTCCCCAGCCTCCTTTCTTCCTTTAACTCCAAGACACCAGGCACACAAACCACTGACAGGCTCCGGAACGGTGCCCTGTCCACTCCACCAGACTGATGTCTGAGCCCATTCCCCGTTCTGTTAAATGCAGCAACAAGCACAGCAGGATGGTCTAGATTCGTGGGGTCTTAGGTGCTCTCAGGAGGTGGGAGGGGTGTGAGGAGCCGAAGCACAGGGGAGGACCCAACCCTTGCCTCTGTCAGGACCAGGGCAGGCCTAGTCTTAAGGAAGGCTTGTCTACTGCAAGTTTGAAAATTATTGGGAAAATCCTCTTCCCTCTCCCAAACAGTATCATCCTAGGAAATCTCTGCTCTTTATTAGTGCCCTTGCTGCAGGAAAGTTTGGGCATCAGTAGGTCATATCATTTCTAGGGGTCTGTGCAGTGTTTAGTGCGTTTACACCTAAAACCAAAGACCAGACACCTTGTGAGACTGAGCATGAACTGATAAAATTGCAAGTGGATCCGAGTTTATTAAGTAGGGAGTGGAGAAGGTGCGGCAGAAATAGTAGTGTGCAACACCCAAACGGAAGAGAACCTAAGATTCCTGGAAAAAAAATCAGGTACTCAATTGGCCACTTCCTCCCCCATTGACACAGGGACTTGTCAGGGCTGGTGGTTGGTCCTGGGCTTTCAAGGCTAGGCCTGGGACGCAGCCAAACCCACCAAAATGGCTGCGACTGTGAAGCCCTGGGAGGTGATCTGGGAGCGCATCGTCAGCTGGGGTCGCCGCCTCTGTCCCTGGTGGAAGCAACACAAGTCGTAGGTGAGGGCAGCCGCCGGTCCCAGTCAGCCTGTGGAAGGGACGAGGCAGGTGGCGCGAACGACCGCTGAGATCCTTTGGAGCTTTGGACCTTCCTTCCTCGGGTTCCGTATCTCAGAACAGTCGGGAGCATTCTAGGGGGTCTGCCTAGGTGGGAGGGGCTAGTCAATGCCGGATGTCTGGTATTAGGAATCTCTACAGCATCTCAGGTCAATTTTCCTGCTCCAATCAGGTTCAGCCCTCACGCCAGTCTCCGCCTCTGACATTTTCTGGTCCATTTCTTTTTCCGGCCCCCCTTGGCGTCACAGGTCCTCTCCTATTTCATTCCTCTCGCCATCAACGTTTTTGTGGCTTAAAGTTCCTACAACACTCGCTTGCCTATTGATAGTATTGGGTTTTCGCGTGTCTTGTGTTGGATCATTTCCTGAAAAGTTCCCGTTCTAGAGCACTCTTTCAGGGTCTTTGGTGGAGCCCAAGCCTTCACATCTAGGCACCAGGGCGTTCTGCCACACTGGCCCCCGTCTCATTGCCTGGGCCTAGGCCGAGGCATCTGTCGGAGGAGACAGCCTTGGGGTGATTCAGCTGCAAAACAAATGACCCAGTCGTCCGTCTCCAGGCAGAACACCAGGGTTTTCCTTTGCTTACAGGCTATCTGCCTGTCTCCTGCCTTCCACTCCCCAAAGACCTTCCTTTCCTCCAACCCCTCTCGGGATAAGAGGGAGCCTGAGCAAGCAAGTGTGTGTGTGGGGGTGGGGAGGAGAAAACCCCGCCTTGCCTGCAATATTCAGGGCAGGGGTGGCCTTTTCCCGAACTAGACCCCTGCTATCGAGTGCCCACTCGGGGAGCAGACGCCGATCGTCACTCCCGCACCTTCGCGGAGTCTGGCTCCGGCAAGTAGACTTAGGGCAGAAGCCCAAGGAAACAGATGTGGTAGGTAACTCCCTGCGTCTCCATCCCTGCGGGGTACTCCGCCCACGCGGACGAGGCTTAAAGGGCCGGGAGGGCTAGCAGGTGCCGCACAGCCCCTCCCGCTTCCAGCGCAGGCCGCACCCATTTGGGGGCGGTGCGCCCGGGCCTATTCCTCCCGCGGCGGCCCTGCTTTAAGTGGGGGCGGGATTGCATGCGGCGGTTCTGCGGAGGTCCTGTGCTTTGTCGGTGGTTGCGGGTCGGGGCTGCAGGGGGCCGGCCGCCGAATTCCCGGTAAATGCGGGAGAGGAGCGAACGGCCCCGGGAAGCGCGTGCGGCGGCTCCCACGAGTGTGATGCGGCCCAGGCTTGGGGAGATCTCTGGGTCGCGACGGCTCCGTGGGGTGGCAGAGGGAAGCCAACCTGTGCCGCGTACCCTCAGTCTCTCGCGGGGCCCAGCCCTAGCCGCAACCTACGCTGTTGTCCTTTCCACCAAGGGAGGCCGGGGTGGGGGCGGAGGGAAATGAGCGGCGCGGATATTGGACCTCGGCGCTTTCCGTAGCACGGCCTGGGAGGCGGGCGCTCGGGGTCTGGGGACGGTGACAAAAGGAGGGAAGCGGAGGGCCGTTACAGCCCGGGAAGGTAGAGCGTGGGGTTTGGGCGCCGTTGCTGGGAGGGCCTCTGCTCAGCCGGCCCCTCCTGGCCTCCGCGCAGATACCTGGCCCGCCTGGCTCAGCGTGCGGAGCGAAGGTAGGAGCGAGGACAGCGCCCCCTCTGGCCCGGTGGCTCCGTCTCACGGTCCGGTGGCGGCGGGCGGTGGGGCCATTTGCCCGAGTGCGCTGCGGCGCGAGCTTGGGCCTCTCCACCTGGGTCCGGACGTAGGACTTCCATGGAAGCCAGGCCTGGACCCTGGGCCTCCCGGTTCTTCGACTTACTCCCCAACAGATAGGCGGGATGAGACGATTTAGCACCTTAGGCACCCCCACCCTTTCCGGGACGGAAACCGGAGCCAGGCCCCTGGGGTCCCCGGGAAAGGGAAGAGTTGATGAGTCGGTTGGTAACGTTGGTCCAAGCGGTTAAGAAGTTTGGGGTCGACCAGAAATTTCTTAGGGAGAGGCCATGCATGACCCAGAGTCTTGGGTGTCCCGAATGGGGATGGGGGTATGGGACCTTCTGCGTTTGGAGGAGGGAGTGTGACCTGAAACAGGAAGCTGTAGTCTGGTCATCATCCTGCAGAATGAACAGAATCCCTTCCTTTGGCCTCTTTCGGGCGTTTTCCTTCCTTGAGCCAGAGGAGTGGGACTTGTGGTGGGCTGTGTGTGCTAGGGTGGTACAGCTCTGGGTGTCCATTTTGCATCGGAGCGGCGCTTTTGGGGTTCTGGGAGAGTGGCCAGAAGGGGCTTTGTGGTGTTAAGGGTGTTCCCATCGCTGGGGGCAGAAGTGTGAGCTGCAAGGCAGTGTATCCGGTAGGGCAAAGCTTCTGAAAAGGTCTGCAGAAGAGTTATTGGTGTGTCTGTTGAAGAAAGAAAATCAAGTCAGGAAACTGCCTGTTAAGGCAGCCTAGAGTAAGGTAGATACAAGGAGGGTGGGTAAGCAATTGCCCCAGCTTCTGCAGACCCTTGTGAGGTCTTTTAAAATAGAACCTAAGTTTTCCTCTATTTTCCAGTCTGAAGTGGTGTTTCTCAGAGTGTGGTCAACAGCCTGTTTGTGACTCACGGAGATGCTATTTTAGATAATTTATTCATTTAGTCAATGTGCATTTTTTGAATGCCTACTGTATTCCATCTGCAAACTATTTGCAGCTTCCTGGGCTGCTCACTGAACCACTGTCTCTGGATTATGCTTGGGAATCCATCTCCGGCACCTGGTGATTTAATGCATATTGAAGTTGGAGAACAAGTGGCCTAGGGCAGAATTGGCCAGACCCCAGCCAGCCGACCCAATGCAGCTTGATACCTGTTTTTCAGCCTGTGAACTAAGAATGGTTTCTACGTGTTTTAAATGGTTGGGAAAAAGTCAAAAGTAATGTTTCGTGACACATGAGAATTATATGAAGTTGAAATTTCAGTGTCTAGAAGTAAAGTTGTATTGGATCATAACTACTGTTCATTTATGTGGTGTCTGGCTGAATAGTTGTAACAGACTTCATGGTCACAAAGCCTAAAATATTTACTATCCATCTTTGTTTTTATAGAGAGAATATAAAGAACATTGTTGGCCCCTGGCCTAGTGAAAGAAGGAAATGTGGAAGGAAAGAAAAATATCTGTCTAGAAAAATCATGTTTAGAAATTAATAGGTAAAGTGGATTTAGGTAAATTTTAATTAAAAAAACAGGGAATAGTGTATTCTGGATTAATGGAAAAATATTTAGATAAATGCAGACATTTACGTAGGGTTTTTGTAGAGATTGTGAGCTTGTGTCCTTACTAAATTGGCTAATTTAGCCCTGGCTGGTGAGGCTCAGTGGACTGAGTGCTGGCCTGAGAACCAAAGGGTTGTTGGTTCGATTCCCAGTCAGGGCACATGCCTGGGTTGTGGGCTAGGTCCCCAGTAGGGGGCATGTGAGAGGAAACTGCACATTGATGTTCATCTCCCTTTCTTTCTCCCTTCCCCTCTCTAAAAATAAATAAAGAAAATCTAAAAAAAAAATAAATTGGCTAATTTATATATTTCTTTTCATAGGCTGGGTGAACTCATGGACCTGATACTTTTCTCTTGAGAAGTAAACTAGATCAAAAGGAAAATGGCATTTGTTGCAACACAAGGGGCCACCGTGGTTGACCAAACCACTCTGATGAAAAAATACCTTCAGTTTGTAGCAGCTCTCACTGATGTAAATACCCGTGAGTTGATCCTTTTTTGTTATTAAGAAATGCATTAATGTGACTCATGCATCTCAGTTCAAAGACTGTACACATGGAGACAAATAGGAATATTAACTTTATCCTGATTTCTTCTTTCCCTGCCTTGTGGAGAAGCAAAGTGATGAGCATTACTGGCTGGAGCCCCAGAGGCACGTGTGTGCATGTGTATGCATGTGTGTTTCTCTGGGTCTGTGCATGCACACGTATGTCTGGGAGTGTGAATGTGTGTGGCTGGCTGTAGGGACCTAGTTATGTGCCTTCTGTGGGGCCATGACAGTCAAACTGATAAGATCTGATTGCTTCTCATATTCAGTCCAGTAATTTTAGGAACATCCTTAATGTAATTGCAATTATCTGATGATTTGTTTTGTCATTTTACAGCTGATGAAACCAAGTTAAAAATGATGCAAGAAGTTAGTGAAAATTTTGAGGTATGATCTTTATTATATTTTATGCTTTTCATTTTGAAGTAAATACTCTCATAAGCTTTCCTGTTGCTTCTCTGTCAATCTTTTCACTAGTTACTCCAAAAGTATTATTTCTGTTAATGGAATTTATTGTATTTTAAAATTGAAACTTGATAGTTTTTACACATTGTTGTCCATCTTTTTCATACTGTTGATAGTTGCTTTGGTTTGGGTTGTTTAACATTTTTTAAATTAAAAAAACAATTTACTTTTAAAGAAAGGGGAAGGGTGGGAGAAAGACATGGAGAGAAACATCGATGTGAGAGATACATCGATTGGTTGCTGATTGGTTGTGATCCACAACCCAAGCATGTGCCCTGACTGGGAATCTAACTGGAGACCTTTTGGTTCTCAGGCTGGCACTCAACTCACTGAGCCACACCAACCAGGGCCACTTTTTAATTTTTAAATGTAACTTTTTAGGTATATACTGTGTTTTGCCATGTATAATGTGCACCCATATTTTTGGCCCAACTTTTCAGGAAAAAAATCTTTCATTTTAATTTTTTAATTCAGTTATTTATTTCTTTATATTTAGAAACAAAATCATTATCATATTCCAGAGTAGTATTTTGCACATGGGTATTTCTTTTTAAGATTTTATTTTCTTTTTAGACCGGGAAAGGGAGGTGGAAAGAGAGGGAGAGAACCCTGGCTGGTGTGGCTCAGTGGATTGAGTGCTGGCCTGTGAACCAAGGGCTTGCTGGTTCGATTCCCAGTCAGGGATATGCCTGGGTTTTGCATTTTAAAATTTCTGTTGTAGTTTCAGTTACAGAATTTCCATTTGGTTCTTGATAGATTTCACTTCTCTGCAAATTTCTTGTATATATTTATTAAGACCATATTTTCCTTTTTTATTCTTTGAACGTATTTGTAATGACTGCTGGAAAGCTCGTTACGCACAGCATTTGGATTGTGAAGTTGGTTTCTGTTGACCAAGGGTCACTTTGTCGTGCTTGTTTGCATGTCTAGTGGTTTTGATTGTGTAGTGGACATTGTGTGTGAACTGTAGGGACTGCATTCTGTTACTTCCCTTTGAAGAGTGTTGACTTTTTTTTTTTTTCAGATTTTATTTATTTTCTAGAGAGGGAAGGGAGGGAGAAAGAGGGAGAGAGAGAAACATCAATGTGCGGTTGCTGGGGGTCATGGCCTGCAACCCAGGCATGTACCCCGACTGGGAATGGAACCTGCGACACTTTGGTTCGCAGCCCGCGCTCAATCCATTGAGTTATGCCAGCCAGGGCTGAGTGTTGACATTTTTATTGTAGTTGGCGTTCCAGTTGCCGGCTAATCTTGGTTTTATGCCATGGTAGGGAGGATCTGTGGGAAGCCCAAGGTGTTAGGTGAGAGGGTAAATTCAGATAGGATGTGTCGGAAGGAGTCTAGAATGGTTCTTACTCTAGGAAATTGTCCTTCTTCAGCCGTGGGGTGTTAAGGTCTTTGCACTGTGGCTAGGTTGGACCCAGCACCCTCAATTTTGTCAGAACTCTGGTGTCTCCAGCCATCTCTTAGCCTCAGAGCTGTCACTCTCTGTTAAGCCTCAGGTAGTCTCACGCTACCTTACCTGTACATGTAGCTCAGCCCTCAGTCAAGGTCTCAAGGACAGACACATGGCAGACCATACTCACCCTCATCCTGCAGCTCCTTTTTCTCTGGGGCTCTGCCTGCACCTTTGCTCTCTGGTGTGTGCTCTGCAGGAGAGAATGTGGTGTGTGCAGCACAATCTCTTTGGGCCCCAGCCTGCTGAGCCCAGGTTCGGAAATCGGACCTAGGCAGAGAGGCATGGTGATCGTGGGCTCTGATTGTGAGTTCCCCTTCTCTCGGAGGTCGTGGTCTTCCACGGCTTCTTGTCCAGCACCCGAAAACTGTTCTCTCATGTTTTGTCAACTTTATAGTTAATATGGTGCCATTTAGTTTCCTAGGCAGATTAGTCAGTCACATGTCTTATTTTTGATGTGGGAATTACTAAACCTTTCACAATATGATTAAGAACACTAGATAAAATATTTCCTAGCCTCTGGCATGGTCATTTGAATTAGTAAACATTAAATAAATGCTAGTGGGATTCAACCAGATATCTTAGTATCTGTAGTAATGGACAGTATTTTCGTTTAAAAAAAAGATTTTATTTATTTGGTTTCAGAGAGAGGAGAAGGGAGGGAGAAAGAGAGGGTAAGAAACAACAGTGTGCAAGAAATACACCGATTGGTTACTTCTCACATGCCCCCAACTGGGGACATGTGAAAAGTAACCCAGGCAACCCAGGCAAGTGCCTGCCTGGGAATCGAACCTGTGACCTTCTGATTCACAGGTGGGCGCTCAATCAACTGAACCACACCAGCCATTTAAAAAAAAAAAGTTGTTTTCAAAGACTTACTGACTTAAATTGAGCTGGAAAAAAAATCCTGAGATATTTAGAGATTAAGCTAAAGAGCTTCTCTTTTGCCGGAGCCGTTAATGCAAATTGTTAAACACACAAAAAAACAAAAAAGAGGTGGGGTATAGAAAAAGATAGTCCTGCATTCTGAGTTTTTTAAAATAAATTATTCTTTTGAGAGAGAGAGAAACTTCGATTTTTGAGTCTCGCTTATTCATGCATTATTGGTTGATTCTTGTATGTGCCCTGACTGAGGGTAGAACCTGCAAACTCGGCCTGTCAGGACAACGTGTTAACTAACAGATTTCTGGCCGGGCTGCATTCCGTGTTTTATCTACAGGAAGAACCTGTAGGGGAGAGCTGGCGCCCTGATGGGGCTAAGGGCTGTGTGAGGGGCTGAAGCCCCGGAGCAGCCTGAACCTGCTGGAGCAAGCACACTTGGGCCGGCCTCTGAGTGCGGGCCTGGGGCTCTCTGGGTCGAGTGTCTGATCTCTTTTTCTCCTGTTTAGTGTTCTGCAGTTAGCAGGTCAGTTCCTGGCTTTGGTCTCAGATGTATTGATTACTTTAGCAGAATTAAAAGTTACTGAAGCAGGATACTTGGGCTTTTCCAAAAAGTGACTTTTGAAACCGGTACGGCATAGATATTCACCTTAAATTCAGATGATGAAGTCCTTGAAAGAATTAAATGCTGGAATGACAATCACTAAGTGATTTTAAATTGCCATTGCTGCCATCCCAGAAAAAAATACTTAAATGAAGTGAGTGAAATTGAAAAACAGTACTGATGATTTCAAGAGTCTTAGAAATTCACTTCACTGACCACTCAGTGATGAGATTTTAGGGTAAGTAAATATCATATGGGCCATCTTCTAGGACAGAAAATAAGGAAACTGTTGAGTTAGAAGTCACTGAAAAATTCACGTGGATCAAAAAGCTCAGGGCTCAGTTAAAATACTGGCAGGATAATTGGACAGTTTGTTTATTGCATCTTTTTATGGGAGAAACTTGGCACTCAGATGTTTTGAAGTCTGTGGAATTATTGGTTGGTAGGGGCTGCTGTGCAGGTGAGCTTGGTTCCTGGATAATCCTGATAATATTTCACTGTGAGGCTCGTTCCTCTCCTGTAAATCCTTGAATATGAGTGTTTTGTAAAGTTTTAACCTTTGGGGATAAAAGGTGATGAGCAGTTTTTTAAAATAACTTTATTTTTCTGTTACAGTTGACATACAGTGTTATATTAGTTTCAGGCGTACAACATAGTGTTTAGGCATTTATATACTTACCAAGTGATCATCCCAGTAAGTCTAGTACCTGTTGTCTGTCACAGTTATCACAGTATTATTGACTGTATCCCTTATGCTGTACTCTATGCCCCTGTGACTGCTTTTATAACTGGCAGTTTGCACATCTTAATCCTGTCTCCTTTTTCACCTGTCCTCCCAACCCACTCCCATCTGGCAACCATTGACATGTTCTCTGTATCTATGAGTTTGTTTTGTTTGTGGGTTTAATTTATTTTCTAGATTCCATGTATAAGTGAAGTCATACAGTATTTGTCTTTCTGTTTCTGCCTATTTCATGTAGCACAATGCCCTCTAGGTCCATCCATGTTGTTGCTGATGGTAAGACTTCTTTATTTCTTCTTTTTTATGGCCAAGTAATATTCCATTGCAGATGTGTACCACAACTTCTTTATTTGTTTATCAGATTGCTTCCATATTTTGGCTGTTGTAAATAATGCTACAATGAACTTTTTGATCTAGTGTTTTGGGTTTTATTGGGTAAATACCCAGAAGTAGAGTTGCTGAGTCCTTATTTGTCTCTTGTTATAGTCCTTGTTTCAAAGTCTATTTTGTCTGATAGTAAGTATTGCTACCCTGCGTTCACTTGTTTACATTTCCATGAAATATATTTTTCTCTTTTAAAATTATTTTTTATTGTTTATGCTACTACAGTTGTCCCAGTGTTTCCCCATTTGCTCCCTTCACGGAGTCCCCACACCGTTGTCATGTCCGTGGGTCATGCTTGTAAATTCTGTGGCTACTCCATTTCCTGTGCTGTACTTTACGTCCCTATGGCTACTCTGTAATTGCCTGTTTGTACTTCTTTCATCCCCTCACCCCACTTGCATCTGGCAGCCATGAAAACGGTCTCCATACCTATGATTCTGGCTGTTCTTCTTGTTTGCTTAGTTTGTTTTTCAGATTCATTTGTTGATAGGTATGTAGGTACTGCTAGTTTATTGTTCATAGTTTTGATCTTTTTTTTTTTTTAAATAAGTCCCTTAACATTGCATATAATAATGATTTGGTGATGATGAACTCCTTGAGTTTTTTCTTGTCTGGGAAGCTCTTTATCTGCCCTTCGATTCTAAATGATAGCTTTGCTGGGTAGAGCGATCTTGGCTGTAGGTCCTTGCCTTTTCATGACTTTGAATGTTTCTTGCCTGTCCCTTCTAGCCTGCAAAGTTTTTTTTGAGAAATCAGGTGATGGTCTTATGGGGATGCCCCTGTAGATAATTAACTGCTTTTCTCTTGCTGCTTTTAAGATTCTCCTTTTACCTTTTAACCTTTGGGATTTTAATTATGATGTCTATTAGAGTGGGCCTCTTTGCATCCATCTTGTTTGGGACCCTCCGTGCTTCCTGGACTTGCATGTCTGTGTCCTTTACAAAATTAGGGAAGTTTTCTTTCATTATTTTTTCAAACAGATTTCCAGTTTCTTGCTCTTTTCCTTCTCCTTCTGGCTCCCTTGTGATGCCAGTGTTGGAATGCCTGAAGTTGTCCTGGAGCTCCTGACGCTGTCCCTGTTTTTTCTGGACTTTTTAAAAGAAAGATTTTATTTATTTTTAGAGAGAGGGGAAGAGAGGGAGGGAAACATCAATGTGTGGTTGCCTCTCATGTGCCCCCTACTGGGGACCTGGCCCACAACTCAGGCATGTGCCCTGACTGGGAATCAAACCCACGACCCTCTGGTTTGTAGGCTGGCACTCAATCCACTGTGCCACACCGACCAGGGCATGGATCCTATTTTTCTTGTTGTTGTTCTGATTGGTTGTTTTTTGCTTCTTTATGTTACAAATCATTGATTTGATTCTCATTCTTTAACCTCTCTACTGTTGTTGCCCTGTAAGTTGTTCTTTATTTCAATAAGTGTATCCTTCATTTCTGACTGGGTCTTTTTTATGCTGCTGAAGTCCTCACTGAGTTCCTTGAGCATCTTTATAACCAGTGTTTTGAACTCTGCATCTGAATAGATTGCTTGTCTCCATTTCGTTTAGTTCTTTTTGATCTGTTCTTTTATTTGGGCTATGTTTCTTGGTCTCCTCATTTTGGCAGCCTCCCTGTGTGTGTTTCTGTGTATTAGGTAGAGTTGCTTTGACTCCATGTCTTGGTAGCATGGCCTGATGTAGTAGGTGTCCTCTAGGGAGAGTGGCACAACCTCCCGTATCGCCCAAGCTCAGTACTGGAGATGTGCCCTCCATGTGGGCTGAGCACTGCCTCCTCTTGCAGTTGAGCTTTAGTTGCTATTGGCAGGTCAATGGGAGGGATTTACCCAGGCCAGTCAGCTGCAAGGACTGGCTGTGACCACTGACCACCAACCTCTGCCCTCCACGGAGGGGGTTAGGGTGGTGGTGCTTCGATGTGGTCTGTGGTTGTCCACTGGGTGCACAGGATCTGGGGTTTCCCGGGTGGTGCAGGCCAAGGTCAGCCCCCACCTGGGTTCTGCCCGGATTCACCTGGCATGAGCTGTAAAGGAGTGTGAGATGGCTGGTGCTTGTGCTGGTCGTGGAGATTCCCAGGTAAAGCCAAGCTGTGAATCTAGGCTGGCTGCTGCTAGTGTGGGGCCTGTTTCATAGGTTTTAGGAAGTTGTGAAGCTTGAGCCAAGACTAGCTATTCATATGGAAAAGTAATGTTAACAGTTTGGGTGGGCCCCTAAGTTGGGTGGGATGGAATCTCTGGGGATCTTCAGGGTGGGGTAAAGTGTTAGCCAGGCGGATGGAGTCTCAGAGATGGTTCTTGTGTGCTGGCTATTGGCTCTGTGGGTGGAGGGCTCAGAAATGGACAGTGGCCTCTGCCAACCTTGATTCCTGACACTTCAGTTCCTCCCTGTATGCCACTGGTGTCTTTCAAGCCATTACCCTGGTGCTGGATCTCAGAGAGAGTAAATCTGAGTAAGTCCATGTGTGAGTTCTTTGAGAGGAACTGCTTCTGTGGTGTCTCCTCCTGGTCTGTTTGTTCTTTTATGGACTGCTCTTCTCAGACTGCCTTAGTGTCATTGACAGCTTTGAGTCCAGACCAGCGTCTGTGCTCCAGACGCCAGATTTCACTGCCCAGATGCTGCGCCTCTCTGGCTTCTCTGACTCAGTTTTGTTAGTGCCTTTTACATTCACGCTTTCTCGTAATTTCATGCCTTTGCATCTGCTTTCCTTAGGACCTTCTTTTTACAGTTTTTCACATGGTTAAGTCCTACTGGCCTTCCATGTTTTCATATAACCATCACCTCTTCAGGAAGATGGTCTCTGCCATTGGTTCTGTCCACAAATTACGTTCCATTGTTAGATGTTCCTTTGTCATATTGTTAGTTTTTCTTTTGATACCTGTCTTCTCCAGCACACTGCTGCCTCCTGCATCCTTGAGGGCATGAACTGCATACTGTCTTCATTTTATTTCTACTGAGTACCTGATAGGAGCTTAGCATCTGTTTGTTAAATAAGCAGGTGAGACTTTAAAAGGAGGAAAGGACTTGGGTGTCACACTGAATTTGAATCCACTTCTAGAACTTATCGATTCTGACATTCAGCAAGTTTTCAACCCTTTCTTTATCTGTGAAATGGGCAGAATATTCACCTGAGGGCTGTGGGGAGGCCCGATGGGACAGAGCAGAAAGCATGCAGCGCAGTATCCGTTGAGCACACAGGTGTGCTGTGGACACTAACAGAATGCTTGTTGAGCGTTCACTGCACACGCTATTGTAAGCTTTATTTATATCAATTTGTGTAACGTTTACACGATCACGTGAGGCAGGAGATATACTTTTCATTTTTAATCCTCACCTGAGGGTATGTTCATTGATTTTAAAGGGAGAGGAAGGAGGTGGGGGAGAGAGAGAGTGAGGGAGAGAAACGTCGATGGGTGGCTTCCTGCCTGTGCCACGACCAGCGATGGGACCTGCTACCTTTTGGTGTTCGGGACGATGTTCATCCAACAGGGCCTCCAACCAGGGCAGATGGGATGGACCCTTTCCTTAACAGGTGGGGTTGCTGTGGTGCAGAGGTTTATAATCCTAAGTGGGGTCCAGAAGCTGCAGAAGTAGCCATTTTACTCAAAAGTATAGTGTCATTTCATATTTTCCTTTTACAATTAGTGCTAGGATAGAGAATGGATTAGATTAGATTATAATCTAATTCATCTAGACCTAATTAATAAATTACATTTTTAGATTGGAAAAAGGTGTCAGTTTGTTTCAGGTCTTTGTTTCCCTCGTAAAGAAACTCAGCTCTGGAAGCTAAATGACATCTCAGAGGTCTTACATTTGGGGTGGTGGAGCCAGTCTGGAACTGGCCCCAAGTTCACCGTTTTTCACGGCGCTCGAATTCCTGGTTTCAGCAGTGAATTTTAGCATTCAGTTCTCTTGGATTGGATTTCAGAGGCAACGGTCATCTTGATTTATTTAAAACTATGTTATCACCATAGCATCTAAAAGTATTAGAAGTTACTCTTGACTCTGGTAAAATGTTTTATATTCTTTTTAGGTTATTGTAATACTGTGTAAATTTGAAATGAAAATATGTACACAGACTTAATGGGGATTTCTTTTATTTTTGCATAATTAGAATGTAACGTCATCGCCTCAATATTCTACATTCCTGGAACATATCATCCCTCGATTTCTTACATTTCTGCAAGATGGAGAAGTTCAGTTTCTTCAGGAGAAACCAGCCCAGGTAATGTGTTTAAGAATATCAATGAGAAAAAATTAGCGTGTGGTAGGATTAAAACAACTAAAAAAATCCCGTGGTTCCACTTAAAAATGGAAGAGGTTTTGTCACATACGAGTGACTGTGCCCAAGGCCTTTGCCTGCTCACTTGAATGTCTCGGTTTTATTTTGTCACGTCCGTCTCTTTCACAGTTTTAGTTTTTCACGTTTGCTGACTCGGTGGTGTGTGGTGCACTTTTTATTACAAGTGACCAGGAAAGTGTACAAAGGGAGGAGCAGTGGTCTCGTGATTCTCCCCATACCTGTTGTCCCAGCTCTGCTCTTACTCATTTTAATTCTTGTATTTCATGGCCAGTTTGTTTTACTTCTAGCCCCACCCGCTCTTTTTACCCTCTCCTCTTTGTGATTTTTTAAAGCAGTCCCATCACATCATTTTTTTCTTTTTAAAGATTTTATTTGTTTTTAGAGAGAGAGTAAGGGAGAGAGAAAGAGGGGGAAAGAAACGTCAGTGTGTGGTTACCTCTTGTGTGCCCCCTGTAGGGGACCTGGTCTGCAACCCAGGCATGTGTCCTGACTGGGAATTGAACCAGGGACCCTTTGATTCACAGACTGGTGCCTCAATCCACTGAGCCACAGCAGCCAGGGCCATTGGTTGATTCTTTCATGTGCCCCAACTGGGATCAAACTCGCAACCTTGGTGTATCCGGTTGATGCTTTAACCAACTGAGCTCCTTGGCTAGGGCTAAATAAAGCGTTTTTATGTTGTACCATTTCAAGGTGTGTGTGTGTGTGTATTTGATCTATGTTTTACTTGTGAGCTCCATAGACAGAATCATGAAAGCTCAGTGTAGCTCATGATGAAATTAGTCCTTGGGTCTAGGGTAATTAGAGAAAACATTGGAGGTGCTAAACTGAGATTGCAGACAGAGATCTCAGTGAGGTTCGCTTGCTGTTTTGCTCTTTCCTCGTAAATCCACTCCACACTCATACCCTAATTAATGCCCTGTCCGCCTGAGGTAAGGTGTGAAAGAGGAAAAATTCGATGTGCTTGATTGGTTTGATACACTGTTGGGGAAGTATTGGACACGGTGATTTGCAGTACATGCTCTGGGTTACAGTGAGAGTGTACAGGAGCCTTCCTAAGCGGGACCCCCACGTGGTTGGGGTCGCCAGTGCCGGGCCCAGACAGCGGCGTGACACTTGAAGAGAGCAGGAGGGTTACTTTGGAACTTCTGCAAGGGTTTCATATTTACGTTTCTAATTTTTTTTCCCACCAGCAACTGCGGAAACTAGTTCTTGAAATAATTCATAGAATACCAACCAATGAACATCTTCGTCCTCATACGAAAAATGTTTTGTCTGTGATGTTTCGCTTTTTAGAGGTAACCTTTGGAGAGTTCTTGTTATTTTGACCTATTCAAAACTTTCAATGATTTTCTTAATGTAAAATCCAGTGTTATATAGCTCTTTCCTTTTCATTGAAGTTCTGATTCACAATGTCTGTTTTCCCTGTTTTGCCCACCAAATTACTCAAAGGTTATTACTTTTAATTTGCACGTTCTTTTTTTTTCGAGTCACTGAAGAATTGACTCTGCGTGGTGGAAATCTCCGAAAGACTTGCATGGTGGCAGACGCACTCCGTGCAGGGTTCTTTGGCTTTGTGCATTCTGATTTTGTGTGTGTCAGGCAACAGTAGAGGCTCACAAGAATCTTAGATTCTTGGGGCTAATCCGCCTGACACCTGTAAAGTTAACTTCTAAAATTACTTTCTTGCTGTTCTTAGTATTGATGTGTTTAGCATTCTCTTGTGTCTCTGGGCCCCTTGGGAAGGTGAACCTGGGACGGGGGGAGAGTTGGATGTAGATCCTGGCTCTCACGTGTCAGCTGTGTCCTCTTAGCCACGGTGCTGGTCTTTGAGCCTCAGCCTCCTGGTAGGTGCAGTGTGGGTGGAACCCCCCACTTAGAGAGTGTGGGTGTTTAGCTCAGTTCAGCACATGGGGGTGCTCAGTAATTGCTCATTCTTTTGGCAATACCTCTAGACCTTAGTTCGTGCTGTGACTTGCCACAAATGCCAGTTACCTTGTCTGTCCGAGTGTTACTGCCGAGAACTCACAGTGGGCTGCCCTTCAGGTGGTTCACCAGGAAGACCGCAGGAGCTTCCTGTTTGGGCAGTTGTGTTCTGTGGTTCAAGGAATCTTCAACAAATCAAATCTGAGTTGGCTGATGGAGTGTGTGTATACAGAAAAATACTTAGAAAATAGTCTTTAGTCCTGAGGTTAAAATAAGTCTTCAGAATTGTAACTCTTTAAATGCTTTTTCTTTTTTAAGACGGAAAATGAAGAAAACGTTCTTATTTGTCTGAGAATAATTATTGAGCTGCATAAACAGTTCAGGCCAGCTATCACACAAGAAGTAAGTTTTTCTTGCGAGCGTTTATAAAGTGTGCCGGCGACAGTTTTTATTCTCTTGGAGTGTTGACAGAGCGCGTGCTGCTTGCAAGTGCAGAAAACACAGCCTCTTTGGGGGAGGTCCCGTGTGGGGTTAGCAGTTACCTGTTATGTTTTGAGTGTGTACACGAGTATCTAACTGGATTGTCGGCGGCTGATATGTGTTACCCACCGCATTGGCTGGGCTGTCTGCATGCTCCCGGCTCTCAGAAACGTCTGAGGGGCCGGGAGGCACCAGTCACTTCATGTTTACAAGGGCCAAGGTGTGGGTTCTGAAGGCAGAGCTGGGTGTGAACATCAGCTCTGCAGCTCAGTAGCTGTGTGACACTGGGTAAACTTTCAGGAGCCTTTTGGAGCTCCTTTTGGAGCCTTTTCTGCAAAGTGAGGACACTCACAGTATTTTCTCAAAGATTGCTTGAAGAATTTAAATATAAAAGTTACAATTCTTAGCACAGTGCTTAGCATCTATGGAGTAAATATTAAATACTCTGTGCTAGCAATAATTAATAGTGTCTTCTGTGATGAAGACATGCTTAGTACATGCCCATTATAGATTATTTGGAAATTGGAAGCATAGCAATGAAATACAACTCTTTCCATCTTAAAGACAATATGGATTTCCTTTTCTTTTCCCCACCCTATGTGTATCTAGTGTTTTCTACACAGTGACTGTCACACTGCGTGACCTCTGATGTCCTGACTGTTTCCCTTCACATATATAAGCATTTTTCAATAAAAATTCTTTATAAAGTTAATTTTTAATGGATGTATAGTATTCTTAGATACCAGTGCTCTTGGTTTTAGATATTTAAAGTTATTTCAGAAAACTATTTTTTGACTATTATTGAATATCTGTTTCTAGTTCAAATTACTTCATAGACTGGGTTTGTCAACTTAGGATTACTAGGTTGAAAGTGTTAACGTTTAAACAAAATTTTTTAAAAGATTTTATTTATTTATTTTTAGGGAGGGAAGAGAGGGAGAAAGAGAGAGAGAGAGACATCAATGTGCGGTTGCTGGGGGCCGTGGCCTGCAACCCAGGCATGTGCTCTGACTGGGAATCGAACCTGTGATGCTTTGGTTTGCAGCCTGCACTCAATCCACTGAGCTACGCCAGCCAGGGCACAAAATTTTTTTTTAAGATTTATTTATTTATAGACAGAAGGGAAGGGACGGAGAAAGAAAGGGAAACACCAATGTGTGGCTGCATCTCATGCGCCCCCCGCTGGGAATCTGGCCCACAACCCAGGCATGTGCCCTGACTGGGAATCGAAGCAGCCACCTTTCAGTTCACGGGCCGGTGCTCAGTCCACTGAGCCACACCAGCTGGGGCATCTTTTTTTGTTCACATTCATTGCCAGTTTGTATTTTGGGTCTGACATGTTTCTGTTTAAGAGTTCTTGTATGCTAAGATGACTAACATTTTTCTTATTTATTGTAAGCATTTTCTGTTTATAAATAACTTCCTTATACTGTCTTTCTTTTCCTTTAGATTCATCATTTTTTGGATTTTGTGAAGCAGATTTACAAGGAGCTTCCAAAAGTAGTGGTATGGTTTTAATATCAGTTGAATTCATTACCTACATTTAATTTGGACCACCTGGGTTGAAGTAGTAATGGGGTGCCAAATGTAGAACAACAGGTCATGTTTATTGATGATCAGAATCTAGGTTCATAAATCAGTCATTTAAAAAAATTCTTTTGGTTTTACTGGTTAGAATAAATACTTTATTTAATGTATTCTTATTGTAGAAATTTTGCCAGAAAACCCAGAAGGTACATCCAGAACGTTATCACTTGCAAGTAACCATTGACAGTTTTGGATTGTCTTGTGTTTTACTCAGTGCTTTCTTTTTTTTTTAAAATATATTTTATTGATTATGCTATTACAGTTGTCCCATTTCCCCCCTTCTCTCCCCTCCACCCTGTACCCCCTCTTCCACCCACGTTCCCCCCCTTTAGTTCATGTCCATGTGTCATACTTGTGAGTTCTTTAGCTTCTACATTTCCCGTACTATTCTTGCCCTCCCCCTATCTATTTTCAACCTACATTCTATGCTACTTATTCTCTATACCTTTTCCCCCCCTCTCTTCCTCCCACCCCCCCTGCTGCTAGCCCTCCATGTGCCCTCCATTTCTGTGGTTCTGTTCCTGTTCTAGTTGTTTACTTAGTTTCTTTTGGTTTTGCTTTAGGTGTGGTTGTTAATATTTGTGAGTTTGCTGTCCTTTTACTATACATGTCTTTTCTTTATCTTCTTTTCTTAGATAAGTCCCTTGAGCATTTCATAAATAAGGGCTTGGGGATGATGAAGTCCTTTAACTTGACCTTATCTGAAAAGCACTTTATCTTCCCTTCCATTCTAAATGAGAGCTTTGCTGGATAGAGCAGTCTGGGATGTAGGTCCTTGTCTTTCATGACTTGGAATATTTCTTTCCAGCCCCTTCTTGCCTGTGAGGTCTCTTTGGAGAAATCAGTTGACAGTCTGATGGGAACTCCTTTGTAGGTGACTGTCCTATCTCTTGTTGCTTCTAGGATTCTCTCCTTCGTTTTTACCTTGGCTAATGTAATTATGATGTGCCTTGGTGTGTTTCTTCTTGGGTCCAACTTCTTTGGGGCTCTCTGAGCTTCTTGGATTTCTTGGAAGACTGTTCCCTTTGCCAGATTGGAGAAGTTCTCTTTTATTTGTTCAAATTCGTGCTCAATTTGTTGCTTTTCCCCTTCCGATTCTGGTACCCCTATAATTCGGATATTGGAACGTTTAAAGGTGTCCTGGATGTTCTTAAGCTTTTCCTCGATTTTTTGAATTCTTATTTCATCATGCTTTCCTGCTTGGTTGATTCTATCTTCCTTCTGGTCCACTGTATTGTTTTGAGACTCAGATTCCTTCCTTTCACTATTGGCTCTCCTCCGCGTATCTTCCTGCATCTCTTTTATGGTAACCTCCATCCTTTCATCTAAATTGCGCCCAAAATCAACCAATTCTGTGAGCTTTCTGATCACCAGTGTTTTGAACTGTGCATCTGATAGATTGGCTATTTCTTGGTCGCTCAAAAGGATGAGTCCTGGGGGACTGATCTGTTCTGCTGGAAACATGTCTATGTCTTTCCCTGTCTCCCTTTTTTTTTTTTCGGTCTGGTTGCTCTTGTTACGGTGGGGGGCGGAGCCTTAGGTGTTCACCAGAGCTGGGCACCCCAGTTGCTAGATTGTGGCGTTATATGTGGGGGCGGGGGCTGGGGCAGGAGCGGGGACGGGCGGGAACAATGGCGGTAGTCCCGTTCTCCTGGGCTCAGACACCTCTTCGGGATCCTGGGCCGCGAGCTCCGCCCTGGTCCACAATTGCTGCCTCACTGGGTCCCCCAGCCGCAGCTTGCGCACTCAGGGATCACGGCTGCGTTCTTGCGCCCCGAATGGCTGTCGCGCCGATTTTGCGCCAAATTTTCCCTGACCTCCGCGTGCCCCCGACCCGCGCCAGCCCCGTGCCCGCCCGGCTCGTCGTCCCCTACCAGTCTGGATGTACGGGTCTACTTCAACTTCTTGGCTGTCCGACTTCCATTCAGATAAATCCTCTGCCAGTTCTGAGTGATATTATGTCTGTAAATTATTGTTGTTCTAATCTTGGTTGTGCGAGGAGGTACGGTGCGTCCACCTATTCCTCCATCTTGCTGGAAGTCTGAGCGAAGTAAATCTTTTAAAGTAAAAGGCCATCTGTCCCCTATTAGGAAACAAAGTCTTTGAATGCTGCTGGTTGGCTGGTAACAGCTGGGCTTGTGGGTTTGGGGGACCTAGGTGAAGCTGAATGCATTGAGTCCTCACTTTAGGACTATGGTATCCAGGCAAGTGTACACGAGTGTCAGCAGGCTAGGTTGCCAGATCTGGGCTTATCATCTTCTTTAATCCGGATTCAGCTCTGTCACGGTGGACAGAAGACCACACTGCCCAGGGCTATGGGGAAGATGCAGCTCCATTCTCACCAGAGCACTGAAACACTACCCCTTACGGAGGCGGAGAGCATTCCCAGGCTGCTCCCCACCCATATTCCTGGGATAAGGATGGCCGCGGGCGATGGGCTCCTGCCAGGCTTGGCCCGCCCTGCCCAGCGGCCTCACCTCTCCTCCAGTCGGACCCACAGGTCACGGAACTGCCGGAGCTGCTGCCTCTGCTGGGGCCACCTCCGTTTCTACTACTCAGTGCTTTCTAAAGATGGTTGTGCTTACGGCCATGAAGCCTTTCGGGGAGGTGGTGTATACTCCTGTATTTTTCTGTATCATTACAGCTCTTTCCTGTCTTGACCAAGAGGTATTTATTTCCAAGCAATGCTGAGAGTGTGCAAGTGTGTGGGATTGAAGAGGGGAGTCTTCTCCCTCTTACCCTTTCTAATAGGAGGAGTCGCTGTTAACAGTTTGGAACATCTGAGACTCTCTGTCTGGCAGCCATACCTTTTAGTGGCCCCATAATTCTCTGTTGTGTACGTGCACCTCAACTGTGCGTCTCCCTGTGCTGGGTGTCCCGCTTTTAAGTTCTTTATGACAGACAGTGTTTCGGTAAAAATCATCTCGCCTCAGTCTGTTGTGTGTTAAAGATTTTTTTAATATTAAAAAATTATTTTAAGTGAACATATGCTAAAGTTGACTTTTTTGGTATTTTGAGGATTATAATCTGCTAATTACATATAAAATTTAAAATTAATTACATTCTGAGTTATGTCACCTGCAGTTTCATTCAAAGGTTTTCATAAGAAGCTGTTTTGTTTGCCGTGAAGTCCAAATTCCCTTGAGAACTAAGGGTGTTAAAAATACCTTCTGTTCTTTGCTTCTGGTCCCGTCTGTGATCCCTACTTGGGAGACACTTTGGAGAGGTGATTTGGTAGGGACACAGTCCGAGTTTCTATTGCCGGAGGGACGGGATCTGTTCTTCTTGCCGCGCTGAGGTAGTAATGTAGGCTGGTGTGCGTTGCCTCTTTTCTCAGCCAGGAAGGAGCAGAAGGTACTCAGGACAAGTATTTGTTTTCTGTTGGGAGGTGGAGAAATGTTGTCTCTGCAATGTTGTCTTTATGGTGTTGGAGAAAGAGGAGCCTAAATACTGTGTGATTGAGCCAGAGAAATACACAGGGTATTGGGTTCCTTCCACCACATATCATTGACATCTGTCTCATTAAGGAATGTTGTGTTGGACCCGAGGAAAAAAGGCCTTCTCCTGTTTTTTCTGTAGAACCGCTATTTTGAGAACCCTCAGGTGATCCCTGAGAACACAGTCCCACCCCCGGAAATGGTTGGGATGATCACAACGATTGCTGTGAAAGTCAGTCCTGAGCGGGAGGACAGCGAGACAAGGACAGTGAGTTTCTTCAGTCGTTTTGCTTTGCTTTTATCCACATCTTTGTACTTGGCAGAGGAAAATATGAGATAGTGACTTTTTAAAAACATTTTTAAAAAGATTATTTATTTATTTATTTATTTATTTATTTTAGGGAGGGGAAGGGAGGGAGAAAGAGAGGGAGAGAAACATCAATGTGTGGTTGCTTCTCTTGTGCCTCCTGCTGGGGACCTGGCTTGCAGCCCATGCATGTGCCCTGACTGGGAATCGAACCAGCGACCCTCTGGTTGGCAGGCTGATACTCAATCCACTGAGTCACACCAGCCAGGCTTGTTTTATGAGTTCTTATATATTAACACTATTAAATTTTTTCTTATGTTTATTGTAACCATTTTCTGTTTCTAAGAATCTTTGACTAAAACTTGGTAAATGTGCCCTTTTTGATATTGTTCTTTTAAGTAAAATAATAGACACTAATTTAAAACTTTTCTCACATGATGTGAATTTCTAAGTTTTGAAAAATTGCCCCAGAGTTATTTACTATGGGGGACTACACTGGAAAATATAAAAACCTCTGTATTAAATCTGTGTACCTGGCTTTAAGGACAGTGTGGCCCTTTCCCCATGGGTAGGCACGAAGGTGTGCCGGCAGTTCCCCCTCCTTTTGTTGCAGTGGTCGAGGCTCAGCGGTGGGCTCTGGAAGGGCCTGAGCAGCACATCGGGCTGACCGCACCCCTGCCTATTGCTCTCTTACAGCACTCCATTATTCCAAGAGGATCCCTCTCTCTGAAAGTGTTGGCGGAACTGCCCATTATCGTTGTGCTAATGTACCAGGTACGTTTCCTGGGCTTTGGCGGCTGCTTTTACAGCAGAGCTCACATATGACGGTGCATCGGTGTGCCGGGTCCACACGGGCCCGCTGATGTGACGGCCCCTGTAGTGTCTATGCTGCCCCACGTAATTTTGCTGTGGCAGAACCTGTAAAAGCATGGAAATCTGGTTGTTTGCTTGTAGCTGTACAAACTGAACATCCACAATGTCGTCGCTGAGTTTGTGCCCTTGATCATGAACACCATCGCGATCCAGGTGTCTGCGCAAGCCAGGTAAGGCCCCTTTGGACAGCGACGCAGCCGCCTGTCATGGTGCTGCATTCCAGGTCAGAACACACACACTTGTCATTTGTAAGCCAGAAAAATTTTAAGTGGTAAGATTTTGGTAAAACTGTATGTATTTTTTACTTTTCGAGCGTTTCAATGATGACAGTGATAGTTTCCTAATTTGAAAAGATGAGCTAATGCCTTGGTTTGTGGCATCTTGTACATTTGGGACTACCGTTAGGCATTACTGTACTCACTTCCCTCTGTGGGATCTCCAGGCCTTTCTCACCTTCAAGCCATTCTTTGTTCTTGCTGTTCCTTTCCATGTGAGTGCTAGAGTGTTCTGTTTTTTTTTTTTTTAAGGAATTTATTTATTTATTTTTAGAGAAAAGGGGAAGGGAAGGGGGGGAGAGGGGGAAACATCAGTGTGTGGTTGCCTTTTGTGAGCTCCCTACTGGCCCGTAACTCAGGCATGTGCCCTGACTGGGAATCGAACCAGTGACCCTTTGGTTAGCAGGCCAGCACTCAATCCAGTGAGCCACTCCAGCCAGGCCAGAATGTTCTTTACCCTCTTTATTTCCTTCAGTTTCCCCCACCATTGCTGTCAGTCATGGACTAGGTGAACCATAGTCATTCTCCCGGTGAAGCTTTTTCTTAGAGTTGACAGCATTCCTCCCAAGACCTTTGTTACTTGCTTTCTTGACTTGTAGCCTATGTGTCTCTGAGTCATTTGAGGGTAGGATCTGAGGGCGAATCAGCATGAACAGTCCCAGTGGCCCTAGCATGGGCTCCTTCATTGGGCAAATACGTGCCCTGATGCTGTCTGCTGGGCAAGGGGCTCTGTGGGCCGCGTCCTTGGGCCGCTGTGGGGTGGCTGCAGAGCTGTTCACTGTGTGCCTCTGAGCCTTTGTGTTGCTGGGAACTGCGTAAGAGCGTGGGGTGCTCGTCGTTGCTGCTGTGCCATTCTAGTCTGTGCAGAAATTGAACCTCTGGGCTCAGTAGTCCTAGGCTAATGTAAATTTTATTCATTTCTCATTCAGGCAACATAAGCTCTACAACAAGGAGTTGTATGCTGACTTTATTGCTGCTCAGATTAAAACATTGTCATTTTTAGCTTATATCATCAGAATTTACCAGGTGAGTTCTTCAACCTTGTTTTAAGTCAGGTGTACTGAGATAAAATTTTCATGCAGTAAAGTTCCCCTTTTGTAGGCGAATCATAGGTCAGTTGACAAATGCATAGAGTTGGTAACCAGCAACATATCAAAATATAGAATGTTTCTTCACCCTGCACAATTTTCCTTTGTGCATTTGTAGTCCACTTCCTCCTCCCGTCCCCAGACCCTGTCAGGCCCTGAAGTTGGTTCTAGAAGTTTGAGTTGGGTCCCACCGACTCAGATTTCCAGTGAGCTCAAGACTCCGTGGTCAGTCACCTTTCCACAACACCTCACAGGAGGTTGTGATTGGAGCTCACTGAGCTGACCGAACGTGTCTTCGGAGTCATTGGGACCTCGCCTTGATGGGGGGGCTGAGTGAGGAGTATCTGTTTCATCTTAGCTTTCGGTATTCCTCCTCCCCTGATGCTCAAGTCGTCAGCACTCGTCGTCGTTGAGAGCTGAGAAAACTCGGAGAAGTACGGGGGAGACACCTGTTCTCCCGCCGCCATGCTGAAGGGCCTGCATCTGTGCAGCTCACATCCTTGTGTGGCCGTGTGCACGCTCACAGTTAACACTCCCTGTGTGCGATGTTCATTTACCAGGCCTCTTGCTTCCAGGGGGTCCTTTGAGCCAAACTTAGTTTTATTGAATTTTCAAAAGAGTTTATCGATTTTGGATTTTCTTAATACACACCAATCAGCGTAACTCGTTTTCCTATTTTCGAAGGAGCTGGTGACGAAGTACTCTCAGCAAATGGTAAAAGGGATGTTACAGTTACTTTCAAACTGTCCGGCAGAGACTGCACACCTCAGGAAGGAGCTTCTGATTGCTGCAAAGCACATCCTCACGACCGAGCTGAGAAACCGTATGTCTCTTGTCTGGGGTCCTGGTGTGCACGCTGCCCGCGTCCCTGGGGCCGGGACTGGTAGACAGCCATTGTTCCCACACTGAGGGTTCCCTGCGGGAGCTTAGCACAAGTTGTGTCTGGGTGGCAGAAGGCAGCCTGGGCGTCCTTTCTCTGCCTGATGTTACCTTGTCTTGGGGAGTCTTGCTTTGGTGGTCAGATATTTCAGGCTTGCCTTGTCCTTTCTTTATGGCTGGCATGAGTATGTCCTTCCACCTCCTTTCTCCACCTGTCTGCCTCCGCCTCTCTCCGCCTCCGAGCCTGCCACCAGGGTCCTCCCTTTGTCCTCTCAATGGTCTCATGATTACCGTGATGGTTTCCTCCGAGTAGCTTACTTATGTTCTGACTTGCCCTTGGTACTTTTCTGCCTTCTGATCGCGTAACGTTTGAAATTCTAAATAGCCATTTGCTCTCTGACTTTAAATGTAAGAAGGAAACGGTGCTTGTGTTCTCTGTGCCGTGTAGTGATAGGTTGGTTCTGTTTTGATGCACAAGATTGATACTTGCTTTTTAGGCTGATCTGATAATTACACTTTTTCTATCAATTTTTGAATTTAAATTTAAATACTTTTTATATTTGATATGTCCAAATCATTAGGTTGAAGTTCCATTCTAATCATTGTGATATGATTCATTTCCTCCAGTAATTTTTCAATATTGTTTTATTTGCTTGTAAATCAGAGCATACGTAAAACTGAGATTGAGCTTCCTTACACAGTTTTTAAACATGAAAAGACATGTACAGTTTGAGAGTTTACACTTGAGTTAGTACCACAGCTCAGATAGTTTTGTGCTATTAAAATACAACAATTATGGTGTGACTCTTGTATGTGGATATTGCTGAAGGAAGATAGATTTAAAACATTTTTTGAGCCCTGGCTGGCATAGCTCAGTGGATTGAGCGTGGGCTGCGAACCAAAGTGTTGCAGGTTCGATTCCCATTCAGGGCACATGCCTGGGTTGCAGGCCACGGCCCCCAGCAACCGCACATTGATGTTTCTCTGTCTCTCTCTCTCTCTCTTTCTCCGTCCCTTCCCTCTCTAAATAAATAAATAAAATCTTTTAAAAAAAACACTAAATTAGTAATTAAAGATCTAAATAGATATTAAAAAAACATTTTTTGAAACGTAGCACATACAGGAAAGTGCACAGAAGTGTATGATTTCACCAAAAGTCACGCAACACACACGTGTACAAGCCTCACCCAGGCCAAGCACTGGAGCGCTCGCTGCCTGAGCTGCAGCCCTGCTCACCCTCGGCACTGGCGGCCGTCACCCCCTTTGGGGGGCTTCCTTGCTGTCTGCCTTTGCTGTGTGTTTGCCTCCGAGCGGTGTCCAAGTAGCATCGTTTTGAGTGGAACGTTTCAGATCTCCCGAAGGTACTGGGCTGCGCCCGGGGTATTGTCCTCACACCGGCATTTGTGTTCCTGCCTTGCTCGCAGGACGGGTCTGGGGTGCGCCTGGGGAGCTTTGCAGCAGGAGGGCTCTGCCTTTTGGAGAACTGATGGATCGCAGACTCCTCCTGCTCCCCGGCGCGCACAGCCAGGCCCTCTTTCAGGCTGTGCGATGCTGCTCTCCAGGGGCCGATCGCTCAGACTGTTTATTGTTTTGTACTTTTAGACTTGTTGAATTCAGCTTTTAGGATGGTTTATTTTGAAGCCCATAGGAACTCCTGGAGTTAAATCCAGCATCACCTCTCAAGTTTTTATTGTAAGAAATATTGAAAGATCATGTTAAATATTAACCATGTTACAGAACACGAAAATGTGTGCACGCATTTCACACTTACACATCCACTGACATTTTTCATGTAGCCTTACCTTCTTGGCATCTCGGATGGTTTCAAATGGTAGCCCAGTTGCCCAAGTTCTGAAGAGCAGTAGTTTGCGAAACCCTGATGGTTTACCGGAGTACTCACCCATCTCCTCCTACACTCTGGTGTTCCCTCATGGAGGGGAGCTGGAAACAGTGCTGCACAGCTGTGTTTCTTATCCTTCTCCCTGAATGCATCCCCTGGCCAGCCCGCCAGCACTCCGTGTTTACGCGCTCTGCCGCCGTCCTCCTGTGCCTCCTTCCTTCTGGCCACCGCACAGAGGGCAGTGCGGGGATGCGGCCTCTGACCTTCTTGCCGTGGGCGTGTCCCCCTGTGCTGCCACGCTGTGTCTGTCACCCAGAGGTGGTGCTGCATCTCCAGTGCACACAGTTCTTTTCTGTCTTCGACCCTCCCAAGCTGTTTGCTGGGAAGAGGGTACTTCATTTGGCTCGTTGAAGCTGGCTGTGATGGCAGGCTTGTTCCAGAATCTAGAAGGCCTTTGATGTGTGCGGCCCGAGTTTCCCCAGAGGCACATGGAATAGAGGCCTAGAAAGTGCAGGCTGCCACCTGTCTGCACATCCTCAGAAATACAGAAGTGTCCCTGAGTGGAGACCAGATCTTTCTGGTCCTGTTAGGTCCTCAGGCCCGCGGGGAGGGTGGGGGGCGATGGTTCCATCTACAGGGCCAGGGAACAGAGGAGCCCCCCAGCTTCTGGTCAGTTTCCTCCAGGGACTTGGGACCCCTCCCCTGAGGCCTGTGCCTTTTCGAAGACCAAAATTTCCAGACCTGTGTAATTTACATGCGGAAACATTCTTAGTTCTCCCTAAGGACTGACTGTCAAATATGTAAGGAGGACGGCTTCAGGGTGGTAGCTAAGGGGGGTTTAGGAGATGCTGCCCCCGTGTCCAGACAGGTTTGGGTGGATGGCAGCAGCTTTCTCAGGGCAATGGAATGCACCCCCAGTGAGGGACTGGGTGGGGGTGCGTTCTCTGCGGTGGGACCCGAAGCTTGCCTTTCCTCAGCTTATTCTCTGATGCTGACTGTGGCTCTGCCTCCTTCAACAGCAGAGGGCTTCCGTGGCCGGTGAAGCCGATGTCTTTGACTAAGACACAGTGTGCCTGCTTCTCTCCTCCTCTCCCCTTTCACATCTGGATTGCCATTTGATGGGGTCGGCTGCTCTGAAAGTGCTGTTGTGCGATGTGTAACTTGTTCAGTTGGTGACATGTGCAATGGATATTTGTGTTCTAGAGTTCATTCCTTGCATGGACAAGCTGTTTGATGAATCTATACTGATCGGTTCAGGATATACTGCTCGGGAGACTCTCAGGTACGCAATTAAACTCATGACATCTGGCTAATTAAGTGTGAGGGGCAGCGACTCCTGGCACTTGGTATCGGGAGCCTTTCAAACACTGGCTGTTGGGCCCTCATTCCCATTGGATTTAGAACTGCAGGACTTTCTTGAAATGCCTGAGTTTGCTTTTTGTGCCTTAGCTTAAAGGGAAAAATCAGAGTGGTCCTTTTGTTTTTAACTGTAGGTAAAACTATCTGTCATTAGCTTTGTTTTTTGCTTTCTGTGTAAGTGAATCTCTTCATTATAAAAGAATATTTGATAACCTACCAAGAAGAGAGAAGGAGAAAAACTTCTGGTCCTACACAAGGAGCTCAAATAACACGGTTAATTCTTTGGTGTATTCTAGTTTTTATTTCTTAGGTATTTATAGGAGAAATGTATTTGTGGTCATGTTTTTGTTTCTCAAGGAAAAAATTTACATTTGATCATCTTTACAACATAAAATGAATCAACATCAGTAATTCTTTTAACTTAAATAAGGGAGGCATGGTGGATCTTCTGAATAATAGGCAGAACCCTTTGAATGTGGTGCAGACGGTTTACTGTTTTCTGTATAAAAGATGTAAAATAGTAAGTAAGACCCTACTTACAACCTGTGGTTGCACCTGCCTGGATTTGGACATTGGATCACCTCACTCCTACTGGAAACCCTCCAGTGGCTTCGTGTCCCCCCCCCACCTGCGGCCCTGCCCTGGCCTGCAGATCCTCCAGCCAGCTCCCCCTCAGGGCACTCCTGCCTCCTCCACCTGGGAATTTCCCTGGCTTTTTGCCCCACAGCTGCTTTTTGTCCTGAGGTCTCCGTGTGGATGCCGCCCGAAAGGGACTTGCCAGGCTCCCTGTTTCAGAGCGGTCTCCCACCTGTCTGTCCCAGCGCCCTTTTCACAGCTCCCAAGCACTGACCAGTGTGCACACTTTGTTCTCTGCTAGTGCGTTTCCCTTTCCATTATTAAGCTTCCTGAGGGCGGGGCCTCTGTTTACTTGGGTCACTATGGCCTCCCTGCTGTCTGGCCCAATGTCTGGCCAGTGGCCGATTGTTCAGGGGGTGAAAGCTCTTAATAACCCAGATGTTACGCTGCAAAGTGGCTCCAATATGGGTGGGCAAAAGTAGTTTCACAGTTGTTCTTAGGGAAAATAATGCAGTAATTAATAAATAATAATACAAGAATAAGCTGTTTTGCCTACTCACAGGAGTAAACCTACCTTTTCCTCACTCTGTATACAAGGTATTAACTAACATACTGTTTGTCTTTAAGCAACAAGACCCATTCAGGGCATGATTGGGCTCCTAATTATCTCTGCTCATGTTAATGAGCCCATGTGCCTGTGTTACTGTGACATGCACGAACTTGGAAAGTAAAGAATTTAAACTCTGATGTTAGAGCTTCAGTTGGTAGCTGGGGAAACCAGAGCCCTGCGAAGTGTGCCTCAGACTTGCTGTCACAGTGCCGGTGCCCTGGGCAGGTGGTGGTGGAAGGGGTGGCCTGTGGGTGTGGGCCTGCGACACACACCAGCCTAGCTCTCTGCCCGCAGGCCCCTTGCCTACAGCACGCTGGCCGACCTGGTACACCATGTGCGGCAGCACCTGCCGCTCAGCGACCTCTCCCTCGCTGTCCAACTCTTTGCTAAGAACATCGATGATGAGTCCCTGCCCAGCAGTATCCAGACCATGTCCTGCAAGCTCCTGCTGAACCTGGTGGACTGCATCCGCTCCAAGAGTGAACAGGAGAGCGGCAACGGGAGAGATGTCCTGATGCGGATGCTGGAGGTACCATCTTGGGAGAGGCCCTGTACCCTTCTACCCCACACGCTGAAAAACTTGCACTGTTCCTTTACTGGAGAGTTTGTGGGGCCGCCAGGTGGCCAAGCATGGTCCCAGGCGTCAGCCCATTTTGGTTCAGCTCCCTGAGCCTCCCATGAACTAGCTGTTTGTGGGCGGGGTCTGAACGTCCCTAACCAGGGATGCACACGGTGTCTGCCTCATGGGCTGCTGTGGGAGAGCAGACACCACAGAAGGCCTCTGAGTGTGGGGCCTGGCGTGGTCCTGGCACACCCGCAGCCAGGTGTGGAATTAGCTGTGCACTCCGCTGAGCGGTGACCGGCTGGCGATGTGGGAGGGTATAACGTGTGGCTCCTGTAGCCAGGGGGCTGTCGTGTGGGCCATCGGGCAGTCCTAGGTCACAGCCAGGCTCTGCCTGGCCGTCCCCCAGCTCTCCCAAGCACATTCTTCATGGGGGCAGTGGAAGTGGTGAAGCATCTGTAGCCACAACAGGGGAAAGACAGCATACTATTTTTTTTTAAATAAAATAATTTTTCTTTTTTTTAAGACTTTATTTATTTATTTTTAGAGAGAGGGGAAGGAGAAAGAGAGGGAGAGAAATATCAGTGTGTGGTTGCTGGTTGCCTCTAGTGTGCCCCATACTGGGGATCTGGTCTGCAACCCAGGCATGTGCCTTGACTAGGGATCGAACCGGTGACCCTTTGGTTCACAAGCCTATGCTCAATCCACGGAGCCATACCAGCCAGGGCTTTTTTTTTCTTCTAATTTTAAAAGAATCGACTAATCTATATTTTACTTTTTATTTTATTGATTTTTTTTTTAGAGGAGGGGGAAAGAGAAACATCAATTTGTTCTGCTTATGTATTCATTGGTTGACTCATTTAAAAAATTTATTTTTATTTATTTTTAGAGAGGAGAAGGGAGGGAGAAAGAGAGGTAGAGAAGCATTGATGTGCGGGAGACACATCTGTTGGCTGTCTTTTGCACGCCTCCAGCCGGGGACCTGGCCCGCAGCCTAGGCATGTGCCCTGCCCAGGAAATGGAACCAACAACCTTTTGGTTTGCAGGATGATGCCCAACTCGCTGAACCACACCAGGCCAGGCCAGGCCAATGGTTGATTCTTGTATGTGTCCTGATCAGGTGTTGAACCTGCAACCTTGGAGTGTTGGGTCAATGCTCTAACCTACCAGGCCAGGACACTCTCTCTTTTTTAATACGCAGCAGGTGGTTTCAGAGAGCTATTCTCACCCTGCCTTCTGAGAGGGTGGTTGACATGTTGAAGAGGAATGATTTCCGTCTTCCCCTCCACTTTCTCATCCTGGCAGGTTTTTGTTCTCAAGTTCCACACCATTGCTCGGTACCAGCTCTCCGCCATTTTTAAGAAGTGCAAGCCTCAGTCAGAACTCGGAGCCGTGGAAGCAGCTCTGCCTGGGGTGCCCGCTGCCCCTGCAGCTCCGGGCCCTGCCCCCTCCCCGGCACCAGTTCCTACCCCGGCCCCACCCCCACCCCCTCCCCCTACCCCTGCCACCCCTGTGACCCCAGCCCCTGTGCCTCCCTTTGAGAAGCAAGGAGAAAAGGACAAGGAGGACAAGCAGACGTTTCAAGTCACAGATTGCCGAAGTTTGGTGAAAACCTTGGTCTGTGGAGTCAAGACCATCACGTGGGGCATCACTTCCTGTAAAGCGCCTGGTGGTAATTCCCCTCTTGAATTTTTTAGACAAACATTGTTTTTCAGAGTGGGTTTTATTTGCATTGACTTACTATGCTGTCTCTTTTCCAGAAGCTCAGTTCATTCCCAACAAGCAGTTACAGCCCAAAGAAACTCAGATTTACATAAAACTTGTCAAATATGCCATGCAGGCTTTGGATATTTATCAGGTAGGGAAGCACCCTCACACCAGTCTGTCGAATGTGGAAATTACTCCTTAGCATTAGAGACGCTGCGGACTGAACCGAGTGGGTTGTGAGGCCCTGTTACTTGTGAATGGTCACTGCAGGGGTGCCCAGCCTTTCAGCGTCTCTGCGCCACACTGCAAGGACGGTTGTCTTGGGCCCCCCATCAAACACGCTGTGACACGTAACCACAAAAAACATCTTGCGGTGTTTTCGGTAAATTTATGACTTTGTGTTGGGCCGCAGGGCGGACACCCCAGCAGTGTCCGTGTCCGCAGGTTTGCTTCAGCCTGTGGCACAGCAGTGTGTGTAGGGTGAGACACTTATTTAGAGTGTCCACATGTGTATTTTGGGGTGGCGGTGTAAATGGAGTGGAATAAAAACAAGATTTAAGTTTACCAAATTTGTAGTTTGTTCCTTTTGGACCACTTAACCAAAAATATTTTGAAACATTTTCTAAAATTAAGCTAAGAATAGAGAAATTGAAAGATTTTAGGGGGTGGCATTTATTACTTAATTCAAGTGCTTACTTTGAAAAATGTAGCTGTCTGATTAGGTGATGGAATGTGTTCAGAGACATGCGGTTTTAACAACCACGCTGGGTGTGTTTTTTCCTGCGGCAGGTCCAGATAGCAGGAAATGGACAGACATACATCCGAGTAGCAAACTGCCAGACTGTTAGGATGAAGGAAGAGAAGGAGGTGTTGGAACACTTCGCTGGCGTGTTCACAATGATGAATCCCTTAACTTTTAAAGAAATCTTTCAAACTACAGTCCCCTATATGGTGGAAAGAATCTCAAAGAATTATGCTCTTCAGGTATAAAACTCCTTTTTTATATTCACGTGTTTCGTTTATATGTTGAATTCTTGGTATTGTTTATTTTGAGGATTTCCTATAAATACTAAGCAAATTTAGAGAAATATTAAAATATTTCCTCAAACTCTCAAGATACTTTGCACAAAAGTTCCTTTCTTTTTCTTTTTCCTCGTCCTCCTTTTTCTTCAAGATCTTCTTTATTTTTAGAGAGGGAGGGGAATAGGGAGAAAGGGAGAGAAACATCAATGGGTTGCCTCTTGAACACCCCCAAATGGGGACCTGCAATCCAGGCAGGTGCTGTGATGGGGAATCACACTGGTGACATTTCAGTTTATAGGAGGGCACCCAACCCAGTGAGCCACAGTCAGGGCTGGACAGGCTCCTTGGTTCGTAGAAATCCAGTGTGTGGTAGGTCTAGGTTCTTGGTATTTCATGGTCAGAATAGAATGCCAGATTAGTACTTGGACTGTTCAAGTCAAGGCTCAGTAAATCTCTTTCATTATTTTTTCCCTTAGTGAATAATTTCTTGGACTGTGTGACAGGTTTGGTTTTGCATTTTTGGAAAATTTATTTCTCTTAAAGATGCTTTGAGGAAGGAATTCTTTTTTGTCACATTCGTTTCTTGTTTTGACAGATCGTTGCCAATTCCTTCTTGGCAAACCCTACTACCTCTGCTCTGTTTGCTACAATTCTGGTGGAGTATCTGCTTGACCGCCTGCCAGAAATGGGCTCCAACGTGGAGCTCTCCAACCTGTACCTCAAGCTGTTTAAGTTGGTCTTTGGCTCGGTCTCCCTCTTTGCAGCTGAAAATGAACAAATGCTGAAGGTAAAGCTCATGTAGATCCAAGTAGGGCTTCGTTTTAGGGTTTATTGTTGCTTAATTCTTGTTTACACTTTTGAACAAGAACTAGAATGGCTCTTTTTATATTTGTAAAGTGCTCTTTGAGTTCATAAAATATTTGTAACAAGTAAGGAAGGGCCAAGTGTGAAAAACATTTCGTATGTTTCTGAACAAAGCTTGATTTATCTGGTGATTTAAGATGAAAACTTCAGAACACTTAGGACAGGTAGGTGGGTGGTTATTAATATTGCTGCCAGTAATTTTCCTTTTCAAATTTTAATTTTTATTGATTTTTAGAGAAAGGGGAGGGGGAGAGAGAAACACTGATTTGTTGTTCCATTTATTTATGCACTCACCGGTCGCTTCTTGTATGTTGCCCTGACTGGGGATTGAACCTGTAACCATGGTGTATCAGGATGACACTCTAGCAGGCTGAGCTACACAGCCAGGGCCTACTTTTCTTTCTTAAATTCAATGTCTTTTTCTGGATTATGAAAGTGAAATTAGAAGCACATCATCCTTGCTTTAAAAATTAAGTGATGCAAAAAAAAATAGAAGGAAAAAATGTCTTCCCTTTCCTCTTATCTGATGAGATACATTAGCCATTTCCCTTTAATTTTGTTTCCTCTGTGTGTTCATATTCTCTGTGGCAATACATCAACATTCCATTCGAGGACTGTTCATTTTTTCCCCTTTAAGTCAAGAATTTGTATCATTTTTGTTCCTTAATTACAATCATCTTGGAGAAGTGTGATTCCAACATTTTTACAAATGACTAATCCTGTGTGATTTGATTCCATCAGTTGTTTGATTCTAGAAAATGGGTAGAAGCCCACTCATGGTTCTGTCACACCCTCAAAAGTGTCCGATGGCAGAACACAAGCCTTGTAAACATTCCCTTGTGAACTCATGGCGAAACTTGAGCTCCCGTAGGAAGTTGGATGTTGCCACCAGTTGAATCTGAAGAGAGACATTTTGCAGAGAAAGTCTGAAGCTGTAAATAAGACCCGTGTTTGTTAGCAACCTTAACATTACTTTTGTGTTAATATGAAAGAAAAATACTTTTTTTTTTAAATAAGAAGTATGTAATTGTCATATATCCCCATGACTTGATATATTCACATAATTCAGTTTGCGCCCACACTAGACACAGCTGTACAGAACCACAGCAGCAAAAACAAACCTAACAGGGTTGGTAGCTCAGCTGGTTGGAGCACTGTCCCGATACACCAAGGTTACAGGTTCGATCCCCGGTCAGGAACTGTATAAAAAGCAACCAATGGATGCATAAATGAGTGGAACAACAAACTGATGTTTCCCTCTCTTTCTCCGCTCCCCACCTTCCCCCTCTCTCTCAAAGCGGTAAATAAAAATTGAGCATCTTCCCAGTAGGTTATTTTTTTAAGAATATACTGAAGAACAAATTCATAGAACTTTCGGTCTAGAGGACATGTATGCAGTTGGTTTATTTTGTAAAGGAAATGCATCATGCCGTATATAGGAACAAGTTCAGAATTGTACCAGTGACCATGCCAACAGTTCACAGTTCTTGGTTCACTTTGAGTGAACCTGCAAGAAAGTGTCATGTTAAATTTAACTTATCGCATGTCAAAACCAGGATTTGAAGTACAAGAGTAAAAGCTCAGTGTGGGTTACAATGTTGATTAATATTATTATAAGCTAATATAATGCTTTTTAAAAGAAATACCTATTTTTCAACCAACTCTTCCAAAAATCTTACCTTAAATGTCTTTTGAGGCTGTTCCAAACTTTACATATTTTTTAAAAAGATTTTATTTATTTATTTTTAGAGAGAGAGGGGTGAGGGGAGAAAGCGAGAGAAACATGGATGATCTACAAGAGGTCTTGTGTATCCATTGGTTGCCTCTAGCATGCAGCCCAGGCATGTTCCCTGACTGGGAGTCAAACCAGTGACCTTTCGATCCGTAGGCCAGCACTCAATTCAGTGAGCCATAGCAGCAAGGGCCAAACTTGACATTTTTGATTGTTAGGGAAGTTTAGTTTCTTTAGGTGGTTTGTGGCATTTAGACTTGCATAGGACACGGGGTTCTTGCCTCTTGTTTGGTTATTTAGTGACCATATTCACAAGAGGTGCAGAGCCTACAGATGGGAACCTATTAAATGCTTCTTCCATAGCCAGACTGGTAGGAAGCAACATACATGTTGCGAGAACTGAATTTGAGTCGAATGTAGGTCGGACAGTGCTTGTCTGGTTTTCCTTTTGGAGTACATTTATCAGATCGCCTTCCGTCTCCGAGTGATTTCGGTGAACGTTCGATGTCGCTCCCAGGGGTGCGGGCCCTCCTCGTTAACCTGTCCCCCTCACCCGCCGCAGCCCCACCTGCACAAGATCGTGAACAGCTCCATGGAGCTCGCGCAGACTGCCAAAGAGCCCTACAACTACTTCCTGCTGCTGCGGGCCCTCTTCCGCTCCATTGGTGGGGGCAGCCACGACCTCCTGTACCAGGAGTTCCTGCCCCTCCTCCCGAACCTCCTGCAAGGTGAGAGCAGCCCCTCGGGTTCATGCTGGGTCTGACTACTTTGGTTGCTGGGGTTCCTCTTCTGCACCCATCGGAGGTCATGGTGTGGGTGTCTGTGTGCATGTTCTCCCCCGGGGGAGGGGGGGCGGGGAGAGCATGCTCACGCCCAGTCCCAGTGTTCCACTCTTTCAAGTCAGTAGGACTTAGAAAGGACCCCCCTGTTCACGCCCAGGCTGCTCCTCTCTCTTCAGAGTTGCATGAGAGCTGGAAGGTTGTCGTGTCTCCAGTTAGGACTTGGTTGTGTTTTTCAGCATTTGGTGAGCAAATCTAGGAAGAAACTTGTTTCTAGTGGTTTTGTGAGACCAGGAATCCCTAGATTTGAAAAAGAATCAGAACAAGAAGGGAAAAGACAAGTTACAAAGCTGATTTATAAATTTATATCTTTATTTAGTTGCCACTTGACATAACCATAGTCCTATAATTCCTGTATAATTAGGAGTGCTTTCAAGGTACAGAGCTAAAGGGCATCTTGAGTCCATTCGGTGTTCATGGGTGTGAACTGATTGGAAACGCTGTCCCAGGGATTTGTGTTGTTAAGTGTGTGAGCCCCTGGCCCCATGGCCAGGGGAAGTTATTTACAGCGTAGTATGCCCAGGAAACAGCTCGGAAGTGTTTGTGTATGTTGCCTGTGACATGCTCATAGGCCCACCAGACAAGGCGCTGAACCACAGTCAGGCGCCACTGTTGATCTTTGGCCCCATCTCTAGGCAGCCCTCAGCCTGAGCCCTCTGCACGCCCTCGGCTGCCCCAGGCTCACCTCTCCCACCCACGTGAGTTCAGGCGGAGCCCTTTCTGGGCACTTAGCTCCTCTTCCCGTCCTGCTCCTACCACGTGATGCCTTCTGTCCGCTGCTCTGCTCTGAGCTTGAGTTAACCTGCAGTACCTGTGAGGCGCCTCGTGTCGGGTCTGCTGTCATACACGCTCCTCTTCCTGCTCGTCTCTGAGGGCGCTGAGAGCCTTTCTTCACCTGCCTTGTGCCGGTTAGGAAGGAGCTTGGCACGTCCTTGGCTACCCTCATGCAGAGTGGGGAGGTCGGCTTTATAAGGAGGAGGTGTTCCTCTCTATAAAAATCAGAAGGGGAGCCTTAGAAAAATAGTTACATTTTAGAGCGTAGATATCAGTCGATCTACTGGAGGCTTGAAAAAGGATGTAAGATTGTAAATCGCAAACTTGAGATGAACATCTCATATCAGAAGCTTGTGTCTTTAGATTGGGCTTATTAATAGTATAACATTTTTGAAAGGTCGACGTGTGATGTTTGTTTTATTGCAAGAGCACAATAGTATAGTTACAACTTAGTTTGTAATTAGGTGCAACCTGCTGTTGCTATGACTAGCGTAGACAAAGGGATCATGAGGCAGTTATGGAACAGGTTGAGCTAATGAATATAGCGGCTTCCATGGAGGGCGTGAAGTGTGTCCCCAGTGTGCAGGGCAGAGCAGTCGTGCTGTGCAGTGACTCTGGCTGGTGCCTGCACAGTGACCCCCTCTGTGCATGCCCCTCCCACCCCGCAGGGCTGAACATGCTGCAGAGCGGCCTGCACAAGCAGCACATGAAGGACCTCTTCGTGGAGCTTTGCCTCACTGTGCCCGTGCGGCTGAGCTCCCTCCTGCCCTACCTGCCCATGCTCATGGACCCCCTGGTGTCTGCTCTCAATGGCTCGCAGACGTTGGTCAGCCAAGGCCTGAGGACGCTGGAGTTGTGTGTGGACAACCTGCAGCCCGATTTCCTGTACGACCACATTCAGCCGGTACGCGCAGAGCTCATGCAGGTAAGTCTTGTTCTCCTCGGCGCCAGCAGAGGGCGCCAGGTGCTCACATGTGTGGTCTTCGCTGAAGACGTAGGCAGGCAGGCAGTGTCTGGCCATGACGACCCTGTTGAGCTCTCCACGCTCATTGGTGGACTGTCTGCGGGATGATGTGGCGAAGCTGTGAGGGACTTTGTGCGTCTTCTGGCTTGTGAGAAGGCGTAAAGAAAACTGTAAGTACCGAGTGGATGCCGGCTGTGCAGTGCTGCCCCTCCTGGAGGCTGTCACAGCTGCCGCCTTCTCACCGAGTTGATGGCGTGCAAAGGCAGGTGTTGTGGCCATTGGGGAGATAGGTCCCTTCTTTGTTCACAGAAGGTCTTGAGTTACCCAGTAAAGAGATGCAGATTCCCAAGGGAAGGCGTAGCTGTCTGCACACATTTTACGTTTTTTGTTCATGAGAGCTCAAACGTCATGTACCAGATTTTCCCTTCCTGTTTTGTTGCTGTTACTGATTTATAATGTGGTTGATAGTTGTTAGAGGTTTGTCTGTTACTTACCCATGTGCCATGTTAGCACATAGTGTGTGGCCCTAGGCTGGGGCCAGAATTCTGCTGGCTGTATGTAGTGGAGGCTCAGCAGTCCCTAGAGGATAGGGGTCTTGGAGCAGAGTGGATTGGAGGTGGCACCTTGGAAGCCCTGAGCCAAGAAGGGGTGAGCACCCTGTGGGAGGAAGAGGCAGGGAGGGCTTCCCTGGCTTCTTGCCAGCCTGTCAGGCAGGCAGCCCTAGGGAGAGACGGGGCTCAGGCTGCTTTGGGGGGGCACACGACCAGCCCGTCCACTAGACAGTGGCATGAGTTGTCTCACTGCAGCTGGTCAACCAGTTCAGTCCACTTGGGCACCGGGACGCCAGCCCCCTGGGGAGTTCAGCAGATATGTGAGGAGTGGGTGGGCCAGGGGGAGGGGTGGAGGTGAGGGGACTGGGGCAACACCTCTCAACAGTCCTTGAGGAGAAGTCTCTTCGGACCTATAGGAATGGAAGAGAAATTTTTGCTTTAGAGGAAAGTACCAAGGTTTTATGTTGATTATTGCTAGATATTAATATTAGGCATTGTACCAGAAGGTGATTTAAGAAAATATGCTTTAATAGTGAGCTTGGTAATTTTTAAGATACGCTTAGTTAGCTGGGAAAGTGGGAAAATTGACAGTTTTTTTGAACAGCTGAGTGTGTGTATCCCCTTTACTAATCATCAGTACCAGGTGCACGGTATTTGCCCCCCACAGTGCTGGTCTGGTCGCGGCGTGATCCTCGTTTTCCCCCTGTGCCGTCCTTGCTGATGTGAGGTTTGAAATGCATGATTTCTGTGTCGTGTTTTGAAGTTACAGAACCTAATAATAGAAGTAAAAACCTGAGAACTCACCATCTACTCCCAGGATGAGAATTTACCAGTAAATTACATTTTCCTCTATGCTCTTCCCAGTCGCATTTTGTAAAGATGCCTAAACTCTCTGTTGCTTAGTTTTCTTGCTTTTAAGCTCTGCAACATTTACTGTATGCCACCATTTGTATTTCAGGAGCATGGAGGAATGTCTGTATTTATATTTACATTTCTGTAAACACAAAAAACTTTTCTGGGAGTATACACAAGACCAGTCACATGGTTTTCCCCAAGAAGAGGCACTTGGGTGTTGGGGGGGCCAGGCGTGGAAGGAAGAGCACCTGCTGCACAGTCTGTTATAACTTCTGAATTTTGACTTGTGGACCGTGGGAGTGCATGACCTTGAAAGGGTTTTAATGGGGGCGTGTTGGTTTCCAGGCCCTGTGGCGCACTTTGCGCAACCCTGCTGACAGCATCTCTCACGTGGCCTACCGGGTGCTCGGCAAATTTGGTGGCAGCAACAGGAAGATGCTGAAGGAATCCCAGAAGCTGCACTACATTGTGACTGAAGTTCAAGGCCCCAGTATTACTGTGGAGTTTTCCGATTGTAAAGCATCTCTTCAACTCCCAATGGAGAAGGTAAATGTGGAAGTCTCTGGGAACTTCTAAAAGATACTATAAGTTTCATTTTAACAAAGTTAATTTCTATTTGAAAATACGTGAACAAAGCATGTACTTCTTTGGGGATGGAATTTCTAATTCAAAGAAGAACAAGATTTATTTGGGGAGCAGCTTGGTTGGCAAGGGGCTTTCATACCACAGGAGGCCGGTGGGGGGTGTTGTCCCTGAGGCTTTGGACCCTTGAGCAGCTCCATCTTCCCGAGGGACCAGAAGGTGAGGCCCTGCCCGCCCAGTGCTGGACTGTGTTTTGACACACAGTGGACTTTACCTTGAATGGCACTTAGAACCCAAGTTCTTGCCATTCTTGCTTCTCACCCCCGTGTCTCCAGCGGACCTTGCACTCTCCTGACCTCTGAGCAACCCCTGCTGCCTTTCCTGGCTGCCCAGTCCACTGTGAGCGGCTGTCTGCACGCCCTTTGGAACACTTTCCATCACATAAGAAATGAGCAAACTGTGCCCCCAGTATCTTGCAGTGTCCCATCCAACTACTTTTGCTTTATCCTCATTGAAAAAACTGTTCTGCCCTGGCTGGGTGGTGCAGTGGTTTGGAGCGTTGTTTAGCACACCAAAAGGTGGGTTTGATCCCTGGTCAGGGCACATGCCTAGGTTGTGGCCAGGGCATATATAGGAGGCATTTTTTTTTTAGGAGGCAACTTATTGATGTTTCTCTCTCATGTTGATGTGTCTGTATGTCTGTATCCCTTGCTCTCTAATATCAGTAAACATATCCTTGAGTGAGAATTAAAAAAAGAAAACTGTTCCCCCTTCATCTGTTGACCCCTCTCGGGGTTTACATGTGTATTGTTGTATTGTTCTGCGTACTTGTAGTCTGCATTGTTGCATTTGAATTTTCCTCATTGTATAACCAGCTTCTTTCTCACTGTGCCTTTTATATAGCCTTGGTTGTCACGTGTTTTCATAACATCCTTCTGTTCCTTGTATCCTGGGTATTTTAAAGAGAATTAGTGTAGGCTTTTACGTGTATCCGAGAGCCGAGTCTGTTCATTGAGCCCCTGTCGGCGGAGACTCCTGTGCCACATGCAGATCTGGCCTCACACCAGTGTTCCGTGACCTGGAGCGACTCAGCTTCTCCTTTGCTCAGGCCAGCTCTGTTCTGTCCTGTTCCATCTTGTAGGGCTTGGCCTGTTAACCTGTCTGGGTAAGAATTCACCCACATAGTGAGTTCTGTGGGGGTTTTTTAGTGTATTGGGATAGCATTGGCTAATCATGTTATAGAAGTTGCAGATGTACAACTTTACAATACACCATGTGTACACTCTGTTGTGTGCTCGCCACGCCAAGTCTGGTCTCCTTCCGTTGCCGTGTGTTTGACTCCTTAACCTTTTTCGTTCTTTCTCCACCTCCTTCCCCTCTGCTGGACCCCCCTTCTGTTTCTGTATCTGTGAGGTTTCTTATTTGTTTTCTTTTATATCCCACATGAGTGAAATTATACAGTTCTAAGCCTTTTATCTTGACTTATTTCACTTAACATAACACTCTCAAGATCCTTTCATGTTGTAAATGGCAGTGTTGCAGCTTATTTATGGCTGAGTAATATTCCATCGCATACGTGTACCACATCTTCATCCATCCATCCATCAAAGGGCACTTAGGTTGTTTCCAGGTCTTAGGCGTTGTAAATAATGTTGCAACACAGGGGTGCATATATCTTTACAAATAAATATTTTCATTTTTTTTTGTGTAGACACCCAGAAGAGGAATTGATGGGTCACATGGTAGCTCTATTCTTAATTTTTTGAGGAATCTCCATACTGTTTTCAACAGTGTGTGTACCAGTTTACACTCCTGCCAGCTGTGTGTGAGGATTCCTTTTTTCCCACATCCTCTCCAACACTTGTTTCTTGCCTTACTGATAAAAGCCATTCTAGCAGGTGTGAAGTGGCATCTCATTGTGGTTTTGCTTTGTATTTTCCTTATAGATTAGTGATATTAAGCACCTTTTCATGTACCTGTTGGCCATCTGTATGTCTTCCATGGAAAAGTGTCTTGAGGTCCTCTGCCCATTTCCTTCCTTTTTCCCTCCCTCCCTCCCTCCCTTCCTTTCTCCCTCCTCACTTGAGGATACATTTATTGAATTCAGAGGGGGGGAGAGGGGAGAGAGAGAGAGAGAGAGAGAGAGAGAGAGAGAGGGAAAGAGAAAGAGAAACATTGATCGGTTGCCTCCCGTATGCTCCCTGACTGGGGATTGAGCCCACAACCCGGGTACGTGCCCTGACTCAGGATCATACCTTGAGCCTTGTGGTGTATGGGACAGTGTGCCAACCCACCAAGCCACCTGGCCAGGGCTGCTTACTTTTTAATCACGTTGGGGTTTCTGTCACTGAGTTGTGTGAGTTCTGTGCGTGTTGTGGAATTACTGCCTGTGGGGGTGCTGTCTGCAGAGTGCTTCTCCGTTCAGCTGGCTGCCTGTTCGTCCTGGTGGTGGTTTCTTCGGCTGTGCAGTCCCATTCATTTTCCCTTCCGTCTCACTTTCCTTTGGGATCAGGTTCACAAAAGTCCTCTCAGACCACGGCCATACGTTTAGTGTCTGTGTTCTCTTTGTATTTTATTGTTTCAAGCCTTACAGTCAAGTCTTAGTCCATTTTGAGGTAATTTTTGTGTGGGGTGTCAGGTGGTGGTGTGCTCTCACTCTTTTGCATGTGGCTTTCTGGTTTTCCGCAGCATTTGTGCATAAGACTTTCTTTCTCCATTGCATGTTTCTGGCTCCCTTGCTGCAAGTTAGTTGCTCATACTGTGGTTAATCCCTAGGCTGTCGGTTCTGCTCCTTTGGTCTGTGATTTTTTCTGCCAGCTCTAGACTGTTTTGATGACTTTTTGAGTAGCTTTGTGGTATGACTTGAAGTCAGGGAGTGTTTTATCTACTGCTTTGTTCTTTCTTTCTAAGGATCACTTAGGGGCTATTTGGGGTCTTTTGTGGTTGCATATGATTTTGATTTTTTTGTTTTAAATATTTCTGTGAAAAATGCCATTGGGATTTTGATAGGGATTGCATTAAATCTGTATGTTCTTTTAGGTATTAAGGCCATTTTAACAGTGTTAATATCTCTAATCCATCAACACAGAACATCGTTTCTCTACATGGAACATTATTTCTTTATGTCATCTTTAATTTCTGTCAACAGCGTCTGTACTTTTCGGTGTACGGGTCCTTCTATTAAGTTTATTCTTAGGTATTTCATTCTTTTGTTTTGCTAGGATTGTTTTCATTTTTCTTTCTGCTATTTAATTAGTGCATAGGAGTGCAGCAGATTCTTGTATATTGATTTTATACCATTCAACTTTACTGTATTTGTTTACCTTTTCTAATACTTTTTTCTGTGGTGTCATTAGGGTTTCTGCATATAGAATTGTGCCATCGGCAAGGAGTGACAGTTTAACTTCTTCATCCCCGGTTTGGATGCCTTTGTTTCTTTTCCTTGCCTCGCCACCCTGGCCAGGACTCGCAGCACTCTGCTGCCGTGTAGTGTTGGTGCTGGGCATCCTGTCTTGTTGCCGAGCCCTCAGTTCTTCCCCTTTGGGCAGGAGGATAGCTGAAGGTTGGTCCCATATATGCTTTATGAGGTGCTTCTGTGCCCATCTTTACTGAGTGTTTCTGTCATAAGTGGGTGTTGTCTCCTGTCAGATGCTTTTCCTGTGTTTATTGATGAGGTCATGTGACATTTCTATCTTTTATTTTGTCAGCGTGGTGTATCATACTTATTCAAAGATGTTGGATCATATGATCCCTGCATCCCTGGGATGAACACCACTTGATTTCGTGATTTTTTAAACCAGACCTGGCTAAGTGTTTGGGAGGGAGGATGCCCATCATGGGGAATTGTCAGGAGCTGTTTTCTGCCACCTCTCAGTCCAGTTGCCTCCACTTCCTTGCTGAGCACGCACCATTGTCCCCTCCCCCTCCCAGCTCCACCCCATGGAGCAGCATTGCCTTCTCCAGACCTGGGGGTGAGGTGTGAACTCAGCTTCCCATCCAAACCTTTATCATCATACTTGCCGAGGAGATGCCGCTTCCCTTCTGAGCAGACTGATGGCTAGAATGCTCTCTGTGTTCAGGGCGGCAGTCGCTGCTATGAGCTCCCTGTGTCGGCAGCATGTTCTCACGGTTGCGGTGATGGCTTTAAGTTAGGGCCTCTGTTTGCTTTAGCTCTGTCAGTGGCAAGGTTGATGACAAGTAGCGAAAACTAAGGCAGCTGACTCTGATTTGATGTCTGCATAGATAAGCAGAGCAAGAAAATCTCTTTAGAAGTAGTTTTTCCCCAAAGCTGCTACAGCGTGGGGGCCCGAGTTTGACAGAGAGGCGTCCACAGTCCTGCACACGCACGGAGGCGCATGGTGCCTGCTCCCCGGTGGTGCTGTGTCTGGCCTGCAGGCCTTCACTCCTTTCGGTGGGTCCTCGGCTCCCAGTTTGCACTGGTTCTTCAAATTAAAATTGGGGAAATTACCCTCACATGATTTATTATTACCTGTCAATGACCGGATCAGAGGATGCAGGAGAAGCGATGGTTCTGCTGTGCACAGAAGAACATGGGCTCGCAGCTGGGCCATGCGGTGAGCAGCTGTGTCACCTCCATGTGGCTGAGCGTGCTTTGTTGCCTGGCGGGGCCTCGGGTGCAGAGCTGTCTGTTGGCTCCCTCCGGCTGCTCACATGGAGCCCGGACAGACCTTTGACACAGATGAGGTCTCTGCTGTGCATGTGCACAGGCACCATCATGGTGATGCCCTAGTGGTCACAGGCTTCAGACTGTTTGTGTGTGAGACTGTGCGTCCCCTGCCTCCCTGGTCAGAGAGATGGAAAGGGTGAAAGTGCGAGTGAGTGTTGCTGTGCAGGTTTTCTGGGGAAAACAAATGACTGAAAACATTTTTCTCTTCTAAAGAGCAATTTAGTGAAAGCTTAGGAAAATTGTCTTTTAGTTCCGAAGTCAGACACAGGGAAGTCTGCAGAAAGTTCATCATTCTCCTGAGCACTGTGACCCGCGTGGAGACGACCCAGAGTCCAGTGTAATCCAGCAAGTCTGCCCCCAGGGTGTGAGCTCCCTGCATTTCCGGGACCTCCCATTGGCTATTTAAGCGCAGAATTAGCGATCTCCGTTTGACGTGTTAGTGTGAACCGTGCAGTTCCTTGCTTGCTGATGCGTCCACACGGGGAGCGCCTGCTAGCCTGTGCAGGCCCACCGTGATCGCTTCAGCAGGGCGTGCACACGAAGACTCTTCTGGGCACTGCCCGGGTGGTGGGTGCCAGCCTCTCAAAGCTGTTCGGTTCCGCACACACTAATCTCCATGTTCCTTGTCACCGCAGGCCATTGAGACTGCACTGGATTGCCTGAAGAGTGCCAACACGGAGCCCTACTACCGCAGGCAGGCATGGGAGGTGATCAAGTGCTTCCTGGTGGCCATGATGAGCCTCGAGGACAACAAACATGCGCTCTACCAGCTCCTCGCACACCCCAAGTATGTCGGCGGTCTGCTCCTCTGCATTGGCACGCCGTGTTTCGGGAGTGAGGGGTGGGGGTGGGGGTACGGCCCAGGTTCCTTAGCGCCACAGGCGCGCTCCTCCAGACTGGGAGAAGGACGTTCCGCCGGCCGATGCTTGTGTCGGCTGCTGGAGAAAGATGGGAAGGAGCTTGGGTGCTTGTGTGCTGGTGTTCACCTCCACGGTGGTTGCCTTTGTGACTGCCTCCTTGTTAGGTTGAGAGTTTCAGGAACCTAGGGCCATGCACTTCTCCCCCGTCCGCTTGCCCCTGTGGCCGCAGCGCCTGTCACGTGGTGCGCACTCAGTGGTCCTTTGCTTTTCCAGTCCTTGGGGACACTTTGTTCCCCAGTGATTTGTCGCATGACATTTGTGTTTTGCTCCCACTGTTCAGGTTGTGGTTAGTGGTTGCCCTGGGGGTGGGGTGGAGCTGACTTTTTGGGGTCGCACGTTTCAGGGTTGGATTGTGGTGATGGTTGTGCAGCTACGGAAATGTAAATCTTGTTGAGCCGTCTAATTAAGATAAATGAGTTCTATGTCATGTCAATTATTCTTCAAAAATCTATTAAAGATCGTTATGGAAAAGAACAAATGTCAAATTGAGCTAAACACTTGCTTTAAAAATGAGGAAAAAATAAAGTAAACAGAAGAAAAGGAGAAGAAATGAACAAAAGGAAAACATACAACAGAATGTAATTAAATTAAAATTGGGGAAATAAAGCCAAAAGTTGATTCTTTAAAGTCGTAATAAAGTGGAAAAACTTCTGGCAAAGGGGAAGGAAGAGAGTTGGGTGCCAGTCCCTCCTTCCTCAGTGCGAGGCGGAGGAGGCACAGGGAACCAGTGCCGGAGGCAAGAAGGTGGTGGCAGCCCAGTGTCTTTGACGTTGATGAAGTCATGAGGAACCACTTTGTTCAGTAAGGTTTCAAATTTCAGTTAAATAGGTGAATTCATAGAACAATAGGGTAATTATTTGGCCTTATAAACTTTTTTATGACATTGACATTTCTGGAAGATGTAGGCCAGTCACTTTGCAGCATGTCCCTAGTGCGGGTTTGCCCGTGTTTCCATGATTAGGTTCCGGCTGCTTGGCTGCCAGGACTGGGAACTGCCCTCATGGACCCCGAGGTGTTCTCCGCACAGACCCGCGAGGGGCTGCGATGCTGGCCACTCCGCTGGTGGGAGTGTTGCTGCCCTGTCCCCACTGCCAGGTTGAGATTTTACTGTTTGTAGTTGGTAAATAATTGGCGGGGAGATGGCCTGAGATGACGTGAGTGTCCTGCTTGTCATCAGGGTGCTATTTGCCAATTACAGCGTTTATTGATGATGCTTTCCTGATTCAAGTATTGGCATGATGATTACAAAAAGGTTTTCTTTCTAACAACTTTATTGAGGTGTGTTTTATATATCTAAGATTCATCTACTTCATGTGTTACAATTTAATGATTTTTAGTAGAGTGTTGCAAATATAAATCAGAATGAAAACATTTTCATCCCTCCGGGAAGATTCCTCAGTGCCCATTTACAGTGAACCCCCTCCCCAGCCCCAAGCAACCAGAGATCTACTCCCCGTCTCTGTAAGTCCACCCCTTCTGGACACTCTCTGTTTGAGCTGCTGTGTGTGCTGAGGAAGGGCCTTGTGGCCTCAGGCAGAACCAGAGTTAGTGGGAGAAACGTGAGGCGGATTTCTTGTCCTAGGAAGAAAGTTCTGTTAGTTGGAGCTGTTCAAATTTCAAAGAAACTAATGATTTTTAAAATACTGTTGACCGTTTCTTATCCCTGTGTTTGATGTCTGCTCGCCTGCCGCTGCCTGCTCGGGTTCTAGCTCGTCTCCTAGCTCGTCTCCTGTCATTGGCTGGGCAGTGAGCGCTTCTCGTCAGAGGGCGCCGCAGCTGGACTCAGTGCCCGAGGTGTGATTGTTACTGTGTGACAGATGTGTAGCTGCCTTTAGGTAATGGCTTTCTTTGTCCCTATGGGATCATGTTACTTCTTCGAATATCTCACACGAGGCGGGACACGCGTGGTGTCTTTTGAACCGCTGGCTTTGAGTGTTCGTGATGAGATTACCGTGTTCAGGTCCCAGTGCTGCTGGAGTCACAGCAGAGGGACTGTTCACTCAGGCCTTCCTGAGCAAGAGGAAGGGGGGCAGGTCAAAGATAAGTGCTCACGGTGGAAGCTCAGGACTTCGGTGTGTGACGATGGACTTAACTTTGTCTTCCAGCTTCACGGAGAAGACCATACCTAACGTCATCATATCACATCGCTACAAAGCACAAGACACTCCGGCTCGCAAGACGTTTGAGCAGGCTCTGACCGGGGCCTTCATGTCTGCGGTCATTAAAGACCTCCGGCCCAGTGCCCTGCCCTTCGTGGCCAGCTTGATCCGCCACTACACCATGGTGGCCGTCGCCCAGCAGTGTGGTGAGTGGGGCCGAGGCAGTGGTTGTGTGGCTTCTTCAGGGCGCCTCAAAAACTGGGTCAGGACTTGGTGGTGTTTCAGAGAAGCTGAGTTTGGCTGATTGAATTCTGGCCTCTGCTTTCTGATTTTCTGCTTCATTACGCTGAAAAAGATGGTTGGTGTTTTGGTGATGGGTGCTGTGTTGTGAAGACTGGGGTGCATAACAGTTTGCAGTCACACTCATTGTGGGCTGCCCCACCCCTGGGCCGTTTTCCACAGTGCCTCTGCTCCCCACCAGCTCCTCCGAGGCTCCCTTGCCATCCGTCTCTGCTCCTGGGTGGCCTCCGGGCCCTGCCCCATCAGGAGTGGCCGCTGGCTCTGCTGCAGGCGTCCTCGGGCTCTGGTGGGGAAGGGCTGCTTTTGTCTCTTTGGTTGTGTTTCTGACCCATTGCAGATGGTGCTTCTGTGAGAAACAGCAGGACTGTCAGGGCTCTGCCCAGTGCTTTGTAGGTTTTTGAGCACACTCAGTGTTTGTAGCTCCTTCCGACCAGTGCTGGTCAGAGGACACGCTTGGGCAGCACCACTCTGGCCTGTGTCCTCAGAGCCCTCGCCCTTGGGAATGCTGTGTGGCTCTCTTGGGGCACTGTAGGACATGGGGCGCTCTGCCTTCCCACTGGCCTTGGCCTCAGCAGTCAGCACTGTGTGGCTTTGCACTGTGGTGGTTTCTCAGTTTCCTCTATTAACGTGAACGTCCCAGCACACCAGTAAGCCTCCCGGTAACCCCCTTTTGGGTGGTACTGGGCCACACCAGCCAGGGCTTTTTATTGTTATTTTATGGCAGGAATGTCCAGAGGGTAGCTCATAGTCATTCCTGTGCTCTGCCCCTTGGCCTATTTAATGATTTTTTAAAAAAAGAAGGTACTCGATGGTGGGTCTCATTTTAAATTAATACATTTTGATTTATGATTGAGAGAACCTGAAAATAATACATTCAGATTATGGAATATAATGGAAAACATTCAGAAAAATTGCCTTAGTGCAAATCAGACTGCTTAGTTTACAAATAAAACTGCAGTGCAACAGAAGTTGGTCTGTTGAGTTCCTGACCCCAAAGGAAGGAAAGATGAGGTACTTTGGCAGCTTGAGGGACAAGAATATTGTCTGCATGTGCACGCTTGCTTCTCACGTGCCTGTGCACTCTCTCAGGTCCGTTCCTGCTGCCTTGCTACCAGGCGGGTGGCCAGCCCAGCACAGCCATGTTCCACAGTGAGGAGAACGGGTCCAGGGGCATGGACCCCCTGGTCCTCATCGACGCCATAGCGATCTGCATGGCATATGAAGAGAAGGAGCTGTGCAAGATCGGGGAGGTGGCCCTTGCTGTGATTTTCGATGTTGCGAGTATCATCCTGGGCTCCAAGGAGAGGGTAAGGATGGACTGAGGTGGGTTTTCTGGTGCTCGGCCTGACGGGGACCTGCAGTAACACGGGGGCTCGTGTGCTTGTGCTTCTCCGCAGGCGTGCCAGCTGCCTCTGTTTTCTTACATCGTGGAGCGCCTTTGTGCGTGCTGCTATGAGCAGGCCTGGTATGCAAAGCTGGGGGGTGTGGTGTCCATTAAGTTTCTCATGGAGCGACTGCCTCTCACCTGGGTCCTGCAGAACCAGCAGACATTCCTCAAAGCGCTTCTTTTTGTCATGATGGACTTAACTGGAGAGGTAGGTGACAGCCGGCACCCTGACCCACCGGGCTGTCCACGAAGCTGATTAGCCTGGAGAGGAATAGTTAGCATGAGCCAGTTCCACACATTTGCTCTCCTAAAAGCTTAAGTTCTGTAACAGTATCTTTAATAAAAGGGCGCGTTGGGACCCCTCTAGCTTCTCTGGTTGTCACGAGGAGCAGTCAGAAGCCAGACCACTTCTGTGGGGGGAGCAGCGCTCTCAGTCTTGCCCCAGAACTCAGGTGTGTACATGCTCCAAACATGTCTGCAGAAGCTGCTCTCTTTGGGTGGGAACCTGGCTCAGCTGTAGTGAAACAGAGTATGGTGGGCGTTGCTGCTGGTCTGTTCCGTGAAGATGAAGATCTTGCCTGCGTCCATATTCTCTTCCAAATGACAGACAGGAATTATGTATAAGAAGGTGATTTAGCTGCTGAAGTACCTGGTGCAGGTTATGACATCGTCTTAATGAGTTAGCTGACATGAGGGGTGCCCCCCACCCCCCGCCCCTTGGGAGTGTTCGTGGCGGGCGGATGTGCAGGAGCCATGGGGGCCCTGGGCCTGTTCTGTCTAAGGAGCCCCTGGCCTGCAGGTCTCCAATGGGGCGGTTGCCATGGCCAAGACCACCCTGGAGCAGCTTCTGATGAGGTGTGCAACACCGTTGAAAGACGAGGAGAGAGCGGAGGAGATCGTGGCCGCTCAGGAGAAGTCTTTTCACCATGTGACGCACGACTTGGTTCGAGAAGTCACCTCTCCCAACTCTACTGTGAGAAAACAAGCTATGCATTCCCTGCAAGTGTTGGCCCAGGTCACTGGGAAGAGTGTGACAGTGATCATGGAACCCCACAAAGAGGTGAGATTTATGTCACTGGAGCAGGGCAACTCGAACAAAACTTGTGAGACTTTCTTCCCTTCAGACCTGAGGTGTAGAAGATGCATAATTTATAACTCTGTGTCCACAGAGCGCTGTGTACACGTGGTGGTTTTGACCTCAGATATGCAGAAGTCAGTGTTTATGTGAGTGGTGGCTGTGTCGGTGACTGTTGGAGTCAGGAGAACAGAAGGCTGGTTCCCGGGGCCAGTGTAGTGGAGTTGGGTGGTGGTGGTTTTAGGAGAGGTGACTCTGGAGCCTTAGGAATGAAATGTGTCAGACACTCACGGCCCAGGTTTAGCACGTGAAGCATCCTTTGTCACCTAACTAAAAGACATTTGTCATAGCCTGTCATCTCTTGGGGTTCTCAGATTGGTCATTGTTTTAGAGTACTGGGATAAGAGGCATTTGCTTTTCAAGGGGCAGGCGGTCAGTGGTGCTTCCGCCTTGCCTGTCCTAGGTCCTCCAGGATATGGTCCCACCCAAGAAGCATTTGCTCAGACACCAGCCCGCCAACGCGCAGATTGGCCTGATGGAGGGGAACACGTTCTGCACCACGCTGCAGCCCAGGCTCTTCACGATGGACCTTAACGTGGTGGAGCATAAGGTGTTCTACACAGAGGTAGGGGGGTGGTGGTGCGCATGGCGTGGGTGGCGATGGCGTGTGTCTGGTCGCCTGTCTGTGTGTGCGGAGACTGGTCGGGCAGCATTTGGAGAGGGCTGGGGAGGTGCCACAATGAACAGCTGTAGCCCAGCCTGATGCACCACACTCGCACGTCACGTCTGGGATCGGGGAGAAGTGGGCACAGTGATTGCAGATAGGTGTCCTGCATCCTTTGAACTTTGCATGCCCTCTTCCAGGCACCTTGCTCTTTGGGGCCTGCAGGTCGTAATCTGGAGCTACAGCCACCGTCCATGTTAGTCTCTGTCCCATCAGCTGCTGCCCAGAGTAAGACGGCCCAGAGCAAGTGCCAGCTCACTGCATGTAGAGATCGTGTGGATGTGCCGTGCATGGTGAGCACTCCCACTTCACACGGATGCCCTCTGCAGCTCTGATGTCGAGAAGGTGCAGACACCGAGCCTGGGAGTTTGTTATTCCCTGAGGCCATGGCAGGGGCGCCTTGGGCCGTGGGTGGGCGCCACGATGGCGGCTTTAGAGCCTGCGTCCTGATCGCTGCCCGTCTCTGCCGGCCTCTCACGTTCAGTGGACTGGACTTGCCCTTTACTCAAGATGATGGGCCGAGGCAGATGGCATCTTACAAGTGTTTGTCACTGTTAACTTTCCGGTGTGTGGTGATACCAGACAGTGACAAGTAGAGATTAAACTTCATATACTGTCAAATTACAAGCATTCTGAGACTACATACGGGACTGCTCAGGTGGTCAGTCCCAACCTGCGCTGTGAGACAATCACGCTCCTGGAGGCATTGCGCTGCGGAAGCAAAGGCATCCTGAGTCACACTTGGTCTGAATTTCCAGTTATGACAGTTTACCTCCTGGTTTTTCGGGTCCTGTGTGTCTGTTTGGGCATAGGGTCATTTGATCGTGTGGTCTGGTTCTGACTTTTTGTGCCTTGTGTCTCTTGCGTAAGAGTCATCACTTCTGGGACTTGACTGAGGGTCCAGCAGAACCATCGGCAGTGGGAGGACAGCTTCTCTGGTGGTTCTGGAGGCAGATGCATCGTCACCTGCATGGAAATTTCCTCACTAAGCTCCAGACCAGAACCTGGTGGTGTTGAATGACAAATCTTGGAGAGGGAAACTAGTTTTCTAAGTGCATCAGTGTGCTAGCTGCAGCAAAACATGAGAGGATCTTTTGAAAAATAGATACTCTTGAGTCGTCTCTCTGGTGATTCGGGTTCAGTAGATAAATGGGGTCAGGCTGGGAATTGAACTTTTGAAAGCTTCCCAGGGGACTCTGGTGTATGGCTGTCCTGGGAACCCTGGCTTTATAGTGTGGCCACCCAGATACAGGTGTGGGTGTTCACATCTGTGCATGCATGCACACACTGGCCCATCTGAGGGGAGGACAGGGGAGGGTGGTTCCTGGCACAGGGGGACAGGGTGGCCCTTTTCAATACTTAAAAAAAAAAGCGTGGCCACTCAGATTTGAATTATAGCACATACACATGCTGAGCACTGGCCCAGTTCTGAACAAGGAGGAGAAGGTACTTGCCATCCTGGAATTTGCAGTGAGATAAAGTGACTCTCTGTGTGAAGAAAAAACATCGTGGTCTCAGTGGGTGAGAAAGTGTAGGGATTCATTTCACTGAGGCTAAGTTTGCTTAGAATTAGGAAGCTTAGTCACATTTTCATATGGAAATTTTTTAGGGTTTGAGCTCTGACTGGTGTAACTCAGTGGATTGAGCACAGGCTGCAAACCAAAGGGTCACCAGTTCTATTCCTAGTCAGGGCCAGGACCTGGGATGTGGGCCAGGTCCCTAGTATGAGGCACCCGAAAGGCAACTACACATTGATGTTCTTCTCTCATTCTCCTTCTCTTCCTCTCTCTCTAAAAATGAATAAATAAAATCTTTTAAAAAGCCCCAGAAAACTGACTTCATAGTAAATAAGTAAGTAAATAAATAAATTATTTAGGGTCTGAGTTCCGTCTGTCAGTTGTTGCATGTGTTGTGGGGTGTGTGGAAGATCACCATGTTCTCTTATTTGCGAGGTTCTTTTGTCTTTGCAGCAGAGTGGGCTAAACCGGGGTCTTCATCTTTTGCAGCTCTTGAACCTGTGCGAGGCCGAAGACTCAGCTCTGACGAAGCTGCCCTGCTACAAGAGCCTCCCGTCCCTTGTGCCGCTGCGCATCGCAGCCCTGAGTACGTGCGTGTAAACCCGAGAAGGGCTGCTGGGGGCAACAGCGAAAGGGGACAGGGGCTGCTTTTTGTCGTCTAGGGTTTTTTTGGTTTTTCACGTTGTTTCTAAGGTTGGGTCAGAAATTATGTTTGTATGTTTATCAAACTAGATAATGAGATGCCAGGGTTTTTCATAGATTGTTAGGGTTTAAATTATTTGCTTTGTGATAAACTGGATTTTACTCTGTAATAACTCCTTACCGTTCTCTCACACATCTCATGTTCTGGCCGTGCCGTTCACATTGCCATTTCCGCCTGACTCGGAGCGTAGGCATGAGGTGCCGCAGTCTGCAGACACGGTGACTCAATGCCGTCTGGGAACCCTTCTGTCTCGAGGCTTTCGTGCGTGTCAGTCTCCAGCGTTTGGCACTGGAATTGTGCTAAGTTTAGGAAAATACACTAAATCAGTTCTCCCCCTTATACTTACAGTCATTTCCCTCTTTCTTTTGGTAAATTCCAGTACAGATTTTCTCAGTTGACTGTCTCTTGCTTTCTGGATATTCTTCCTCTCAGTGAACTACCTGTAGACCCCTTGAATTAGTTAGTGGCAGAGGAGCTGAGAGACAGAGGTATAACACCCGATCCTGAGGATGGGACTCGGGTGCTGAAGACACAGCGAGCAAGAATGGGGGTGCAAGGCAGGCGTGTTTGCCAGCTTCTCACTCTGATGAGTTTTCTTACCTTTGGGATGCCCTCATACATTCCCATGAGCAAATGTTGGCATCCCTCTTGGTGGAATGTTATCTCTTAATGAACATAGGTTTGAGGGATGTCCCTTTTCCTAAGAGTATTTGTATTCTCAAAGTCTTGATCTCTCAAGTTGGGAGGAGGCTGCCTGACTAGACATGAATGCTGCGGGGAAGCCAGGCTGTGCCCCTCGCACGGGTCCATCCTGAGGCTGCCTTTGCATCAGCCACGCTCGCCCTGTGTGCAGGTGTCTTGGGCCCAGCCGTGTCGGTGGGAACCCCCTCTGCTCCTTCGTCAGCCTTTCTCCCTCTTGCCCAAGCAGTGGGAGCTTTACCATGGCCTTTCAGGCGGGCTGTTGACTTCACCTTCAGATAATGTGAGCAGATCGTGCGTTCTTTCATCTTTCTCGAGGTCAGACACTAGGAGAGAGGTTTAGTGATGCATATTTTTTTGTCGGTAAGAGTCTTTAGACAGGGAACTTGTTCCTGAGTTTTTCATGTTAATAATGAAATTGTATATTTCTCTCCCTAAAGATGCGCTTGCTGCCTGCAATTACCTTCCTCAGTCCAGGGAGAAGATTATTGCCGCACTCTTCAAAGCACTCAACTCCACGAATAGTGAGCTCCAGGAGGCTGGGGAAGCCTGTATGAGAAAGGTGAGGGGTGTGCGTGTGCGTGTGCGTGTGTGTGTGTGCACGCGCGTGTGTGTGCGTGTGAACTCTGCCTCAGGAGCTCTGTGTGCCTGGCAATGTCTGGGGTTATTAATGCACAGTGATTGTAATAATGTCTCTACCCGATCCACAGTCATACTGCACCTTTTAAAATATTAAGCAGTGATGACTGGTCTTCCTCATGACATAGAAACTTCTGGAATGTGTATGTTTAACACTCCACTTTCCCAGGAAAGACAAAAACTTGCTGCTAGAGGTGCATACAAGTTCTGTTCTATTATAAAGTATATTCTGTTATTTGTTTTCATTTGTAACCTTTCTTTTAAAATAGTTTTTAGAAGGGGCTACCATAGAAGTCGATCAAATCCACACACACATGCGACCGTTGCTGATGATGCTGGGGGACTATCGAAGCTTGACGCTGAACGTTGTGAACCGTCTGACTTCAGTCACCAGACTCTTCCCGAACTCCTTCAATGATAAGTTTTGTGATCAGATGATGGTAAGCCAAACACATGTGAACACACTCCGATAAATGAAAAAGTTTGTATCTTTAAAAATACGTAACATATGAGGTCTGTCCAGTAGGCATCCAACCATATAATATGAAAAAGAGAGACATTTATTGAAGAAGATAAAAGAACCATTGTACACAGGACGGTGACACCTCAGTCCCCTTCAAAGTAGGCACCTTTGGACCTCATGCAGTTCTCCAATCGCCATCAGTTGCCCTATTGCCGTATTTTCCTGAATCTCATCGGTGGTCTGAAATCTCTTCTTTCTCAAAGGTGATTTTAGTTTTGGGAAAAGCCAGAAGTTGAAGGGCACCAAATCTGGGCTGTAGGGGGGCTGAGTCACCTGAGTGATTTGATGTTTTGTCAAAAAACTCTGCACAAGACGTGATGCATGATGAGACTCCCAGTCACTAGTTGCCCATAGCTGTGGCCTTCTGAATCATCTGAAGAGTTTCCAAGGAGGAATGTTCAAGTTTATTGCCAAATTTGATGCAGATTCTTTGCTCTACGCGCTCAGTCATTATGAATGTGATGGCCACACAGTATACCTGCTCACTCAACAGCGTCTGCCGGGAGCCCCCACTGACTGGTACAGTGAAGTCGTCATTGTTCACACATGTGCATTCCAGTCCACTCTCCGTGGCTGCCAGGTTACATCGCTGTTGAGCAGACCATTCTCGCAGTGTTAACGATAGTGGGATTTTCCTGGACAGATCTTATATTTATGTGGTTTAAACTTCAAAGGGTGAAGAAGGGTGTGCTGTGAAAAGTCTCTCCCAACCCCTTTCCAGATTCGTCCAGTGTTAACAGCATCCTGCATGTTTTTCTGGAGGTGTTTTACATTTGCAGCGGGATGTGTATCCTTTTGCTGCCCACAAAAGGAAGCATAACATACACACAGTTCTTACCTTTCCTCTTTACCACCCACCATTTCGTATCGGAACACAAAGTGCTTCTTCACTCTCTTCTGATGACGTGATATTTGGTTGTGTGGACATGCCCTTGTTTATTTCTCCATTCTCCTACTGACGGTCACCTGGGTTCCCAGCCTTTTGCCACTGTAGACAGTGGGACAGCGAAAAACTTGTAAGAACTTTTAGAAGTCCTTTGAGTTTTAAGAATTACCAAGGAAATAATGATGCAAATAAAATCTGGGAAAAAGAAGAGAAAAAAATTTGGGGGGGCAATTTTTTAAAAAAGATTTTATTTAGAGAAGGGGGAAGGGAGGGAGAGAGAGAGAAACATCAGTGTGTGGTTGCTCTTAGCGTGCCCCCTACTGGGGACCTGGCCCACAACCCAGGTGTGTGTCCTGACTGGGAATCGGACCAATGACCCTTTGGTTCACAGTCCTGTGCTCAATCCACTGGGCCACTCAAGCCAGGGCCTGTTTGGCAATTTTTTGTAAAGATTTTGTTTATTTTATTTTTTAAAGAGAGATGGAGAGAAAGATTGATGTGAGAGAGACACATCAGTTGGTTGCCTCTCTTACACACCCTGATTGGGGAATGAACCTGCAACCCAGGCATGTGCCCGGACCGGGACTTGAACCTGGTGATCTTTTGCTTTGTGGGATGATGTCTAGCCAGCTGACCCACACTGGTCTGGGCTGTTTGGCAGTGTTTAAATTAGATGTGTAAATGGATGAAGGAGATTCACCTATTAACTCTCTTACGTATTTGACTTTGCTTCTGCTAAACACTTATAAATGATTTAACTTACGACTTCATGGAATGTTACCGCAAATATGCATGTATTTTTCATAAGTAGCCTTTAGCCACTTAAATATTTTAAGACACTAGAGCTCGGGCTGCGAACCAAAGTGTCGCAGGTTCGATTCCCAGTCAGGGTACATGCATGGGTTGCAGGCCATGACCCCCAGCAACTGCACATTGATGTTTCTCTCTCTCTCTCTATCTCCCTCCCTTCTCTCTCTATAAATAAAAAAAATCTTTAAATATTTTAAGACACTAGAGGTGGATGGGTTTTTTTTGTTTTTTTGTTTTGTTTTTTTTGTTGCTTTGATATACCTTTCCCTCAGTTGCAAACAGGAGTGAGCAGATAGATTGCTACATCTAGATATAGATACACTAGTTTCTTTATATCAGTAGACACCTAAACACTGAACAGTGACCCAAGCACCTGAGAGTTGACAGTATTATGATTGGCCCTAAAAGTTGTGATGCCCTAATCGAAGAGTAGAATTCAGAAGCAATGTTTTATGCAAGTGAGTTTTCCAAATTGGAAGACTCCTTCCCTTGGAGATTCCATACACATGTAATACAGGTGCATACCTGCCATTTACACCCACACACTGACAAGTGTGGTTCAGGTAAGTGACCATGAGCACTTCTTCCTGGGGCACAAGCACCATTGCTGTCCTGCATAACCTTATACCTCAGTGGTGCTTTCACACGGCAGGTGTGTGCGTGTCTTCTCCGTGTCCTACCGCTTCTGTATTTGTCTCCTGTTCAAAACTCGTCTCTTCCTTCTGGCAGCTGCCATTTCTCACAGTCTTTGCATGCTGGCCTGAGGCAACTTTGTTGGGTTTTTTTTTGCACTTTTTGTGTTTTTTACTCCAGTCCAATCCCTTCAGATCTGCTGTGAGCCAGTTCCTTCAGTGAGCTTTGTTGGCCGGTCTCTTTAGAGCAGTGTGCTGAGGGCTCCCTTATAGCCTGTGGCTTCTGAGACCAGGAGACTTTTCCCTAAAATAAAGTTACATGAGTTTGGGGGACTTCTTCCCTTCTCTGGCAGGATAGGTGCTTTCCGAGCGGTTGAAAAGCCTCTGAAAGCAGCGAGCGCTGATGTACATGGTTGAAGAAGGGTCAGTGTTGCTGTTTGGCCATCTCCATCTGGCACCTTCTTGCCTGGGTCTCCCTGGGCCCGTGTGGGTGTGTGTCTTGTGTTTGAGGCTCGGGTCTCTCCGCCGGGCCGGGCTGCTGGGCTCTGCCAGGTGTGGGGTCAAGGACACACTTGCCCTTACTTCGTCATGGCCTTGTCAGCCATGCTTAGTTGCTGAGCCTTTGTTTTCCCTCATGATATATATACCTTTGAGGTTAACAGCTCAAGCCTTCAGCATAATTTTGAGAGGTAAAATACCTTAAAATGGAGAGTGGGTGTTTGTGGAAACAGCCCAGGGATTTTCCTGTCTTAAAGTTTGAATTGTGAAGTCTGTTATGTGGCGAGTTGTTCTGGATCTCTCTCTGTTGAACTGGACGTGGGTTCTGCATACCAGTGGCGTTCTTCTGTTCCTGTGGGGACTCTTCACAGCTGAAGGGCGTCGTCGGCCTCTGTGTGTGTCTTTAATGTGGTTACTTTCCCGTCTTTGTTATAAATAGCTATTCTAGTAAGGTAGGTTTTAGGAATATATATTCTGGTGATTTCCTTGAAGGAATTTTACTGGTTGAACATAGTTAGCTTAGTGCACTTAATTTCTTGAAGAAATGTGTGTTGTTTTAGTGTTTCTTGATGTGTTTCTTGGAACATTGGCCCTGCAAGATGAAGGCTTTCCATGGAAAACCTACATTGGCCAAGTCTGGGAAACACAGCTCCCTGTATTCCTCCTGAAGTTCACACAGAAGGCTCACAGAAGAGTGTTCGGATGTATTTAAACCGTTTGTCCCCAAGCCCGTTCAGCCTTGAAGTCCTTTCTGAGCCACTCAACTGCTGTCCTGCAGGTGTCCGCGCTTTGGGGAATGTCTTGGGTCAGCGTGGGGTAGTGAAGGAGGACACTTCTTGGTATCTGGATGCTCCTGTGGTTTCAGCTGTGGGCGCTGAGCGCTTGTCTTCCTGGTTTCGCTAGTCACTGTGGGTGCGGTGGGTGGGACCCTGACCGCCACGTGCCCACGTCAGGCAGCGGTGGCTTCAGGCTCAGGGGTGCTCTCTTGTCGCTCTGGCAGAGGATGCATAGTCTGCACAGGGCGATGGCCCATGTTCTGCATGGAAGGGCCTGGCTGCCCGCCTGCCCTCACCTGCAGGGCCTCTGACTAGGTGGGGTCTTGAGCGTTCTCAGCAGCCCCTACGCTGCCCCTCTTGGCCCCTCAGAGCCCACTCCCCTCTTCCCTCTTCTTTTCGCCTGCCTGCGGCTGGCCCAGGTGCCCTGCCCCCGCAAAGCAGGCTCCTGTCACTGTCGCAGGCGTGTTCCTGTGCATGTTGGCGCCCTCTCCCCACTGGCGCCCCGACTCCGGGAACACTGGGGACACTGGCGGAGGAGGACCTTAGCACGCACCCAGGTCTGGGAATGGCGCGGTTTCAGGAGGTTTTCACCCTCTCTGGTTCCAGAACGCTAACCAGTTGCTCTCGGTTGGTTGGCTGGCCGGGCTGGTTCACGCACGGAGACACCGCCGTCCGCACATCACGTTGGACGGGAATGGACAGTGACTGTGTTTTCTCCGAAAAGCAGCGTGTCGGACTTGGAATGCTCCCGTGGCGGGAAAGCTTGTCTAAGGGTGTCTTTTCTCCCCACAGCAACACCTGCGGAAGTGGATGGAGGTGGTGGTCCTCACCCACAAAGGGGGCCAGAGGAGCGACGGAAACGTGAGTGGCGCAGTGGCTGCTGGGAGGGCCGCGGAGCCTGCCGTGGCGCACGGCGTTGTGCCGGCCGGGGTCTGGTTGGCTGGGGTCAGAGCCCGTTGAGTCGCTGCACAGGTTTTATTGGCATCACGCTTTAAAATTTTCTCTTGATTGTTATCGATCTTTTTTATGTTTCTTTAAAATCTCCCTTTGCTCACTTTAACATGATGTTTTTCTTGATGAGAATTTGGGGAAGCTCGAAATGTTCGTGTTTTCATTTTACTAGTTTTGCTTTGAAGTGTATGGAGTGTGCTTTCTGGACGTTCTGGCAGCTGCTGTTCGCTCGGCGGTGACTTCTCAGCGGCTGTTATCCATCGCTCTCCGTCCCCATCACCTCATAACAAACAGCGGTTTTAGGAGAATGTAACAGAGAATTACGTAAAAATAAAAGAATTTATGTTTTCTAGGTCTGTGTCCCCCAGCCCAATTGTTTGCTAGAAGTCGAAGGGCCAGTATTTGAAAACACGTATTGGTGGTTTTGAGGGAAAACCACTTTAAGTCTTTGTACTTGATAATGGTTATTGAAGATGAGCAGCTCTTGCTGCTTTGACTCTAATCTTATTTATACATGTTACTGTTAATCAAAAATATTTCTGAAGTTGATGCCTGTCCTGTCAGTGAGGTGGCGTTTCCTGGGTCCCCGTGTCGCTGGGTGCCATTGTGTCCTGGGGAGGGACCCCTGTAGCTCCACAGAGGCGTAGTCCCCATGACTTTTGTACTGCTGTGCCTGTCTTGTCAGATGCCGTGTTTCATCCTGACTTGGTTTTTTGTTTTGGCTTTGTTACACTTTGTTTCAACCGTTCCATGTCACGTGTTTTATTTATGTAAGTCTTGTTTCTTGCTGCTTCTAAAGAGGGAACAATGAGCAAAGCTAAACCAGGGTTTTTAACTTTTGGGATTGGCATACCATCCGTGACCTCTCTGAAGGGTCGATATTTATGTAAACAGGAAGAAAGCCAGGGAATCTCGTGGGCAGAGCAGAGTGCATTTTAAAAAGCCTGAGCTCTTGGGAGTAGGTGCAAGTGCCTCTGTGCTTTTCCTTCCCATCTTTTGCCCCTTAGGTATTGTTGCTCTAAATTTCACACTTGTTTTTACAGTAAGCGGTTAATTATCTGAAACAAACAGCAGTTTCAGAATAAACAGTTAAAAACCTGTGGTAGATGAATGCCTTCCCTGAGATCACGTTGTTTTTCCAGGGGTTGTGGGTGGGGGCAGTGGCACAGGGGACACGTGGTGGGCACGGGGAGCCCTTGAGCTCCTGCCAATGGAAACGTGCTGGTGGTCTCATGGGTGTAGTCCTCGAGCTGCTCTGGGACACCCGGCCGGCTGCGTGAGGGAGGCCGTGGGCCTGAGCCCAGGACAGGGTGTGTGGTGTCTCCGGGCTGCGTGGCCATGGCTCCACCTGCCTCCTTCCAGGGCCAAGCCTTGCCTTCCTGCTCCTGGGCCCTGGTCACCTTCCATGCATGCCATCCAGGGTTGGGAGTGGGGCTTGGAAAGCAGTTTTTTCCTCGTTGGTCAAGCCCCTGAATAATATTGGTTTGTTGGGAAGCCACTGAAGACATGTTAAATAGTTGCCTGAAAATCAACAAAAGCCTCTTTGTAATGTCAGGCACCCCTGCTGATTGGAGGCTTGTACATCATTATGTTCAGGAAGGCTTGCCCATGTAGCACTGGACTTACAGGGCAGAACTCACCACCACCTGTGATGCCGTGTCTGTGCACACACACCCAGAACACCCCCCCCCCAACCCATGACACACTCCCAATGTGCACACACGCACACACACACACACACACACACACACACACACACACAGCTTGACTGGACGTGGGCTCTTCTGAGCGTTGGGGCCTCAGATGCGTCTCATGGGTGGGGCTTAAGCCCCCTGGTGATTTGACTTTGGCTGGCATAGAAGTTTTTAAAAGTGTCTTAGCACGTCACAAAAAAGCTTGAAGTATTCATTCTAAACAAAACAGTTATTTAAATGTATCTGCCTACAACAAGGTTCTGCAGTCTCTCCCCTCCACAAGAATTCTGGAATTTCTGTGTTTGAGAATGTGGCGTGTGGCAGGAATGCCTTCCACTCCACGCCATCAGCGGGGCTGTGCTTGACGCCTGAGGGGGGAGGTGCTGCTGCTGCTTCTTTTTGCTGTTGAGCATTTATTAATGATTGTGTGCTTTCTGATAATTGTGTCTCTACTGTCTTGTTTACTCCAATAACCCTTGCTGTGTACGAGTATACGGGAACTTTTTATGTAAATAACATGAATAGAAAAAAGATGATTTTCCTCCCCACCCTCAGGAGAGCATTTCAGAATGCGGGAGATGCTCCTTGTCTCCATTCTGTCAGTTCGAGGTGAGAACAACCTATTAAAAGTCAGTTTGTGACTTGCAATGTGAAGAACAGTTTATATTTTCTTTTCTTTCCTTTTTTTACCTTTCTGTTGCCTTTTTTCATGCTGTGATTTTTGTTTTGGTTCAGCCTGCCATGGAAGGGGTGGAGGTGAGAATTCCAGTGGAGGTGCAGGAGGGTCGTGGCCGTGCCCGGTTTGGCTGTGACTTGTGGTTCTGTGGTGGACAGAGTGCGTTGTGCCTCGAGTGCAGTGAGCCGTACTGTCTGTCTGTGGCAGAGTCGTGTCAGTGCCGTTGCTGTGAACTGTCCGGGTGCCACGCATGTTCTCACCCAGGGTGTCTGACCCAAGATTCTAAGTTCTGTGGTTTTCTACATGTCAGATTTGCAGTATCTCAACATTTAAGATTCCCCTGGATTTTGCTGTCATAGTTTGTATGAACTCGTACATCTAACCACTCTGGAGAGGACACTCCACAGAGACCATATTATTCCTGCTAGAAAATGGGGACAGTTAGAGAGTTACGCCGACAGGCTGCCTTGAACTTTAGACATTCATAGCTACTCTGCACCGAGCCCCCGATGTGGTCACCACACTGGGACTTTGATAGTCCAACTCCAAGGCTTCCCTCTTCTGTAAAATGGGGACGATAATACGTCATTTCTGTCCTCGGGTGGTTTTGTGACAGTGCTTTGGAAACGGAGACCTGCGACCTGAATGCACCGTTACTAGAACGGCGCTCTTATTCCGAGCTAGAGCTCCCTCCCTCTGTCCAGAGACCCGAAAATGCTGTAGACGAGGACTCCAGAGATGGCATGGAGGTGACAGCCAGCTGACTTTTCTCATTTCTTACCCATCTCATTGTTCTGCCTTTTGGTTTAAAGGGGATTTTGGAGACGTACCTCACATGCTGTGGTCCCTCACGACTGTGGTTTATCATCCCCATTTTACTGAGCCGAGGGCAAAGGACGTCCTGCCGCCGCACACCACCTGGGCACGTGTGCGTCAGAACGTCTTCCCGGCCTGTGGTCATGGGGGATTCCCTTTGATGGCAGACGCAGCCCTGGGGGCTGAAACTGAGAACTACACCCAGCAATTGGCCACTGAGCTGTTAGCACATTTGAAAAGTGCAAAATTCTTGGTGTTTTTCATTTTCCAATATGATTCAGTGAAGCAGTTGTCAGCTTTATTTTTAGGCCTGGCTCACAAATAATCAGTATCATGGTCAGTCATTTATTGACATCGATATTTCCAGGGCAAATACTTAAGTATTTTTTGAGGACTTAGTGTTAAGTTTTGAGGGCAAAATAAGTCTTTGCCTTCAGAGCTTGGCATATTGGGAAGACCCCATGATGCCACGAAAACCGAGGGAATCCTGCCACTCTCACGATCACACCCTCCCCTGTGGGGCCAGCCCAGGCCGCTCCCCCTCTCCTTGAGAGGGTCTGCAGGCCGAGGGGAGTTAGCCTCCTCAGGCCACAGCTGTGCTGTGGTGTTGGTGAGTTGTGCGTCTTACATGTTACCTCTTTGCTTCTGGCAGCCAGCCTTGCGAATGCAGCTAGACTGTAGTAGGGCCTGTAGTGATGTGGGCATCTCTAGCTGGTGAAGTTAATTGGCCTGTTTTGTAATTTTTTTTTTCTTCAATAGGAAATGAAAATTTGTTCGGCAATCATAAACCTCTTTCATCTGATCCCAGCCGCCCCTCAGACACTGGTCAAACCTTTGTTGGAGGTCGTGATGAAAACCGAGCGGGCCATGTTGATCGAGGTAGTGGTCGGACTTGGGTTTAGTGCTGAGCCTTCCCCATTTGTTGCTTGTAATGCTTTCCCTTGGGTGTATTTTAGGTGGGGTAGTCTAACAGTGTAATGGTCCCAGATACTGATGGTTGCTTGTGGTGTTAGCACACGAACAGTCACGAGGGAGAGAAGTGCACGCGCCTCCATGCATTTGTGCCATGTGTTTCCTAGGCCGGCAGCCCCTTCCGGGAGCCGCTGATCAGGTTCCTAACGCGGCACCCCTCGCAGACGGTGGAGCTGTTCATGATGGAGGCCACGCTGAACGACCCGCAGTGGAGCCGGATGTTCATGGTAGGGGCGCACGGGTGGGGCGTCCCTACCGGCCGAGTCAGTGGCGGGGCTGCAACCCGAGGTTCTGGTCTCAGCGCTTGGTGGCTGGCTTCCTTCTTCCCTAATGTGCAGACCCCATCCCCAGTCACGCCCCCTTTTTGTTACAAAGTCTTGTAGTGTAAGGTCATGAGCACGTAATTCTGTAACAGCAATATCACACTCATGCATACCATACGATGTTTTAGGTGAAATGTCCAAGTTGAAGCTGTAAGTTATCACGCCCATGTTAGTACCTGACCGACCACCCTGAGGCAGGCCTCACTGCTGCCAGACCCTGCGTTTGCAGATCAGAAACTGCCCTGTTGTGCTTGTAAGGAGTTCGTGTCCGAGGATCGCTCCCCGAAGGTTTTGGTGGTGGTAACAAATGAGTGAGGTGCTAGTATTGTCAGAATCATAATTGTAATGTGTGATTACTGGCTAAAAAGCATTTTTCAAAAAGAGTGTTCACTGTTTTTCTTATTTTTTTCCCAGTTTGCCTAGAGAGATTTAAAAGAACCTTAGGAGTTAATGTCATCTAAACTTTTTGTGATTTTTTTTTATTGGCTTAAAATGGCTTGCTTTGTTTTTAGAGTTTTTTAAAGCACAAGGATGCCAGACCTCTGCGAGACGTGCTGGCAGCTAACCCCAACAGGTTCATCGCTCTGCTGGTGCCCGGCGGCACGCAGACCGCTGTGCGCCCCGGCTCGCCCAGCACCAGCACCATGCGCCTGGACCTGCAGTTTCAGGCCGTTAAGGTAGCATCCCTTCGTGAAACACCTGAACTCTGAAGAGCTTAGTTGAGACACAGAGAGAACCCTGCCGGGACCCTAATTGTATCTTCTTTGACAGATCATCAGTATTATAGTGAAAAACAATGACTCCTGGCTGGCCAATCAGCATTCTCTAGTGAGCCAGCTGAAACGCGTATGGATCAGTGAGAACTTCCAGGAAAGACACCGGAAGGAGAACATGGCTGCCACAAACTGGAAGGAGCCCAAGCTGCTGGCCTACTGTCTGCTGAACTACTGCAAGTGGGTGCACTGCTCGGGTTCACATCCCATGACCCGTTCCTCCAGTGTGTGGTCTTTTCTCATTCCGTTGGGCACATGCAGTCCCCTGTGGTGCGGAGAACGGGTTATGGCGCAGCTGTTTAGAATTAGACAAGGCAGAGGCAATACGTAGTTAGGAAAATCGCCACAACATACCCTGTTTTCTTCTCCCCCGCTGCAGGAGGAATTATGCAGACATAGAATTGCTGTTCCAGCTGCTCCGAGCCTTTACTGGTCGTTTTCTCTGCAACATGACATTCTTAAAAGAATACATGGAGGAAGAGATTCCCAAGAATTACAGCATCGCTCAAAAACGTGCCCTGTTTTTTTTCTTTGTGGATTTCAACGATCCCAGCTTTGGAGATGAGCTGAAAGCCAAGGTCAGCCCCACTGTCACACAGCAGAAGCTGAGGGAGTTTGAGCCAGTTTTCCAGGGAGCCAAGGCTGCTACTTGTGTTCTGCTCCGCCTGTGCTGGCGCTTGAGCAGCAGTGCAGGGGCCTGGGGGCAGTGGCATCGTCGGGAAACCCAGGGCAGTCTGGCAGCAAGCCAGTGTCAGATAGTAGCTTATTAGTTTCCTCGTTTTCACTTTTTCTAAGTGGAGTTTATTGGGTTGACATTGGTTAATAAAATTATATGGGTTTGAGGTACAGTTTTCTTGTTCTTAGAAAATCACTCATTTTGAAGTAAGAAGAGTAAGCCAGACTGGTGTTTAGCCTGCCTGTGCAGTGGGCCCTTCGAGTGCGAGTCGGGGTTGTCAGTCGCACCCGTGACTGGGTTTTGCTTCAGGGGCTGCAGTGTGACCGCGCCGCGGGCCTGCCCACCATGTCAGTGAGACACAGAGCATGGCTCTGTCCTCCTCCTTCATGACCGTCCGTCTTTTTGTAGGTTCTGCAGCATATCTTGAATCCTGCCTTCTTATACAGCTTTGAGAAGGGGGAAGGAGAGCAGCTCCTAGGACCTCCCAACCCAGAAGGCGACAACCCAGAAAGCATCACCAGCGTGTTTATAAGCAAGGTGGCCGACTAACCATGCAGGAGCTTGAAAAGTCACTGGGTTGTGTGTGTGTGAGTGTGTGTGTGTGAGTGAGAGAGTTAGATGGGTCCCCTGAAGTGGGCTCAGTTCTCCAAGGCTTTTATTTCCCATGATTGCATGAGTTTGTAGCCGAGCATTGTACAGCAGTCTCCCTTATTCGTTAGAGGGACCCATTCTGAGGCTCTGAGGGGGCACCTGAAACCGCGGGTGGTATTGAACCCTGTATGTGCTGCTTTTTCTTGCACCCACAGGCCTGTGGTCAAGTTTGACTTTCCAGTTAGGCACAGTCAGTGGTCAACAACAGTGGAATGGTTACAGCCGTATGCTGTTGTAAAACTTGCGTGAACGTGGTCTGTCTCTCAAAGTAGCTTACTGTGCTGTGCGTACCCTTCCTCTCTGGACGTTGTGAGATGGTCCAGTGCCAGCCCTCCTGCCAGGCCTGTGGGTCACCACGTGCCCTCAGCAAGCCACCCGGCGCTGCTCACCTCAGGGCCTTCCTGCTGACATCTCCATGGAGGCTCAGTGTTGACTCGCAGCACACACTTCTGTCTGTGTCTTCCACCCACAGATTTAATACCTTTTCCATCTCAAGTACGTGCTTACCACGCTCGGTGGTCCTAATTTTTGCAACAGCAAAACCACCATGAATTTCTTTCTCCTTATTCACAATTTCACAGATAGAAGCCTCGTTCTTTAGGAAAGATCTTAGCAACCTCTCCAGCCTCTCAGCATGCTTTTTTTCTCTCCGTATTAAGTTGAGAATTTTACCTTTCCACTTAAAGGAAGCATGTCATGGTCTCTCTGTGGCACATCCGAATTGCCAGCATCACTACTCTTCAGGTCTGAGGGTGTTGTTCAGTAAACCAGGGCTGCTTGACCATGACGTTGCGGCATCCCAGCCGCCAGTCAGATGCGGAGACAGCTCTGACGTGAAATGGGCAGGGGGCCGGTGCTGTGTGCACAGAGGGATGATTCAAGTCCGGGGTGGGATGGGCGGGATGGCGAGAGAGTTCATCCTGCGTCTCAGGAAGGCACACAGTTTAAATTTAGGAATTATTTCTGGAATTTTCCATTTAATACTTACAGATCATGGTGGACTGTAGGTAACAAATTGGGGAAAGCAAAACCATGGGAGAAGGCGGATCCTACTGTGGTTGTTAATAGTGAATTTTTAAAGGCAGCCTTGCTTTGGAGTGAATTAACTTTTCTACATTAATAGATTCCAGTGAGAAATGATTATCATAACAATTCAGACAGCAGAGTATTTTTGTGTAAACCCCTGTTGCCGGTCAGTAGAGTTTTGATGTTTTGTTCCATTTTTAGCTTTGCAAAGGAATCGACTACCAGCCAGTGAGAGTACTGGGCTGGATCCAGGGGTTGCCGTGACCCTTTGTAATGAAACGGCTTTGTGGCAGGACAGTGTCTGAACTTGGCTTAGGCTTTAAGGTCTTTGCATTTTCACAATAGTGTTTCCAGTTTGCACTAAAGGGTTTTTTTCCATTCAGTGTTTCCTTGGGAAATGCCTGCTTTGTGTTTTCCCCAAAGCCTGGCTGTCCCATGCAGGTCCGACCACTGGATGTCCCGGCAGGTGCTGTCAGATGGACTGCCCTGCGCACGGGTGGCTCGTTGGGGCGCTGTGAGCGGCGGGTGGCACAGGCCTGCAGCACACCGTGTGCGTGGTGCCGCTTGCTGGACGCCGCCATCTTCTCGCCCGTCCGTTGCCTTTTCATTCCGGGGCCCATGCAGAGTGGGCTGTCGTTCCCACTGGCAGGTTGCTGGTCCTCACGTAGTCGTGCTTTCTGCAGTTCCGACCCCACTCCCGCCCCCCAAGGGAGTGAGAGCTGAGCCCAAGGAAGCGTGTTTGGTCCCTGTTACTGACTCAGCCCGAGTGAGGAGCTGGGGTTTTGAGTGTCAGGTGAGGATAAAAGGCTCTGGGCCAGCTGGAGCCCTGGATGGAGCCGCAGCCAGTCCTGGGGAAGACAGACCTCAGGGCTATAGGGACCCTGACAGAGACACCGTTGTGATGGAAGGTATCAGCCTTTCAGGTGCTCTGGCAGGCAGAAAGTAGTGTACGAAGTAGCTGAATTGGATGGTGTAGTTTAATACTTGATTCAATAGAGATGTACAGAATGGCGATCAAAGAGTGTACATTTTCTTTCCTTATATCCACGAAACACATATAAAAATCTCTCAGATACTTGACTACATAGAAAACCAGAGCAGTTTTGTTAACAACTGAGGTAATATTTTTTCAGGTAACATTTTCTGATCCTAACACTGAAAAATAAGGACTGGATAATTAATAGTTGAACAGGGAAGAAAGTCTCAACTACTTGGAGATTAAGAAACTCAGTCCTAACTTACCTTGTAGCAAAGAGGAAGTCCTCCTTTTCCACATCAAGCCCCTTTGACCCCCCTGCATTCTGACTATGAGCCTGCTCTTTTTCTCCACAGTGTTGGAATAAATTCAGTGAATTGCTACTACAAATATTAAAAGAAAATTGATAAGACATTACTGGGACCCTTGTAAAACTTACATAATTCTATAGATGGGGTGTGTGTGTATGTGTTTTTAAGGTTTACACTTGTATGACTCTTGGTAGGTCGCACATTTCAAAACCAGAGGTGAGTTCCTTTCTGCTGGCCTTTCCCGCAGGCCCTGGACCCAGAGAAGCAGGCGGACATGCTGGACTCCCTGAGGATCTATCTCCTGCAGTACGCCACGCTGCTGGTGGAGCACGCCCCCCACCACATCCACGACAACAACAAGAACCGCAACAGCAAGCTGCGCCGCCTGATGACCTTCGCCTGGCCCTGCCTGCTCTCCAAGGCCTGCGTCGACCCGGCCTGCAAATACAGCGGACACTTGCTTCTGGCGCACATCATTGCCAAGTTTGCGATACATAAGAAGATTGTCCTTCAGGTGCTTTGCAAGGCTCCCTCCTGTCTGCCTGACAGTCACAGGCATTTCCACACGTGTGCGTGTTGCTCCTGCACCATCGCACCCCTCCTCTTCTGCTGTCCTACCTGATGCCAGTCAGTAGTGCCGGTCTCTGCCACCTCATGAGCACTCATTCCCGCTTTCTCCCAGCCACTGCTTTGTCACGTCGCCCTGCAGCCTTGCCTTTGAAACAACATAATGTCTCTATTGTCCACCTCACGCTCCTCTACCCATTGCATTCTGGCTCCCAGTTCTTGTTTCCATTGCAAATGTTTTGGTCAAGGGCCCTGGCCACCCCTTTGCTGTGGACAGTGGGTACTTGTGAGCCCTCATCTTGGCAGCCCCTGCCATGCTGACGGTTCTGAGCACATCTTCCCCGAGTCCTCTGTGGCTTAGTTTTGATGTCAGGCAGCCCAGGGGTTTGAGTCATTTCTTCCACTCGGGAGTTCCATGGCCGCGAGTGGGCTGGTTACTGTCTCTGTGTGAGAATTCAGTGTAGGAACAGATTTGAGTGCTCAGCCTGTCTTTCCCATTAAGCATTTGGTAAGTAGCTGCTCTCATCCTGTCTATGAGGTCACTTTGTTTCCCCCTCACCGCCCCCTTGTGACTGTCTGTGGTGGTAAAGCCCAGGCCCTGAAAAGCCAGTGGCCTCTCAGAGGTCACCTGCCACGGACACTTGAGCTCTTACAAACACAGTCTCTGTCATTGGCCCTGCTCGCCCCAGTCACCCTGGCCACAGCCCTGAGGGCCGTCTGCGAGGCCCTCGCGTCCCTGCCGAGTCAGGGCCTGGGCAGCCCTGTTGATGTCCAGCCCCTTCCTGTCCCTCCACCCTCAGTACCACTGGGCAGTTGTGGTGTCCCCTGAACTTAGGTACCTGAGCACCTTACCACTCATGTGAACTGTTGTGAGGTCGCTTCTGATTGTGGCCCCTTCCACTCCATTTTTCCTACTGTGGCCAGAGTGGAAGGGTTTGTACACCTTGGCTGACTTCTCACAAGTAAAGCCAGACATTGGCCTCAGCAGGGAGCTGGTCTCGTTCCTCTTGCTGCATGACCCCCCGCCCCGCCAGGCCTGGGCGAGAGGGGAGCGCTGGAGTGCATGTGTTCATTGGTTGGGATTGATGACGGTGGGAGCAGCTGTGTCGTTTCCCAGTAAGTGAGCCTGGAGGGGTTTTGTGAAAACTGTTTTGTGTCAGTCTGCCTGGGTTCTAAGAGACTGTCTTTGTCTTGTTTTAAAGCCTTCACTCTCACCTTAGGGAAGCCTTTCTCTCCTGCCTTAGGTTTTCCACAGTCTTCTCAAGGCCCACGCGATGGAGGCCCGAGCCATCGTCAGACAGGCAATGGCCATTCTGACTCCAGCTGTGCCGGCCCGGATGGAGGACGGGCACCAGATGCTGACCCACTGGACACGCAAGATCATCGTGGAGGAGGGGCACACGGTCCCTCAGCTGGTGCACATTCTGCACTTGATAGTGCAGCATTTTAAGGTTCGTAAGGAAGTGCTATAGATTGGCGTGTGAGGCATTTTCAGGCTTTCAGTTTCTACAGTAATAAGGGTTATTCATCTTTCAGTAGAGGGGTTTCAGGTCCACTGGCTGTGTGTGTGTGTGTGTGTGTGTGTGTGTGCGCGCGCGCGCGCGTGCTTGAGTGGCTCCATCAACATGGATGTCGCTGTAGTGCAGAGAACGTGGCCGTGTCTTCTTTCCATTTGGACTGCGTGTTTCTTGTAAATGCTCAGTGAGCAGTGGACACAGATGGAGTGTTGCTTTGGGTGGGGTCATCATTAACTGTAGGTTCTGGTGACTTGGCTCAAAAAGTTATTCTTGTTGCTGGCATCTCCTCTCTCTAGCCATTGCCCACCTCGTTGCATTTATGTAAATTCAACAAATATAAATATTGTAAATATGTAAGTATTTCGTGTGGATTTTGGGTCGGGGAGAAAGGAATTCATGGTATTGAGTTGAAAGCTGTTACAGCCAACTTTGTTAGCATTGAGAATGTGCTTCTCGGCATGGCTGAACCGCGGTGACAGCGAGTCTGAAGTTGGATAGATGTGACCAGACCGTCTACCTAAAGAGAACTGAGTGATCAGCGTTTTTAAGAGATGGCGCTAAAACATGGAGACACACACTGGTGTATTGGAACTCTGCCAGGGACAGAGGAAGTGTTTTGGGTGCGAGGCAGGTTGTGCGTGTGCCTGTGTGCTGGGGCCATGGTGTCCCCGGTGTGACCGAAGCATCGTGCCCACAGGTGTACTACCCGGTGCGGCACCACCTGGTACAGCACATGGTCAGTGCCATGCAGAGGTTGGGCTTCACCCCCAGCGTCACCATCGAGCAGAGAAGGCTGGCCGTGGACCTGTCCGAAGTCGTCATTAAGTGGGAGCTGCAGAGGATCAAGGACCAACAGGTAGGGGTGGCAGCCCTCTCCCGTCGGCCCTGCCTGTTTCGCTGCGCCGCGCCGCGCTGGGGGAACCAGCAAAGTCAGATGTGTGTTCTTTTTAAGCCGGATTCCGACATGGACCCGAACTCCAGTGGGGAAGGAGTCAATTCCGTCTCGTCCTCCATTAAAAGAGGCCTGTCGGTGGACTCTGCACAGGAAGTGAAACGCTTCAGGACGGCCGCGGGAGCAATCAGTGCGGTAAGCCTGCGTGCGCGCCCTCCCAGGGGCTCTGCGCCTCCTGTGGGGTGTGTCCCTTCGCTCTGCAAACTTGGAACACGGCCGTGGGCCCAGGCCAGTGCCGGAGGTGCAGCCAGGAAAGGCTGCGCTCAGCAGAGATGCCTGGTGGCCCACGCTCTCCCGAGGTGTCCCTGCCCCACCAGACACGTTTTCCTTTGTGCCCCTTACTGCCGTTGTAGCGTGGTGATGTGATTGATTACTTACAAAAAGGCATCAGGAGAAACGCTTCAGGGCAGGAAAATTGATTAAGACCATGTGCACCCAGAGTGTGCTCAGTTTTATAAAAGATAGTGTGTCCCACTTCGTTTGGGAGGCATGGTGCCACAAGAGCCCTGGGGTGCTCACTGTCCCTCCCACCCCGTTCCTCCTGCGTTCACCCTCGCTCAAGTTAGAGACCTGAAATCATCTGCACTCTGTCCGTTGCCTTCTTTGCACACGTCAAGAGCAAGTCCTGGCAGCCCAACCACAAATCCCCACCCTCTTCTGTCGGTTCTGCCACCACCGTCGTGGTGCAAGGCGGCTCTCCATCGCCTCTCCCTGGGGTCCCTGACGCTGCCTGCCAGTTCCCTCGCTCCTCCTCCCACTGCGTCACATTGTCACAAGCCCGAGGACCAAAACACTCTCTCTCCCCAGCTTCAGCCTGGGCAAGCTGGGTGAAGTGTACATGGGGCCTCTGTGCTGTCTTTGCACCTTGTGAATATTCTAGTCATTTCAAATAAAAATCTTAAAAAATGAAGACAGGCTGTCTTTTCCCTCAGCCAGCCTTCCTCTTGACTCTGGCCTCCAGAGCCTGCGTCGCCCAGCTCTCTGATGGAGTCCCTTCCCTGTGCCTGCTCACGCTGCCCCAGCCGCCCGTCCTTTGTCCCACTCTGGAAGCACACCGGTTTGGTGCTGTTTTAGGGCATGTGTGCTGGGCCAGCCCCTCACTGGCTCGGGTCTCCCCCACAGTTGGGTCTTCACAGTCCGAGCGCCGCCTCGATGGCAGCCTTTCACTCTGGACCACGCCCCCTTCCTGTCCCGAGCACACAACCCATCACTTTTCTCTGTGGCTGCTTTGTTCATTAGTTGTCTTGCGGCTGGCTGCCTTGGGTGTCCCCTGTGCCCAGAACAGCATCTGTGCCCTGTTGAGGGCTGCGCGGGTCAGCTCGTCGCTGAGGGGCCATCTTGCCGTTGCAGGTGTTCGGGAGGAGCCAGTCCCTGCCCGGCGCGGACTCCCTACTGGCCAAGCCCATCGACAAGCAGCACACCGACACCGTGGTGAACTTCCTCATCCGCGTGGCTTGCCAGGTGCGCGTTCTGAGTGTCCTGTGTCCTGGGCTCTTCAAGACGAGGACTGCTTGGTCACCTCTCGAATGTCATCTGCGACAGTTTAGCCAGAAAGGGATAGACAGTAGACAAACCGAGGCCTGACAGCTAGTCCTGTCACTTCATCCCGAGTTTGTTTGCTCACATGACAGGCTGATAATTCTGAAGTCGGCCTTGCCTTACATTTTGTATGGTTTCTAAGAAATAGGTTTTTTTTTAGTGGCGATGAGTGTCCTGTAATTGACGGAATCACGGTGCTGGTGAAACGCGGCCCGGCCGTTCAGCGGTCCTGGGCAGATGACTGAACTGCCGAGGGACGTGGTTCACGAAGGGGGTGGGACGGCCCCCATGGCACCGAGCAGCTCGTGTGCTTTCACAGCTTGAGTTTGCGTGACCCTTCTCGTCAGTGTACGTTTTCACGGAGTTACTGGGGACCTGCCTCTAAAACTTCACTTTTATATTTCATAAAAACATTGTAAGTGGAATTTCTCTAAGTAGTTTTTTTTTTTTTGATTTGGGAATCTTAAGTTTTTATAATTACTAAAAAAAAAATAGTGTGTCATGTGGTACTGTCGAGGCTTCCAAGTACTGAAAATAACCTACTAAACCAGCAATTTTCCACCTTTCTCCTCTCATGGCACACACTAATGACTCAAATTCTTCGGCACACCAAAAATGTATTTTTTGCCGATCTGACAAAACAAGTAATTATAATTTTGATCCATTCATGCTGGATGGCTACTGTTGTGCTGGCTGTTGTCATTATTTTATTTGACAACCGAAGGGAAAGTAGGTCAGTACCCTGCCTCCATAGTCAGGGACTGCATGTGTTACAAAACCCTTGCAGCGCGAGGGCTGAAACATCTACCCAGCCAGGACCTGGCTGCCTGCTGCTGTGGGTAGTCGAGGTCCAGAGGGAAGGAGCCCAGGTCCTGCCCTCGGGGAGCCTCTTGGTGTTAACCTGTCAGTCACACACATGATTGCGAATCACCACCCACCCGCTGCAAGGGAGAGGGAGGGCTCTGTGAGGGAGGCTCCTGGAGCCCCAAGGACTGAGTTGAGGCAGCCAGTCTCCTGGCTGTGAGAGTGGCTGTGAGGGAGCTGGGGTGTGGGGTGTGGGCAGGGAGCGGTGTCCTGGCAGGACTGTGAACATGTGGTGACACTGAGTGACTGGACTTCCAGGTCAACGACAACACCAGCACGGCCGGGTCTCCTGGAGAAGTGCTGTCCCGCCGGTGTGTGGCCCTCCTAAAGACCGCCCTGCGCCCGGACATGTGGTCCAAGTCTGAGCTCAAGCTGCAGTGGTTTGACAAGCTGCTGATGAGTGTGGTAGGTGTGCGGGTTGCTGCTGTGGCCCGGCCCGTGGCTGAGCTGCCCGAGTCCGGGTGTTCCGCCTCTGTGGCTGGTTGTGGTCTCTTCCACTTTCTCTTCTGGCCACTGCTGACCTTAAAACCCAATAGCCAGACAGTTTACCAGCAAAATGGGACTAGCAGAGGAATTCTAAGCTACAGCAAAAAACCACAGGGCCAGTCAGCAAGCAAAGGAGGGGAACGTTGCTTCCTAGAGAAAAAGCAGGAAGGTGGGCGGGGTTGTTTTGAACTGAAGGGCTTTGGAGGGATGGAGGAAATGGGGAGTTCAGAGCGGTGACAGTTTCGTGTTGGCTGCTGTGCTGGGGTAACAAGGTTTGTGCAGTTTTTCCCCTGTTGAGGTCTGTGATTGACGGTTCTTCCCAGTGGGGTCTGTAATCAACCAAGTGGCGGTGCCCAAAGGCTCCCCGTTCTTGCCTCTTCAAACGAGGCTTCATTTATTTAATTTTCATACTGTTAATGGGTTGGAGGAAACTTCACTTCCTGTGAGTGGTTGTGAAACTTCAGCTCTCACAGCACCAGGTGTGGTTAGTTTTGAAGACGTGGTCTCATTTCTTAAGTTGACATTGACTGGCATGAAATAATAAACATTTTTAGTTGACTTATGCAACAGCCTTTAAAATAAACTCAAATTTTTAGAGTAGGTAGATGTAGAATTTGTTATGGAACACTGCATGGTCAGGTGACAGAGAAATAACCGCCTAATGCTGATTACTTGTGTCGCGTTTGTAAAAACCTGGGTTCTGTGACTGACTGGGGTTGCGGGCCTGCTGCGAGCGCCTGTCGCTGTGCATGTAGAGGCTCCCCTCCTGCGCAGGTGTTCTGGCGGGTGGCAGCGGCGCCTGGCCTGCGAGCATGGTGGGACCACAGGCTTCAGCTCGTGCTTTGGCTGCAGCTCAAGAAGCAGCTTGTAGGCTGTCTGCAGTGTCCTTCCTTCTCCTTCCTTCAGAAGGTCAGGTTTCTTTCCCATCAGGTGCGTGCGGTCACAGTTCAGTCAGGCTTAGCTGTGAGTGGCAGCCTCTGGCTGCGAGGAGGCTGATGCTCTCCTGACACCACACGCCATGTCCACAGCGCCGTGCCACCTTTCCCGCAGGCAGTGAGCGCCTGGCCCACACCCAGTGCACACCACACATGTGCGAGCCACAGGGATGGCTTCATGCAGGGTCACTTCACTGCAAACCATGGGCTCTGTGTTTTGTGTCACAATTTTATTTTTTTTAAAATTCTGACATTACCTATTATATTGACTTCATGATACAGAGTTTTATAGATACTTCCTTTTGGAAGAATATTTGTATTTCAAATAAAAACGTGGAAGGAGCCTGGCTGGTGTAGCACAGTGGATTGAGCGTGAGCTGTGAATCAGTGGGTTGCTGCTTCGATTCTCAGCGCACATGCCTGGGTTGTGGGCCAGGTCCCCAGTTGGGGGGTGCATGGGGGTGCAACCACACATTGATGTTTCTCTCCCTCTTTCTCCTTCCCTTCCTCTTCTCTAAAAATAAAAAATAAAAAGGCGGAAGGAGACAAGCGAACGGGATTGCAGTAATTGCCTTTTTAGACCAGAGTAGTGATTTTCAGAATTTTAACATTAAGTGTCGAATATTTTTCATGGGCTTTTTAGAAAGGTTTGACTACATATTTAAAGCAGATTTTATTAAAAGAGACATGAAATCATACTGTATTAATAAGATATGGTGGCCACATGTTTTTAATGTGTATTGTGTTTATCTTCAGTGATTTTTCCCTCCATTTCTAACTCCTGAGGAGCATGTCGTTCTCCCTTTTGGCTGACGACTGTCCCTGCACCGGAGCATCTGTCTCATCCCTGTGCGGCCCATGTTCTGTGTTCCAGGAGCAGCCCAACCAGGTGAACTATGGGAACATTTGCACAGGGTTGGAGGTGCTGAGTTTCCTGCTCACCGTGCTCCAGTCTCCAGCCATCCTCAGCAGCTTTAAGCCGCTGCAGCGCGGGATTGCTGCCTGCATGACGTGCGGGAACACCAAAGTCCTACGAGCTGTGCACAGCCTCCTCTCACGCCTGATGAGCATTTTCCCTACAGAGCCAAGTACGGGGCCTTTGCCGTCGGTGCCTTTCCTTCCGCATAGGTGGGCGGGCACAGAGCTGTGACTGGAGAGTGCTCCTCCTCTAGGGACCACGTGGAGCGTTCTGTTCCCTCGCTTGTCTTGTTACTGGCAGCCTTTGAAAATACTGGCGTAAGACCTAACGGCAGTAGTCACGGCAGTCTGTCTGTCTGTCACCTGCTTTGGAAATGCAGTTGCTCCCTGCTGAGCGTTGCTGTTTCCTTCAGGCATCGGGGGCATCAGGTAAAAATATTTGTTAAGTGTCAAACAGTTGATAGGATAAACGCTGTGAGTGTATTTAGGGTGAGTTCAGGTGTGACAAAAGTTCGCCACGTACCTTAGTGAAGTCACCAGTCGGGGAGGAGTGCTCAGCCCAGCTGGCACAGGCCCTGGAGCAACTGAAGCTCAGCCCTGTAGTGTAGCAGAGGCACTGTCCTGGGGCCTGAGCAGGCCCGAGAGTGCGGACCGCAGAGCCCAGCTCTCACTTCTGTTTCAGGCACCTCCAGCGTGGCCTCCAAGTATGAGGAGCTGGAGTGCCTCTACGCGGCCGTCGGGAAGGTCATCTACGAAGGGCTCACCAACTACGAGAAGGCCACGAGCGCGAATCCCTCCCAGCTATTTGGTGAGTGTGTCACTTTCTCCTTTTTATAAAGAGAGTTCACATGGCAGGTCCAGCCATGCATCCTGGCTTCCACTGCAGTGTAGCGTGAGCATCTCGTTAAATATGTCTGCAGAGGACTCTCAGTGGGAAGAGCCTACCACCTTTGGCCCTGCCCCCTCCCTCACGGGGGAGGCAGTGGGCCAGGGCGAGTGGGTCGGTCAAGTTGGCCACTCTGCTAGACCCAGGGCGCCATTACTGATGGCTGCTCAATAGAGGCGAGCACGGCAGCCGGGAACGGCCAGAACACACTCCCTGTATTTGTCGTCGTTGCTCTGCAGTGTCGTGGGTTCCCTGTTGCAGACTCAGATTGGTCATGTGTTTACCGCCAGACTGAGAGCCAGCCTTTCAACAAAGCAAGCTCGAAATTGTCCAACTCTGCAGTGATTGTACCTATAAGTGGCAAGTCAATAAATAGCCCTTTATTTTCCTATGATGTGAGCTGTGAATACAAAATTAAAATTTAATCTGTAGGTCAAGGTCAAGATGTTTATAAAAATGCCAGTTATGAAAGAAAGATGCAATTGTTTTCATATACTCAGGGTTCATGTTCTGATATTCGTTGTGTAGTTTTTCAGTTTGGTGCAAATTTAGGTTTTGTGTTTTTTTTAAGATTGTGCTTATTTATTTATTTTTAAATTTTAATCATTGTTCAAGTATAGTTTTCTCCCTTTTACTCCCTGTGCTTATTTATTTTTAGAGAGAGGGGAAGGAAGGGTGAAAAAGAGGGAGAGAAACATCAATGTGTGGTTGCCTCCCCCAGACCCCCTACTGGGGACCTGGCCTGCAACCCAGGCATGTGCCCTGACTGGGAGTCAAACTGGCAGCCCTTTGGTTCATAGCCAGTGCTCAATCTACTGAGCCACACCAGCCAGGGCACAAACTTAGTTTTAAAACATTGGTCATGCCCAGACAGTCTAGATAAAAAATATCCTTCCTCCACCCCAAACATGACTTGGGACAAAAGTTTTACTTTGGGTGGTTTGCCATACGTAACACAGAGATGAAATGCAGAACTGAAGTCAGCAGTGTGTCCTGAAATGCAGGAGTCAGTTTTGATGCCTGAACGTGTTGCTCATGTGCACATGCAATGCTTTGGAATGTGGTTTCTGCCGCACAGAAGCTTAAACTGTTGACAATTGGGATTAGTGCATACGTTTGTTGGAAAGAGCATATTTGTATTTACAACACTATGAAATGTTTTAATTAGCCCACTTTTTGTCAGTTACTCCATTTTTGAGACCTTTCTAAAAGACAGCTGGCACCTCCTGCCCCTTAGGGACCCTTATGATCCTGAAGTCGGCCTGCAGCAACAACCCGAGCTACATCGACAGGCTGATCTCGGTCTTCATGCGCTCCCTGCAGAAGATGGTGCGGGAGCACCTCAACCCCCAGGCGGCCTCCGGCAGCACAGAGGCAACCTCAGGTGACAGACTTGCCCTGGTCCCCAAGTTTCCCCCCAGACTTTGTGTGATGCCTGGACAGCGTGTGCTTGTGGCTGTACTCTGGCGGGAACACTAATGTCTGTTCTTCATGTGCAGTTCACTGTCAGCTGCTGTAACAAAGGGTCTACGTGGCCCGTTTCAAACCAGAATGAGACTCCTTTTTAGAAAGAATTGCTCTTAACATTTGTGGCTGGGAGAATGAAGACAGTTAAGAACAATTGGACATTTATGTGGAGCACACACCCCTTGATGAGAGCTAACTAACAATTTCGCTGTAACATGGAGGTTGCCCAGTCGCTGGTCACGTCTGACGAAGATTCAGGTTGCAAGTCGCAGACCTGAGGAGTGGGCTCCAGGAGTCTGGGAGATGCCTCGTGTGGGGGGCGGAGCAGGTTGTGGGCGGTCCACCACTCAGTGCACCCTGGAACAGAATGCCGCGGATGTGACTTCAGGACATGGCTGTCCCCCAGAGTCCCGCACCGGTGCCTGCAGACCCATCGTCTCCTCTCCTGGGGAGCCTCTTCCAGGGCCACCTTTGCAAGGTCATGGAATAGCAAGAAGTGATGTGACTGGAGAAAACGTTTTAGGGAAAATGGGCAAAGTCAACATGCCACATAGTACAAAGTGGTTGTCTGTTGATGTATGTTTGTAGAAATTGTTGAGCTGTGTTCTCTCTTGGCCGGAGCAGGAACTAGTGAGCTGGTGATGCTGAGTCTGGAGCTGGTGAAAACACGCCTGGCGGTGATGAGCATGGAGATGAGGAAGAACTTCATCCAGGCCATCCTGACCTCCCTCATTGAAAAGTCACCCGATGCCAAGATCCTCCGGGCCGTGGTTAAGATTGTGGAAGAATGGGTCAAAAATAACTCCCCAATGGCAGCCAATCAGGTGAGTGGGGAAGAGGGGCTGCACGTTGGCCAGGCAGCCTTCCTTTTGCGGGTAGAAGAAAATTCTGACCTCACTTTCTCAGCTTTTCTCCTGGAAGTTTCCAGTCCAGCAAAATACTTTTTTCCTCCTGTATTTGCATTCACAGTATCTTTTTGTTTAGGTAGATTTTTCTCACTTAATGGATTTGAAATAGGAAGTTGAGAAAATTGGCCACTCACCTTAATGTGGTTTTACTTCTTAAAATGTTAATTTTTTTTTTAGTCTTTTATGGTGGTGAAGATAAGGCAAGGAAAACAGGAGGGACTATGATTCAATATAATAAGATGCTTACAAGCTCCTAATTTGTTTTATAATTTAGTTACTTTCTCTCCGAAATGAGTTGTAGCTCCCAGGACAGTTATGCTGGGGTCTGTCTTGATTTTAAGTGTCCAGAGATAACCAGGGCTGTTTTTGATTTTCTTTCTTTTCCTTTTTCTTTCATTCATAAACAACCATTTAATTTTACTTGACTGAATTGTAGGAGTTTAAAAAGTAGCAGAATAAGCCCTGGCTGGCATAGCTCAGTGGATTGAGCGCGGGCTGTGAACCAAAGTGTCGCAGGTTCGATTCCCAGTCAGGCCACATACCTGGGTTGCAGGCCATGGCCCCCAGCAACCGGACATTGGTGCCTCTCTCTCTCTCTCTCTCTCTCTCTCTCTCTCTCCCTCCCTCTCTCCCCCCCTCTAAAAATAAATAAATAAAATCTTTAAAAAAAAAAAGAAAAAAGATATGTTTAAAAAAAAAGTAGCAGAATAGAAGTACTTTGGGAAATACCTTCTCCCAGACAGAATTGACCTTTTGTTTTAAAAACTCATACAGACACCTACACTCCGGGAGAAGTCCATTTTGCTTGTGAAAATGATGACCTACATAGAAAAGCGTTTTCCAGATGACCTTGAATTAAATGCACAGTTCTTAGACCTCGTTAACTACGTCTACAGGTAATTACAGCAATTCTCATGTAGTTCAACCGTCAGTCCATAATGTGTTCTCTGACTAACCAATGTTACGTGACATGAATTTTTTGGTCATACCTGAATTTCACTCATTCATTTACATTCTGGGTCATGTGACGTGTTTCGGTGTCATTGCTGGACGCTGTGTGCATGTGCTGCGTCAGCCTGTGATGCTCTGTAATGCGCTCTCAGTTTCCCCAGGCTGTTTCAGGAGCGGCACCCACATGTCCTGTGCTTGTTTGATGATGGGTGCCTCTGGGTGCAGCTCTTTCATCTCAGTGTGCCTCCTTCGGTTGCAGGGACGAGACCCTGTGTGGCAGTGAGCTGACGGCAAAGCTTGAGCCCGCCTTTCTCTCTGGGCTGCGGTGTGCCCAGCCGCTCATCAGGGCAAAGTTCTTCGAGGTGTTTGACAACTCCATGAAACGCCGGGTCTATGAGCGCCTGCTCTATGTGACCTGCTCCCAGAACTGGGAGGCCATGGGCAGCCATTTCTGGATTAAGCAGTGCATCGAGGTAGGCCGCGCGCAGCTCTCCCTCTCTGGCCGGGGGACACTGAAGCTGAAGTGGGCACCCCCTTCTCTCTCTGTCTGCCTACTATTCCTTGGCTGCTGTCATGAATATGTGTCTCTTCACGTGTCGAGGTTGGTCTTGTCCTTCCGACACTCCAGTGTCATGAGGGTGGGGACACCATCTCAGTGAAGTGGACACATGAGTCTCCAGGGCCTCACACCCAGTGGGTGCTCAGTAAATGTTTGCTAAGAACATGCGGGGGCGGCTCAACTGGGGGCAGCGTGAGCCAAGGCGGGTGGGGAGCAGGTCAGGGGGCGGGGGAGGAACAGTCTCAGAACTGTTATGGGCAGGCGAGGGTGTCGCTTTACAGAGGTCTCGAGAGCCACGCTGGGAGGAGCTGGCACTGTCCCCTGAGGGCTGTGGGAGCCACTGGAGGGTGCAGGGAGGGGGGCCTGGGTCAGTGGTGTGGAGGGAGAGTGTGTCGGGAGGAGTTGAGGCCGTGCGTCCAGGCTGGAAGGGACGGCTGCTTACGTACTCGGGGGTGTGTGAGTGATAAGAGAGAGGAGGAGGCCGGCAGGTGAAGCAGAGGAAGCTGTCTTATCTGAGAGACAAGGAGAGCAATCCCGGCTGGTAGAGAGACGCTGAGCTGAGCCGGGATGCTGAGCTAGACCGTAAGGCCCCCGAGTGAGGGGCGTGTGCAGAGGTCCCGACTCTCCGTCCAGGCCAGGTGAAGTGAGGAGCAGAGTCGTGGGCTCAGGAGCCGTCAGAACGGGCTCGCCTGTGGAGGTGACCAGGTGACTGGCTCCACACACCTACGTGCAAGGCGTGTGTGCGAGGCTTGTGTTCATGTTCCCACCCTCCAGCTCCTCTTGGCCGTGTGTGAGAAGAGCACTCCCATTGGCACCAGCTGCCATGGAGCCATGCTCCCGTCCATCACCAATGTCATCAACCTGGCCGACAGCCATGACCGCGCGGCCTTCGCCATGGTCACGCATGTGAAGCAGGAGCCACGGGAGCGAGAGAACAGCGAGTCCAAAGAGGAGGTAGCGTCTGCGCAGCGCCCCTCTCTCCGACCTCACCCGACCTCATGTCCGCCTCAGACCTTTGTCTCAGGGCATGAGCAGCGCATTGACATTGGCGTGCACCTGAGAGCCCGGAGTGAGGCGCCTGTGCTCAGCCAGGTGTTCTCAGTGAGCCGGCGCTGGTACTCTGGGCCAGCTCTGTGCGTGGCCGGAATTCTTTTTCTTGTGTCGGGGACTTTTAATAACTGCTCTGTGGAAGACTCAACATGTGCAGTGTGGCATTGCTAACTAGCCACCGTGCTGCTCATTACGTCCCTGTGACACACTAGAAGTTTGTGTTTCTGCACCTTTCACCCTCTCCTTTCACCCCCACTCCACCCCCACTCCACCCCGCCCCCGGGAGCCACCAGTCTGCTCTCTGACTGTTCCACTTAGCATTGCACCCTCAAGGGCCATTCTTTTCTTCTTCTCCCCGCTCCCCTCTCCCCTCGTTTTACTTATCTTTAGAGAGAGGAAGAGGGAGGGAGAGAGGGAGAGAAACATCAGTGTGTGGTTGTGTCTCACGTGCCCCAACTGGGCACCTGGCCTGCAACCCAGGCATGTGCACCTGAACGGGGAATTGAACCAGCGACCTTTTCAGTTTGTGGGACGACCCCCAACCCACCAAGCCACACCAATCAGGGCCCTGCCATTCAATTTTGACACAGAGCACTATACTGTGAGCAAGTGGTGCTTAGAACAGGGTATTTCACTGCTCGGTGATTGTTCTCTGAGTGAAAAGTAGCCCCTGTTGTAGTAGAAGGCACTGCTTCGGGGAGGGACGCCCGCCCTCGAGGAGCTGGTTCTGCCAGCAGCCTCCGCTGCGAACCTCCCACTCCTCTGCCTAGTCTTGGCAGGCTCGGCCAGGGAGCCAAGGGCTGGCCAGCACGGTGGCCACCTTGGTCGCGCTGGCACTCAGCGCTGCACAGTGGAGGGGCCGACCCCACTCACAGCACAGACCTTTCAACTGTGTTGCCCTGAGGTGGTTGCCTCTGGGACCCTGTCTCTCTGGGTGGTGGGTTTTAGGTGACAGGCACCCAGTAATGAAGGAGGAGGCACCTTTTCTATCTTAAAAGGGATTGTTTATTCCGTCTCCTGTATGTGAGATACGGACTGATTTTATTAACAAGTGAGAATTAAAAATTTTGTTTTACTATGTTGCTACACGCTAGGGCATTCTGGTGATAGGACCTCCTTTTCTGCCTGTATCCTTGTCTGCAAAGTAAATCGCCAACTTTGAAGTGGTTCCTCTGAGTGGTCCAGGTCCCGTGCCAGATGGCTGGCACCTGGACCTAGAGCACAGGTGGCAAACACAAGGCCCGAGTGCCGAATCTGGCCCTCCACCTGGTCTTATCCAGCAGCAGCACCAAGCTCCTTGCCCCTAGTGAAGGAGTAGTTACGTTTACACAGTCCTAAAATTACAGTCCACCCTTTGAAGACAACTTCAAGGCTGACGGGGCCCCAGCGAAAATGAGTGTGACATCCCTCCAGGTTCTAGAGGCTCATTTGGTGATTGAATTTTTTTTTAATATATTTTATTGATTATGCTATTACAGTTGTCCCATTTCCCCCTTCTCTCCCCTCCACCCTGTACCCCCTCCCACCCACATTTCCCCCCTTTAGTTCATGTCCATGTGTCATTCTTATGAGTTCTTTAGCTTCTACATTTCCCGTACTATTCTTGCCCTCCCCCTATCTATTTTCAACCTACATTCCATGCTACTTATTCTCTATACCTTTTCCCCCCTCTCCTCCTCCCACCCCCCCCCCTGCTGCTAGCCCTCCATGTGCCCTCCATTTCTGTGGTTCTGTTCCTGTTCTAGTTGTTTACTTAATTTCTTTTGGTTTTGCTTTAGGTGTGGTTGTTAATATTTGTGAGTTTGCTGTCCTTTTACTATACATGTCTTTTCTTTATCTTCTTTTCTTAGATAAGTCCCTTGAGCATTTCATAAAATAAGGGCTTGGTGATGATGAAGTCCTTTAACTTGACCTTATCTGAAAAGCACTTTATCTTCCCTTCCATTCTAAATGAGAGCTTTGCTGGATAGAGCAGTCTGGGATGTAGGTCCTTGTCTTTCATGACTTGGAATATTTCTTTCCAGCCCCTTCTTGCCTGTGAGGTCTCTTTGGAGAAATCAGCTGACAGTCTGATGGGAACTCCTTTGTAGGTGACTGTCCCCTTATCTCTTGCTGCTTCTAGGATTCTCTCCTTCGTTTTTACCTTGGCTAATGTAATTATGATGTGCCTTGGTGTGTTTCTTCTTGGGTCCAACTTCTTTGGGGCTCTCTGAGCTTCTTGGATTTCTTGGAAGACTGTTCCCTTTGCCAGATTGGGGAAGTTCTCTTTTATTTGTTCAAATTCGTGCTCAATTTGTTGCTTTTCCCCTTCCGATTCTGGTACCCCTATAATTCGGATATTGGAACGTTTAAAGGTGTCCTGGATGTTCTTAAGCTTTTCCTCGATTTTTTGAATTCTTATTTCATCATGCTTTCCTGCTTGGTTGATTCTATCTTCCTTCTGGTCCACTGTATTGTTTTGAGACTCAGATTCCTTCCTTTCACTATTGGCTCTCCTCCGCGTATCTTCCTGCATCTCTTTTATGGTAACCTGCATCCTTTCATCTAAATTGCGCCCAAAATCAACCAATTCTGTGAGCTTTCTGATCACCGGTGTTTTGAACTGTGCATCTGATAGATTGGCTATTTCTTGGTCGCTCAAAAGGATGAGTCCTGGGGGACTGATCTGCTCTGTTGGAAACATGTCTGTCCCTGTCTCTCTCTTTTTTCTCCAGTCTGGTCGCTCTTGTTACGGTGGGGGGCGGAGCCTTAGGTGTTCACCGGGGCTGGGCACCCCAGTCACTAGATTGTGACGTTATATGTGGGGGCGGGGGCTGGGGCGGGAGCGGGGACGGGAGGGAACAATGGCGGCAGTTCTGTTCTCCTGGGCCCAGACCCTTCTTTGGGGTCCTGGGCTGTGAGCTCTGCCCTGGTCCACGATCGCTGCCCCACTGGGTCCGCCTGCCACAGCTTGCGTACTCAGGGATCACCCCTGTGTTCTTGCACCCCGGATGGCTGTTGCGCCGATTTCACACCAAACTTTCCTCGACCTCTGTGCGCCGCCGACCCGCGCCAGCCCCGCGCCTGCCCGGCTCGTCTTCTCCTACCAGTCTGGATGTACGGGTCTACTTCAACTTCTTGGCTGTCCGACTTCCATTCAGATAAATCCTCTATCAGTTCTGGGTGTTATTCTATCTGTAAATTATTGTTGTGAATTATTGTTCTAATCTTGGTTGTGCGAGGAGGTACGGTGTGTCCACCTATTCCTCCATCTTGCCGGAAGTCTCTGGTGATTGAATTTTGACTGTGACTTCCCAGAGGCCTCAGACAGTTTGGGGCAGGCTGGGTGAACCGTTGTGCTCTTGGAGGACGGCCCCGACACTGCCCTTACTCCTCGGAAGCTGGGCAGCGAGGCGGCGCCACTCATTCTGAGGGAAGAGGGGCTGTGTGTGATCCCTGACAACCCTCGTTACTGTCGTTGTTAGCACTTCATTGTGCTTTATATACCCCGGGTGTGAGAGCAACACAAGGACATCAGAACAAAGAGGAGGAGGAGGAGATAGGTCTGGTCACGTGGCTCTGTTGTTTGTTTTATGATTTACAAACATTTTAACATTTACAAACTTCTGAAAGTCAACTTAAATTTTACTTGGTGAAAGTGTAGTAAGAAGTTCATAAGAGTTCCGTTTGTTGGGTTTTAAGCGTTTGACCTCAGAGTTCTGCTCATCCGTGTGTGTGTTGTTTGTCAGGACGTGGAGATCGACATTGAACTGGCCCCCGGCGACCAGACCAGCACGCCCAAGACCAAGGAGCTCTCCGAGAAGGACATTGGCAACCAGCTGCACATGCTGACCAACCGGCATGACAAGTTCCTTGACACCCTGCGGGAGGTGAAGGTCCGTGTGCAGCCCCAGGCCCTGTCCCCCTGCACGTTTCCGTCCCGAGGCAGGACTCCCTCCGCAGCAGTCGAGGGTTTTGTGTTCCCAGTTACACCTGCTTTCCTATCTCAGTGGAAACCGTTGTAAGTTCCGTCCGACTCGGAAGTGGATGTTTTGTGTAGACTCAGGGAGGAGTTACGTTGTCTCATGGGAGAAAATGAGAAAAGGCAGTTGGTTCCCCATTACTGTGCCATGGCAGGAGTGGTAAAATTGTTCATTGAGTAACTATGAGGAGACATCTCTGGATTACTTTTCAAGTGCCGTAGAAAAGGAGGGAATGGGAGCTACGTGTTGAGTCAGGTTCCCTTTGGGGAGTGGGGGGGCATCCCTTCTGAGATGTGTGCAGGTCTCTGGCTTCCACACCCTCTTGGGTCAGTGACAGGCACGCCCTTGTTCAGGGAACGACTCAGTTGCTCGTGGCTCCGCACACCGAGTTACTTTTGAGGAGCATTACAGAGGAACCGGTGATTCTGTCTGTCAGGTGCTAGGCGGGCCCCATGGGCTTCAAGCAGGCTAGGAGCCAGGCTGTTGATAAGAAATACTGTCAGCTAATTCAGATTTCCAAAACCTACAAAGCTGTGGACAAAATCAGACGCATGTGTGGATTGGACAGCTCTTCGGGCCCTCGGGTTCCAAGGCCGGCTGCTTTCGTAGGGCGTGTCCTTCCACGCCGGCCAGTGTTCCTGTCTCGTCTGCACGGTTCTTGATTTGCTCTTCAGGATTGTGCCTGCTGACCGATCGCTTACCTGCTATACATGTGCCTTTCCCCTTTCGTATTGTCGGTAGCCTTTGCTCTGTGGCACCTGTGCATCTCTTATGTGTATTTTCAGCATTGGCCTGTGTGGAAATTGCCCTTGGAGTTAAAAACACAGGTGTGTCACTGCTGAGTCTTTTACCCATGCCTGTGCTTGGCTGCGAAGCCCAGTATGGGTTGGTTTCTGGTGCCCAGGATCTGTTTTCACTCGGACGTGACGCTTGCTCAGGTTGTTGGGAGTCTGAAAGTGGAGCACGTCTGGCAGGTCTGGGGTAGGATGTCTGTGCCAGCCCAGGCCTGGCGACACTCACCCTGTTTCTCTCTCTAGACAGGGGCGCTGCTCAGTGCCTTTGTCCAGCTGTGTCACATCTCCACCACCCTGGCAGAGAGGACCTGGGTCCAGCTTTTCCCCAGACTCTGGAAAATTCTGTCTGATAGACAGCAGCATGTGAGTATATTTTTAAAATTCTGCTCTGGAAAATGTTGTTTCAGCTTTTTTAAAAGGTTTTATTTATTTTAGAAGGAGGGGAAGGGAGGGAGAATGGCAGGGAGAGAAGCATCTGTGTGTGAGAGGCACATTGATCGGCTGCCTTTCACGTGCACCCAACCAGGGACCTGGCCTCAGTCCAGGCACATGCCCTAGGATCGAACCGGTGACCTTTTGGTTCGTAGGCCAGTGCTGAATCCACTGAGCCATACCAGCCAGGGCTGTTTTAGCTTTTGGTAAGTGTTTATGGCGAAATAATTTTGATTAAGTTTCTAAGGATGAGAAAATTACTGTTATCTGAGTGAATTATCAAAAATATTGGAAGATGCTGAATGAGAGAGTAAAGACATGTTGATTTGGAATGAAGACCTGAATGAACACGGTCTTTGGTTTCAGGCTCTCGCTGGGGAGATCAGCCCGTTCCTGTGCAGCGGCAGCCACCAGGTGCAGCGGGACTGCCAGCCCAGTGCGCTGAACTGCTTTGTGGAGGCCATGTCGCAGTGCGTCCCGCCCATCCCCATCCGGCCCTGCGTTCTGAAGTACCTGGGGAAGACCCACAACCTTTGGCTCCGCTCCACATTGATGCTGGAGCACCAGGCCTTTGAGAAAGGTCTGAGCCTGCAGATTAAGCCGAAGCAAACCACGGAATTTTATGAGCAGGAAAGCATAACGCCGCCCCAGCAGGTGAGCTCCGGCCGTGTGTTACCTGTGCCGTCCTTGCAGGCGACACCTTGTCTCCACAGACCAGACATCCCCCCCTGGTGGGCGGTTCTAACTCCTGGCACAGTGAGGTGGTTTTACTGGGGGAAGTCCTCAGAAGCTACGCCCTGTGTTTCAGGAGATACTGGACTCGCTCGCAGAGCTGTATTCTTTGCTGCAAGAGGAAGACATGTGGGCTGGCTTGTGGCAGAAGCGTTGCAAGTACTCTGAGACGGCGACAGCTATTGCGTACGAGCAGCACGGGTTCTTCGAGCAGGTAGCTCTTTGGGCAGGTAGCGCTGTCAGGTGGGGTGGACAAACTTCACGGCTGGGTGACGGTCACGATGTTAGGGTACCGTCACGTCCTTGGGGGTTCATGTTTACATGAGTTTCCTGTTTCACTTGAAGGGTTTGTCCTGTATGTGAAAAGTCCTTTGAAGATTAGTTTCAGAGAAACACACACAACATGGACATTTTTAATGCTCAGTCTTAAACCCTTCACTGCTAGAAGCGAACGTGGATGGTTTTTACCTGCGCTCGTTGGTCCTGTTGGAAGTGGAAGGTGGATGACATTTTGTGTTGATAATATCGTCTCTGTGCTTGTCCTTTCGGTGTGGCACGGTCCTGCTCTTCGCTCTGATTAGGACACCGAGCCACAGAAACACAGGCACACACTGTGGCCTCTGCTCTGGTCGCTGAACCTGGGGCCAGGCAGCCTCCCACTCCTGCATTCTGCGTGGGGAGTGGCGCCCCTTGGTTCTCCTCCTTCCCTCTGTGCTGTGGGGACAGGGCACTCCAGGGGCAGGTGACTGCAGAGAAGGGTGTGAGGCGCTCCTGGGTTTAGGACCCAACTCGCCCTAGATTGTTGAGCAACATCTGTGGACACTTTACTAGTCAAACAGCAGTTTGAAAGCATTATTCACCCTTGTAGGCACAAGAGTCCTACGAAAAAGCCATGGATAAAGCCAAAAAAGAACACGAGAGGAGTAATGCATCCCCTGCGATTTTCCCCGAGTACCAGCTTTGGGAGGACCACTGGATTCGGTGAGCTGGACTGGGCTGGGTCAGGAGCCAGTTAAGGGAACCCATGGCAGATTTCTGGAATGTTCTTGTGACGAGTGTTCCTAACAGGGAACTTTGCTGCTGTCTTTATGGCCCCACAAAGAAAAGAACAAACAAAAACTTGTGAACAGTGTTAAGGTCTCGAGTAATTACAAGTGCCTGCTGGAGGAATCAGTTCCTGCGTCCCCCCTGCTCCGGCGCTGGCAGAGCTCCGCTGCACAGTGGGCGGTTCGAGGTGTTCCAGGGAGTGGCTCCTCCTGGAGGGCAGCTGGGACTTACAGGCTGGCACCCCACAGAAACCCGTCCTTCTCTGGGGGAAGAACGTCAGTCTTCCTGTGTGGGGTGGAAGTAAGCACCTGTCCCCATGCTTTCTGACTTCGTGGGAACTGACCCACTGGCTCTCTGGCCTCCAGGTGCTCCAAGGAGCTGAACCAGTGGGAGGCCCTGACGGAGTACGGCCAGTCCAAGGGGCACATCAACCCCTACCTCGTGCTGGAGTGTGCTTGGCGGGTGTCGAACTGGACTGCCATGAAGGAGGCGCTGGTGCAGGTGAGACCTCCCTCCCTTCCTTGCTGAGCCGTCCAATCTCAGGCCACGTTCCCACAGCTGTGTGCATGCCTTTTGCTAAAGTCATGAGTCTCTGAAGGTTGCTCTTTGCTGAGAACAGCCTGGGCATGTGGGCAGGTGAAGATAGCTTTTGGGAAGCAGGAATGATTTTTGGTGATCTGCAACACCTTTCCTGAATTTGACTTGAACTGTAAATTAAGTGTGTGTTTACATTCAGTCACACTAAGTGTCAGGTGTGGAGACCTTGGACTCTGAGTACACAAATGAATAGCAGAACCTGGAGAAGAAATGTGGAGGAACAGAGTCAGTTCTACTGGTGGCTTTGGTCGGTGGAAGCACGGCCAGATGCGAGTGCAGCGGGGGTGACGGGTGTAACCCGTCAACCCACAGGGGCTGGCAGAGGGGCTGCTGCCAGTGCCAGTGCCCGTGCGGTGCAGCAACCGGTATGGCACTCAGCACGTTTTGTGTCAGGGGAGCGCTGGTGGCATTGTGTGAGTGAAGTTGTCACTAACTTGGTTGAGCTCCACATTTTAAAAATTCACCACCATCCAGAGGGGTTCTGTACACAATGGGAGAGCGCGCACACCAGTCCAGTTCCCTTCTGCCCGCGGGGAGCTTCTGTCGGAGCGCCAGCAGTGCTGGACAGTGTGGCGCAGTGTTGGACAGATCTGCCGCCTGACCCCACAGTGTGGGGCTGTCACCGCCCAGTCTTGACTTTGGAGGCAGCCACCCATGTCGCGCCTTGTTTCCTTCCAGCTGTCCCGTGCTCCCTCGGCCTGGCCCTGCTGCTGCTGCCGCCGTCCAGTGTCAGCCTCTCTGGGTGGTGGTCACATGAGCGGGGTCCTCGGGAAGGAAATGCGGTCATCGCGTCCTCCACCCCTGCCCCCAACGTGGGTTTGCTAATCTTCCCGCTGGTGGTTTCCTTTCCTTGGTGTGGAGGCTGCAAAAGCACATGGAGATCGCAGGCCCCTTTCTTTGAAGAGATGAACCTCAAGTGTAAAGCTCTGCTGTGGTTCCAGCGCTTAGCTCGTTACTGATGTTCTTTGAGCAAATACAGAAGAGCGAAGAACTGATGCAGGGAGCTTGAGTTACTCAGAAATGATCCGTTGCTTGTGAAGATGTATATGTGTATCTCTCTGACAGAGTGCATTTACAGTTGGTTGTTCTTTTTCTTAGTTTGATAAAAAAATTTGCTGAATAATGTTTATAGCTCACTTTACCTTTTTAAATCTCCTTTCCAAGATTTCACACTGGGTATGTGCTGTACCATACTGTCAATAGGTCTGGCAAATGAATTTCTTTTTTCACAAAGTCTTGATTATTTTCCGAAAGTTGCAGGGCACTTACTGATTAGAAAAGAGCTCAGTATGTACAAACATTCTGAGTGGTCTTTAGTAAATTAATTTCAGATGGCCTTTATAGGAGTAAATGGTGTACTTATTTGCCAGTATTTAAAAGAAGAAACTCAAATTACTTTTTTTTAAACACTTTTAAAAAGATTTTATTTATTTATTTTTAGAGAGGGAAGGGAGGGAGATAGAGAAACATCAATGTGCAGGTGCTGGGGGTTATGGCCTGCAACCCAGGCATGTGCCCTGGCTGGAAATGGAACCTGTGACACTTTGGTTCGCAGCCCGCGCTCAATCCACTGAGCTGTGCCAGCCAGGGCTCAAATTACTTTTTTATTCCTGTGTATTATGGTCATCGTGCTGCCTGCAGTTGCCCACCTCTCGGTGTGATTTAAAAATGGGGCACTTTTTTGGGAGGGGGGGGAATTAAAGAGGTGCCTTTGCTCTGAGTTCTAGGGTAGGAGTTGTAATTGACAAACGTCTGTGTTAAATGAGGTTTACGTCCAGAAAATGGGAGACCGGCATGGTTTAGAGGGTCCTGTGGAAGCAGGTGTGCTCGTAAGTTTGCCCTCCTGAATTCCATCATCGCCGCACTGGTGAGGTCTACGAGGGGCCGAGAACATGCATGTTCTTTGCAAGAGTATGATGTCCAAATAAGCCAAGGTGTCAGGTGCCTGATGGCATTGTCGTTACCGTCACTACCTCTGTCATGTGGGCAGCTGGCACTGAGGCACCAAAATGTGTATGATTTTTATTGTTACTTCCCAAAGATGCTTCAGAGTGAGTGTTTGTTGATCTTGTTATATAGCAAGTCCTGTGCAGTTTCTTCAACAGAGAGATCCTTTTATCTCCATATACACAGTGAGATTATTTTTTAAGAGATTTAAATTTTTAATCACTTCAGTGCTCTGTGAGAACGTGCTGACCTGCGTGCAATGAGTTCTGATGCTTTCTCTGGCAGGCGGTGAGCAAGCTCGCAACTGGCAGGGATACGAGGGGGCCTTTCCCCATCTGCAGATGTGTGTGCAGGGTCAGGGGTTAAGTTTATGGGAGGGGTGAGAGTGACGAGTCTATGCTGAGTCTGCTTCATAATGGGACTGGTAATGTAGATGTAAAGAATATAGGGGAAATTGCATGACGGGTAATTAAGTGTGGCTTTTAAATCACAGTACAATTTATTAATGTTCACTCATATTCTTATAAGCCTGAATCACTGCCCTCTGCTTCCTTGTATGATGTGGAACAAGTTAGATTAATTTCCCAGAATAACAATTGAATTGGAAACAATCCATGATTTTATTGATATTTATCAGTCAAGATGAACATATATTGAGTGCTTTAAAACTTTGCTTGTATATAGAATACTTTAAAACTTTGCTTGCTGGCTCTGACCAGTGTGTCTCGGTTGCTTGGGCAAAATCCCAAAAGCTGGTCAATTAGTTCCCAGTAGGGGCACATGCCTGGGCTTTGGGCCAAGTCTCCAGCTGGGGGCATGAGACAGGCAGCCTATGGATGTGTCTCTCACACGTCTGTGTTTCTCTCCCTCTTTCTCCCTCCCTTCCCCTCTCTATAAAAATAAATAAATAAAACCTTAAAAAACAAAACTTTACTGGTTGGATTTGTAGCCTAGCGATGGCTGTTAGCCAGGCCTGTCACAGCAGCTTGCCCTTTTGTGGAACTGCTGATACCTTGAAGCAAGGGGCCTGTGGCATGGCTTCGCAGCTGGAGCGATCGGCCACTGGCCGGTAATCAGAAAAGGAGGGTATCCGAAAAAACACTGTAAATGTATTATTGCTCTAAAGAAAATAAATGTCTGTTGATGCTTAATTTCTGCTTATCGCTTTGCACAATTGACTGCAAAGAAATTGACTTTTCGACTCTGTGCTGAGAGGAGGTACCCACCGCTTCCTGTGTCTTTTCCTTCCAGGTGGAAGTCAGCTGTCCCAAGGAGATGGCCTGGAAGGTCAACATGTACCGAGGATACCTGGCCATCTGCCACCCCGAGGAGCAGCAGCTCAGCTTCATCGAGCGCCTAGTGGAGATGGCCAGCGGCCTGGCCATCCGTGAGTGGCGGAGGCTGCCCCACGTGGTGTCCCACGTGCACACTCCGCTTCTCCAGGTGGGTACGGTGTGCTGGGGGCGGCCTCTGGGCCCATTGAGGGTCTACAAGTTCAGCAGCACGGCAGGGAGGAAGCTCCTCCCACTGGTCTTGTCCTTTCCCACGCAGCTCGTCCTGCGGGAAGGGGCCCAAGAGAGCTCGCAGAGGGCTGAAACACTGCTTCTCATTTTTGGAGTTTCCGAGGAATTAAGTGACAGATGGCATCCTTAGGAGTGGTTTTGACAATGCGCATTTTCGCTTTAGGGATTTTCTTTAGCAATACTCTGCCACCCCCAGTGTGACGCCTTTGTTCAGTTCAGAAAGGTCCTTGTCCCCTGAAACTCTCACAGTTAAACAGGTTGTGCCTTGGCCCTTCCTCTGTGTGTCGTCTTCACTGTTCCTGGCCATTTGTTCCAGCCACACGAGCCACCCTACAAGTGCTCGACCCCACCCCCACCCCACCACATGCCGCTCCTCTCCGCAGAACACACTTCTCCCTGGTTTGGTGTGTGCGTGTGCACACGCACTGGGGTTGAGCAGCTCCCGTGTGCCAGAGTCAGGCTGTGAGCTGATGCATCTGGAGTGCAGAATGGTCACACTTTCTTTTCTTTGGAAAGAGTAGTTTTGAGATTAGATTGGTATGTTGATTTTTATCATAGTATCGTTGCTTATTAATGTACTTAGAATTTTCTGTCTTCTGCAAAATGAAATAGTTTATTGAAAACAAGGATTTGTTTGTTTTGATACTTTTTATATCTATTATGTTTTATTATTTTTCAAGGTATATTAATTATGAATGATTGTTGTGAAGAACACAATTCTGAGTAACTAAGGAGAAATTATTGGGAGTTACATATTTAAAGCATAGCGTTTAAAATGCAGTATTTCAGATAGTCTGGATTCAAGTACTTTGGAGGTGAAATTAGAGGTAGTTTTGTTTCTCATCCACTGCTTCACTCGTGGTTGATGCTCGATAAATATTTGTTGATAGCTTAGTTACATGCCTAACTACAAAAGATGATTTCTACCACCAATAGAACTGTCAGCTAACATAGCTGAGAAATCTTAGAGAAAAAAAAGACTGTCCATGCGAATGATTTTAGGGAACCATTTAACATTTCAGTTTGATTGTTTCGATAGCTATTTTTATGTAGAGGGTCACATTCATACATGATTTGAGACAGGAAGGGTGAAGAGAATGAATCAGAGGAGTGCTTATTTTGAATAAATCAAACCAAGTAAGTACCTTTTGCCCAAACTATTATGTTTTAAAACACATATTTGGAACTGTGGCTTGTGACTCTACCCCTTCCTCCTCCTCTACCCCTTCCTCCTCCAACTACCACCAAAAAAAAAAAATCAGTGAAGGGAAAGGTCTTGGTGCTTTTGCCCAGTGACATCCCCATCTTGCCGATTTTAGATCTCAGGCTTTGACAGAGACGTCAGATGGCCAGCCTGTTGCTCTGGCGTCCTGAAAACACCAGTCCGGGTCCCCGGGTCAGCCGCTGAGGCGGAAGCAGCACAGAGTCCGAGGGTTGTTTTGGAGAGAGCGACTTGAATACCATGGTGTTCGGGCAGATCATGTGCCACAGCAGAACAAGGGCTTCTGAAGGTCTTCGTAAAAGCAGCGACTACACTGGGGAAAATTGTCAAAAGCAGCTTTCAGGATTCTGGAAATTGAATACAGACTTGCAACAATCGAAGGAGCATTAAACAAAAACAGACGTGTTTTAGAAAGAACAGCGAGCTTTGTAGTGTTTAGTTGTCCTACCCCCGTTCTTCTTCTCCCCATCTCTGCAGCGGCGGTGAATGAACCTGCAACCTCCACCCGCAGGAGCTGTGAGGCCAGTGGCCAGTCCGCCACCAGTGGAGGGTAGAACAGACTTAGAGGCTCAAACAAAAACAGACAAACCAAAACCCCAGCCTCGGAGATCTGGCACCATTTGACCAGCATCACAGCTCCCTAGAAAAGCCCTGTTCACAGGTTGCTTTCTGTTTGACCTGACTTAGAGCCCACTCAGTGAGGAAAGTCATGCGTGGGGCCTTTGTCAAAAACAGCCGGTGGCAGTTTAACATCACAGCTGCCTGGTGCGGCAGTCCCCGCTGGGGCACGGAAGAGACTGGGTTGAGTGAAGGGAAGGTTAGGGAATAGATGTCCACAGAGATGTTGGGAAACTCTGTGTGTCCTAGAAACCTGGAAGGGTCATGGATCCATGCACACGCTCAGGAGACTTGAGAAGATCCTGAGCTTTCACCACTGGCTGACCTTGTGGCACTAGACTAGCAGGAAGTAAAGGCAGAGGCCGAGTTGAAAAACTGCTTGGTCACATGCGGAAAGCGTGTGCAGCGGGCACCCATGGCCTCTCCGAGGCGGCTGGTGGTCTTGTTGTTTTGGGTCTTGAAGGAAACCTCTGGCTGATTGTTAGCTGACCACCAAGCTAACCGAGCAGCAACTTCAGTGGTTACATTCTACAAATAACATGTACGTTATAGAATTAGTTCCAGAAAGTCACTAAGTAAATAGCAACAATTGAAAAAAAAAAAAAAGAAGGAAAACACCTTTACAAACCCCTAGACTGGAGGAATTTGATTTGCAGAGTTGCCACATTGTAATACCTAAAATGTCTGGCTTTCAGCAATGGGAGGCATGAAAAGGAAGAAGCGAATGCGGCTCCCGTGAGGGAAAAGCCGTCAGCAGAGGCCGCCCCTGAGGGGAGGCCTGTCGGTGGGCTCAGTGTCCAGAAACTCTAAATCAGCATTGGCGGGTGAGGTGTTCATGGAGCTAAGGCAATGTCTGTAAGGATCACCGGGGAGGGTGGGGGAGACACCCTCACCAGCTAGAGGGTGTCACTGAAGAGATGGTTTTAAACAGTAGTCTGTGAGTGTGACTGAAGGTGGAAGCTCACTGGAGACTCCCCACAGTGGACCCAGCGGCCTGAGAAGAAGTTGGCGCACTTGAAGGCAGGTGTTTCTCATCTGAAGAACAGAAAGAAGAGCTACTGAAGAAACATAGGCAGGGCCTCGGAGATACTGGATGCTGGCATTCACACCAGCGTGCTCACAGTGGGGGTCCCAGAGGGAGTGAGGGCATGGAGGGATATTTGAAGAAGTAATGGGTGAAAATGGCCCAGATTTGGTAAAATTAAGAAACCAATTCATTCATAATAGGAGCAAAAGGAATAAAACACTTAGGAGTAAATTTAACTTTGTATTTCAAAGAACACCATTGAGAAAGTAGGACAGCCTACAGAAGGAGAGAACATATTTGCAAACCTAGTAAAGGACTTTTATCCAGATGGGTAAAGAACTCTTGTAGGTAAACAAGGAAAGACAACTCAGTTTTAAAGTGGACAAAAGATTTGAATAAACATTTCTCTAAAGAATATATATGAATGATCTATATGCTCATGGACAGATGCTCAACATCTCTAGTCATGAGGGGAATGAACCAAAACCGCACTGAGATGCCACTTCACACCCACTAGCCCTTGCCCGTTGGAATGTGAAGTAGTTCTCTCTCTTTGGGAACGGTCTGGTGGCTTCTCAAGATAGTAAATATGGAATTACCATGTGATTTCGCAGTTTTACCCCTCGGTGTAAGTCTAAGAGAAATTGAAACATGGCTACAAAAACTTACATGTAAATGTTCAGAGCAGTAATATTCATAATAGCCCAAATGACCATTGGCTGATACATGAAGAAATAAAATGTAGTGCACCTGGGAAATGGGGTGTCACTCAACAATACAAAGGAATTAAATACTGATAACACGTTGTGTCTGGAGTAAACCTTAAAAATAGGCCGAGTGAGGATGCCAGACACAGAAGGGCACAGTGTTTGATTCCATGCATGTGAAATGCACAGAATAGGCCCGTCCAGAAAGACGGAAAGCACACAAGTGGTTGTCACCGTCTGGAGGAGGAAGAGTGGGGGGTGGCCCCCAATGAGTACAAGACTTTTTTTGGAAGTGATGTAAAGGTCCTGTAATTAGATAGTGGTGATTGATGGTTATGTGACTTGGAGAATATCATAAGAACTATTGAACTGAACACTTTAGGAGGTTTGATGTTTTAATTATATCTCAGTAAAGCTGTTCAAAAGGAAATATCCCATTCTATTTTCAGTAAGCTTTGGGTAGGAGGGAGCATTAAAGGCTTTAGAAATGTACATGTAATGAACTAAACTTGAAATATAGGTAATTCAAGTAGGCAATTAAAATTAAGACCATACAGCAAGACACTGGGTACTAACCTAGGTGCTGTGTTTGGGAGGTTAAAAAAAATTTTTTCAGACATAGAGTCTGCCTGAAAGGAGCACCCAACTGGAGGGAGATGGCAATCTCTAAGAAGCAGACTGTGATGAAACAGTGATTAGAGGGAGACTGTGGCTCAGTGCCATGCAGGGAGAAGTCCCCATGGGAGAGGGTGGGACCTAGTGGGCAGGGTTTGGGTGGGCTTGGACACGTGGCCGGGGCCTTCCCCGTGAGAATGCGTGCCAGCAGGCTGGAGCAGCAACACGCCTGGGGTCTGAAAGGTAGTGAACTAGACAGACTTGTCAGGGATGGGATTGAAAGTGTCTGTGCCAGCCCAGAGAGACCCTCAGAACCACATTTTAGAATTGTTGGTGTGGCTGTGGGGTTTTAATGTTGGTGGAGGAAAGCCTGAGGGCAGGGCTAGGCTGCTGTCTTCTCAGACGGTGGACAGCCAGCTGTGGCTGGGAAAGAGAGTTGTTTGGGGGCTGCCCGTTAGCAAGTTCTGACGTCCACCCCATTCTTCACTCCCTCTCCTGTCTCAGTGGCCACAGCTGAGGTTTTAAACTGGGGGGCGGGCAGCGGGATTGGGAGAGTGGTGCTGGAAGTGAAGAGTGAGTGAGACGTGGATGCTCAGGTAGTCTGTGAGTCAGACTCTTCCTTTCAGGATCGAATTGTGAGGTCCTCGCAGCACATCAGGTTCCTGACAGGTCTGGCTTGCTTGCATGCGTGGTTCTCAATCGAAGGCACACTGCAGAACCTCTTGTGTCCTCTCAGGCCGCCCAGCAAATCATTGAGCTCCAGGAAGCCGCGCAGATAAACGCGGGCTTGCAGCCAACCAACCTGGGGCGGAGCAACAGCCTGCACGACATGAAGACGGTGGTGAAGACCTGGAGGAACAGGCTGCCCATCGTGTCTGACGACCTGTCCCACTGGAGCAGCGTCTTCATGTGGCGGCAGCACCATTACCAGGGTACGCCCCCTGCGCTGGCAGGCGCCTGTCGTGTCGTTCTCCAGACGCCTTCCTGTTCTGGCTTTGTGTCTCCGTTTTGTTTTGGCTTTTCTTTTACCATATGGGAGATGGTGGTGGTGTGGCGAGGCAAAGATGAAGGTGGTGAAAGATGGAAGGATTTCTTCTTGCCTATTATATTTTCCTAGCTCGAGCAGAAACATGGCTAGACACTGCTGGGTGCCCCAGGGGCCCAGGCCAGTGTGGCTGGAGCTCTGGGTTGTGGCTCTGTGTTTCGAAGCGCGCCTCCCACCCCCTCCCCCAAGAAGTGTGGCCTCCTCCATTTTTCTGGCCCCCTCTGCTCACACCCTTCATGGTTTAGTTAGCCAGGATGCTAACACTCAACTCGGTGTTCGTGCTTTTTATAGCTTCCTTTTGATATAAAATACAAGGAAAAATAAGGAGAGTTTATTACCGAGCTTTCCATTTTCATAAGCTGTGTGTGTGTTCACTTTTTATTTAAGCCTTATTGCAGAGTACTTTGAAAACTTTGGCCTAGGCCAATAAGCCATTTCTCTGCCATCTAGCTATTGTGACGGCCTATGAAAACAGTTCTCAGCACGACCCAAGCTCTAACAACGCTATGCTCGGGGTGCACGCCTCCGCCTCGGCGATCATCCAGTACGGGAAAATTGCCCGGAAGCAAGGGCTGGTCAACGTGGCCCTGGACATCCTGAGTCGCATTCACACCATCCCCACCGTTCCCATTGTGGACTGCTTCCAGAAGATCCGGCAGCAGGTCAAATGCTACCTGCAGCTGGCGGGAGTCATGGGGAAGAACGAGTGCATGCAAGTAGGTGCCTGGGTCTGCAGAGGGGAGACGCGCTGTGTATGCAGGAGCTCCTGGCTCAGATGATGGGGGTGGGGCGGGGGCCGGGGCGGGGTGGTGTAGCACCTCCTGCAGGCGCCGCCTCAGGCGTGGCCTTAGTGGTGGCACAGTCCTTCCTAAATAAGAACGGAAAGGCGCCCCACCCTAGTGTTTGAAATACATCATTTTATCGTCTCTGTTCCACCATATACTTGGTTAATGCGTTAAAGGAAAAAAATTAGAAACTGCAAAAGTGTGAAGGTGTTGCAAGGTAGATTTTTGGCTGTGTTCAGAGAAATGTTAATAAAAGCAGTGATTAGAAACTGATTAGACATATAAAGCTTGGAGAAAATAACACCCTTTAGGTGTCTAGGACTGAATTTGGCATTTAGTGATTCAGCCAAATACTTTTAGTCAGCAAATACTCAGGGTAGGCAAATCTGTTGTCAATCTAAAGTACATTTGTCAGTGACCTTTAGGACTTAATTTCCTCGATAAATATTTTAATGAAGTTGTTATAATAATGTCTAGAAATTTCAAGAGTTTTTTCTACACATTTTTTTAAAACAGGGTCTTGAAGTTATAGAATCTACAAACTTGAAATACTTCACGAAAGAGATGACAGCGGAGTTTTACGCGCTGAAGGGAATGTTCTTGGCTCAGATCAACAAGTACGTGTGTTGTTGGGGGCGGGGGCCAGGGAGCAGCCTGTCAGGGCTCCTCGGTGGTTACTTACTACTGCAGCCAACGTGAAGGTCAGCTGGAAGCTGGTGTGGTTCAGTCAGTGAGCGTTGTCAGGTGGGGTATTTCCATGTTGCACCTCCGCAGGGAGAGGGAACTTACAGCCGGTGGATAAGCTGGTAGGTTGGGTGGTACTTGAAAAGCTGTTTGGAAAGGAACGGCTTGAGCACAGAACGGCTGGCGACATGGATTCATTGCCCGTTCTCTCAGCGTGCTCAGCGTAGGAGCAGAGTGGGTCCCTTTCGTGGAGTGGAGTCACACTTTGGGGCAGGGGCCGGTCGAGTGGCCTGCAGGCCAGACGCCACTGGGGTCTGGGTTCCGTAGCGGGCGCGTCAGAGCACGCCCACACCACCACATGTCTATGACTGTACTTGGCACAGCCAGGGTTGAGTCGTGACAGGAGTCGTGTGCCTGAGAAGCCTAAGCCGCGTTCTCACTGGCCTGTTACAGAAAAGGGCATCCATACCCCGTCTGAGAGAAAAGGGCTGGCAGGCGAGATGCTGTAAGACACCAGTGAGACGCGTGGTACCACCCTTTGCCGTCTGCAGGGCTTTGAAGCCCACTTTCCACATTTTTGATTACAGGGCTGGCCTTCAAGCTTGTTTTTAAGTAAGGAAGTGATTTTGTCAAGATAAAAGGGATTTACTCTCTTAAAATTTTTTTAAATTTATGTGACATAAAACACACCATTCGAAAGTGTGCTGTTCAGTAGGTTTTTGTATGTGCACAGTGTCAGATAGCCATCACCACTCGGTAATTCAAGAACATTTCCGTCATCCCCAGAAGCAGCCACACCCTGGCAGCATCACTTCCCGTTCTCCTTCCCTTTGTCCTTGGACGGCCGCCAGTCTGCTCGCTGTCTCTGGTTTGTCTATGCTCCACGTTTCCTGCAAATAGAACCGGACACGTGACCTTTGAGTCTGGCTTCTCAGCGTAACGTTTTTAGGGTCATCCGTGCTGTAGCATGTATCAAGGCTTTGTTCCTTCTCATGCCCAGTGCTGCTCCGCAGTATAGTCACGTTTTCCTTCTCACCCAGCAGTCCCCGGCCACCGGGTTGCTTCCACTCTCCGCTGCGATGAGCGAGGCTGCTGTGAGCGCTCGGCCCACGTGAGCCTGTGTGGGAGCGTGGCCTTGGCCTTCTTGGCTCCGTATCAGTGCGTGGAGTGGAATCCTGGGTCCCCTGAGGGTTCTTTGTCATTTTGAGAGACTGCTGGCTTTCTGCGGTAGGTGCTCCCTCTTGATCCCCGTGGGGCTGCTGGCAGGCCCCAGTGTCCCCACACTCCTGCCGGCGCTTGCTGTCTCCCTTGTCCCCGTGAGTGTGAGGTGGCAGCTCACTGTGGTTTTGCTTTGCATTTTTCCAGTGGCTAAGGAAGTTTAGCATCTTTTAGATCACTCATTTTTTCTAAGGAAATACCTGTTCAGTTACTTTGCCCACTTTTAAATTGGGCTATTGGACTTGTTGAATTCCAATTCTTACATGTGTGGGTGTGTTTCTTTCAGCTACATCACTTGAAAATATTTTCTCACACTCTGCAGGTGATCTTTCTGCTTTTTTATTAGTGTCCTTAATGCACAGAGTTTATCACTTTGAGGAGTCCCATTTATTTATTTGTTCTTTCATTGCTCGTGTGTTTGGTTTTCATGTCTAAGGCATCACGGCCTCACCCAAAGTCGTGTGCATTTACTCCTGTTGTTTCTCCACTGTTCCTTCCTGTGGCTGGCGGGCGAGCATCATGCTGTCCCAGCACCACGCACTGGGGAGACTGTTCAACACCCACTGAACGGCCTCCACTCCGAGTTGGCGACGCGGCTGGACTCTGGACACTCCGCTCTGCGCGCCCGTGTGTCCTCACGCTGCTGTGCAAGCTTGCGGTGCAAGTTTGTCCTTTTTCATGACTGTTTGGGCTTTTTGGGTCCTTTGCATTTCCACGTGGATTTTAGCTTTCTTATTTCTGTAGAAAAAGGCCGTTGGAATTGTGACAGAGATTGCACTGAATCTGTTGATTGACTGGGGATGTGTTGCCATGGTAACAGCGCCACGCCTTTAATCTGCAGGATTCGTGGGTTTAGGTCATCTTCAGTTTCCTGTAACAGCACTTTATGGTTTTCATTGTACAGGTTTTGCATTTCTTATGTTAATTCTACTCTTAAATATTTTATTCCTTTTGTTGTTATACGTTGTTTTTTAAATTTTATTTTCAGACTCTCCATCACATCATCTCTGAGGTATAGAAATACAACTGGGTTTTAAATACTGATTTTTCAACTTTGCTGTATTTGTTTGCTATAGTAGTTCTTTTGTGAATTCTTCAGGGTTTTCTGTGTATTAGATTGTGGAATCTGCAAGTAGAGATAGTTTGTATGTTCCTTTCAATCTGCATGCCTGATTGCTCTGGCTAAGAATTCTAGCACGAAGTTGAAGTGGAAGTGGCGACAACAGGCAGGCGTGCTTGTCTTGGACCCGATCTGCGAGGAAAACCTCAGGCATTGGTTGTTGCGTGTGTGTTAGCTGTGGGTTCTCATGTGACCTTTATCGTGTTGAGGTAGTTTCCTCTGTTCCTAGTTCGCTGAGTGTTTTTACCATGGAAATGTGTTAGATTTTGTCAGATGTTTTTTCTTCATCAGCCGAGATGTGTTTTTCTTTCATTCTGCTGATGTGATGCCGTGTGTCACATTGATTCTCCTGGGTTGAGCCACTCCTTGCAGTGCTGGGCTGAGTCCCACTGAGTCACCGTATGCAGCCCTTTGCATACGCCACTGCCTTTGGTTTGCTAAGACTCTGTCGAGGAGGTTCGCGTCTGTACTCATAAAGGATGTGGGTGCACAGTTCTCTTTGACGTCTTTTACGTTCTCAGTGCGTTAATAACACGGTGCGACCGCCATGGAAAGCAGTCTGGCAGCTCCTCAGAAAACTGACTGTAGGGTTATCATATGACCCAGCAGCTCCACTCTTTGGTGTGTACTCCCAGAATTGAAATGGGTGTTCACTTAGGCACTCGCTGACAGTGGTCAGAAAGAATGTCGAAGCAGCTGAAATGAGTGGGTGAACAAGGCATGGCAGATATAGGTAGTGGAATGGTACTCAGTCACAGAAAGGGTTAAAGCACTCATACGTGCCACACGTGGGGGAAGCTGACTCTGTGCCAAGTGAAATGCCAGACACACACAAACTCGTGTGACATGTGATCCGCTCACCGAGAGACAGGCAGGTTGGCGGACACCCGGAGACAGCTGGCAGACTGGTGGCCATCAGGGATCGTGGGTGGTGGGGAAGGACTGCTTTGTGGCCAGGAAGTTCGTTTGTTTTTTTTTCCATACAATGGCTCTAGTAGTGCTTAGAATCTGGCCAAGTAGTGCTTCAGAATCTGAAGTCTTTTAACTTCATTTGAAACAATTTTGTTAGATTCTATTGTGACCGCTCTCGTAACAGCATGCATCTTAAAAAGCTTATCAAAATTGGTGAGTTTTGGGGTAGCCAATTTAATATTGAAGATGGAAGAAAACGTGACATTTTCGGCCTTTTATGCTTTATTTCAAGAAAGGCAAAAACACAACTGAAACACAAAAAAGGCTTGTGCAGTGTGTGGAGAAGGTGCTGTGACTGATTGAATAAGTCAAAGCAGTTTGCGAAGTTTCACGCTGGAGATTTCTCACTGGACAGTGCTCTACAGTAGAGTAGGCCAGTCGATAGCGATCAATTTGGGACATTAACTGAGATCAGTCACCATTATACCAAGGAGGAGATAGCTGATATACTCAAAATATCCAAATCAATAAAGTTATTGGTGAAAATTAAAAATGTATCTTTTATCTTACAGAACAATTTAAATGGACTTCTGGCCACCCCATTAGGTGGGGGTGGTAAGTAGCGGCACGACTTACATAAACATAGCAAAGGCCACTGAGTTGTGGCTTGCTTTAAAACGGTTGATTCTGTGTATGTGAGGTTCGCCCCAGAGGAGAACCCAGTTAAGGCTTCAGTTTGCATCCCCAGGTCTGAAGAAGCGAACAAGGCCTTCTCTGCGGCCGTGCAGATGCACGACGTGCTGGTGAAAGCATGGGCCATGTGGGGCGACTACCTGGAGAACATCTTCGTCAAGGAGCGGCAGCTGCATCTTGGAGTGTCTGCCATCACCTGCTACCTGCACGCGTGCCGGCATCAAAACGAGAGCAAATCGAGGAAGTACTTAGCCAAGGTGAGGCCGAGAGAGTTAGCTTTGACCACAGATTACCCAGTGGCCTTCAGGTGTGGACGACAGCTTAGCTGTCCCACACCTGTGCCGGGCGAGAGGCTTGTTTCGTGCCTTCAGTCTTCATTCTCATCACTCTTCGAAGTTTAGCGTTAACGCTGAGGAAACTGAGGCCTGGACATACTCAGGGTGCCAGGACATTGAAGCAGCAAAACTGAGCCTGGAGTCTGGGTCTTAGGTCTCAAGTCCAATGTTCTCTGTGGGATGAACATATCAAAAGGCCACTGAGTTGTGGCTCGCTTTAAAATGGTTGATTCTGTGTATGTGAGGTTCGCCCGAGAGGAGAACCCATTTAAGGCTTCGGTTTGCGTCCCCAGGTCTGAGGGCACCGTGGACAGGGGTTCCTTCGGAGTGGTGAGGGTCTGCAAGGAGGACGCACATGCTAGACACCCGATAGATTCTGATCTCTCGCCCGCATGGCCATTGCGCGTGGCCCTAGAACCTGTCAGCTCCAGCCGCAGGTCGTGGTGCACCCCAGGATCGTGGCACACACCGCAGGATGGGGTCGTGGTCGCTGGCATTCTTGACCTGTGTTGCTGTGGCAGCGCTGGGCTCAGGACTGGCAGTTGGACGAGTGCCGGCTGCTCGGTTTGGTCTTCCTCCAGTGTTGCTCTGGCCTGTGCCTGCCACGGAACAAATACCACCCAGAATGAGTTCTTGCAGAAAACTTAAGAATAAAGTGTTCTTTACTGTTTTGTCCAATTCAAGATTTGGACGTTTTTAGAACTCCTTGATATGATCCCAAAGTTCGGAATGTACACCATCAGCACATAGTGGTTACAGCCGACAGTGAAACAAACCAGCTGGCATAACATGGAGAAACTACCTAAGTATCTGACTCCAGATCTGCTGTTTTAGACGTCATTGTTTCCACCATCCTGGGCTACCAGGCTGCCGGCCTGTGGTCGACCTGATACTTGGGTGGCTCCCCAAGGTCTGCAGCCAGAGGCGTCGTGTCCTGGAGGGGCACGAGGTGACTGGGGGGAGGGGGCGGGCAGCCTGAGCCGGCTACCTGTTGCCTACTTAGGGCTGCTGGTCACACTGATTAGATCAGCTGGCAATTGGCAGTTCAGCTAAATCTAGAAAAAAAACTTTATTCAGGTGTTTGGTTTTATTTATGTGTTCAGTTGAGCTGTATTGTTGGCCCTTTCGTAGATGTGTTTCTGGTAAAACTACCCTACGTGGCATTTCAGTGCAGGGAGGAGGTCACTGGAAGGCCTCAGGATTTTCATTTAACTCCAGAATCGTCCCTCTTCTCTCAGGTGCTGTGGCTCTTGAGTTTCGATGACGACAAGAACACTCTGGCGGACGCAGTGGACAAGTACTGCATCGGCGTGCCGCCCATCCAGTGGCTGGCCTGGATCCCCCAGCTGCTCACTTGCCTGGTCGGCTCCGAGGGGAAGCTGCTCCTGAACCTCATTAGCCAGGTCGGTGTGACAAGGTGTCTGCGTTCACAGAAAGTCACGTCTTCCTTTCACCGTCTTCTTTCCAGAAAGAAAAGGCACATGTTCAAAGTGTGGAGGATAGGTCAGAGAGACGGGAACATGTACACATTTAGAGACCACTTCATATAAGGCACGGTGACATGTGATCGAAGAATGTATCAGGGCTGAGGTGAAAATCTACTGTAGTGTTACAGTATTAAAATGGAGCTTTCTTGCTTGAATGTGTTGCCACATGAGATGCAAGTAAAATGAACAGGCTGTTAAAACATAAACGCGCTAGAGTGTACCTGGGGCAGGAGTCACAGCGAAAGGTGGGTCTGCTCTCCGTTCTGGGTGGGCTTCAGAGCTTCCCTCCAGAACGAGGCTCACCCGCGACAGTGGAGGTGGCTGCACTTGGCAGAGGTGACGGTTGTGAGCACTGGGGTTGGGGACAGGTGTCGGCAGACAGTTTTCAGGACCATTCTTGGAGAGTGGTTCCAGAATGTTCCTCTCCTGAGAAAGGAGTGGGGTCAGAGGAAGGACCCAAACAGTAGCTGAGAGACACTTCAGTCTGGGACACATGCAGTGCCTTTGTGCTTCCTTTTATGGAATTATAATCACGTACCCTTCTATGAATGAGGCGCGTCGGCACTAGGCGCTTAGGAACCTGCCGCTCTTCTCTCTGTGGGCTTACTTGACCTTTTACACTCAGTGCATCATCTGCGTTGTACCCAGAGATGGTTTTATCTTTTTCCCTAAGAGGAGATAGCTGTGTTTCTGCATACTGGCCTTTTGCTTGGGGTTTATCTGTTGGGATGTAGATTCAGTGTATTTATTTGTGTTGTCACTCACTGAAAATCTGAATGCACATTAGCCATCCACCCTGTGGCCTGTGCCAGAGCGTGGTAACACCCCCTTGGCTTTTTGGAAGGAGCCCTGCACCCCAGTTTGGTGAAGCTGGGTTTTCTCACTGTAACCTGCAAACAGTTCTCTCCTTGCTGTGGTTATGCAGTGTCAAGTTATTCACCAGTGGGCCATCCCACAGTTCCCAGTGAGCTGTGCCAGATGCAAGACTGGAATTGTCTTGTGTCTTCCTGTTTGCCTGCGTGAGGTCCTGGGCCGTGGGCACTTCGCCCCCCTGGGATTTGCTCAGCCACGTGACAGGGTGGTTTCTGTGTTGCTGATGTCCCCAGGTAGAACCGCTGAGACGAAGGTGCTGTGTAGGTCTTGCTTGGATCTTTAAAAGCTGCACCGGATGTTTTACTGGCCATTTAACCTGTTAAACCGGGCGTTAGATTGGGGCGCAGCACTAGCTAGCTTCCTTGGCCCGAGTGTGGATGGCGGCCCATTCCTGGTTCATGTCAGTTGCTTTGGTATGAACTGACTTGGTGCAGAAGCACAGTGGGGGGCAGGCTTTTCATTGCTCTGTGTCTCTGAGCAGGTTGGACGAGTGTACCCCCAGGCGGTCTACTTCCCCATCCGGACCCTGTACCTGACCCTGAAGATAGAGCAGCGGGAGCGCTACAAGAGCGGTACGTCTTGGCCAGGCTGGGCGGGCTTGTTCCTCGGGCCACCTGTCCATCTGCTGTGGACACACGCCGGCCCACAGCTGGCTGACTTCCTGGGGGGGGCTGGTCTTTCTTCAGCCCTGAGTCTTCAGCCCTGAGAGGGTGGCTGGGGACCAGAAGACAGAGCCTGATCTCTTGAGTAAACTTCACGGTTCTCCTTTGCCACTGTGTGATTGGATGTCCGTTTATCGAAGTGATTTGTTCCCTAAATAGAAATCACTTAGGGAGTTGTTAACTATAGATAATTACAAATGACTTGCCTTATTAGTTGTAAGTACATTTTGGTAAGCGGTATAAGTGTTTATTACTGTATTTACGTTATTTAGGTTATAAGGATTAGCTTCAGCTGTCAGAAGGATCAGCATAGAAATTTGTCTTACCAGATGTCAAATTTACTCAAAATATAATATTTTAAGTCTATGTTAAGTACTAGTATGTAAAGAAATAACTCCCTTAACGGGTTCAGCTGCCCGCTAAGCGCAGCACTTTGTGAACACGTAAAAGACCATGTCGGACGGTCCAGTGCACAGAACGTCAGTGCCGCACGCCCAGGCTGTCTGCGCAGGTGCTCGTGCGGCCAGCGGAGCCCTGCCTGCCCTGCGCTGGGCGGGTTAGGAGCCGGCACAGCACTTGTCGCCTCTGGCCCCCTAGGCTCCCCGGGGGGATTCATGTTTTGGTCATTTGAAAGTTAAAACTTCATTGAGTGAGCTGAAGCTAGAAAAATGGGGTTCAGGGGGTTTAATATCATTTTTCCTGTAGCAAGTGACCATATTTTTCAAAAACATCATTTTACACCTGATTTGGCTTTGCTAGCTGAAAATGTAGACTTGCTTGTTAAATACTTTTAGGTTCTCTGAGCTACACTATAAGGAATGTGTTGCCAAGCACTTTTTCTAGACGTTTAAAAAACGTTCCTGGGCAGGGTCAAGTTGAAAAAGAGAGCGCAGTGAGCACTCGTGTAGCCTTTCCCGGTTCCCTGTCAGCACAGACGCATCCCACTGAACCCAGGGCAGCGGGCTGCAGACACTCAGAACCCCTGTGCCTGAGTCCCCCTGCCCCACCTCCTGAGAACCAGGCCTTCTCCCAGGCAGGCCTGGGAAACGGTCTTGTGGTGTGTTAGCGCACCGGCAGGAACCAGCGTTCCTTTGGCCGGTGGGTCCTCTAGAGCACCAAGCTCTAGCCTCGGTCGGTTTTGTGCTGACATTGGCGTTGTGTGTGTTGCTCTCAGATTCTGGACAGCAGCAGCCAAGTTCAGTGGGTAACCAGTCCCATTCTGCATCAGATCCAGGGCCCATAAGAGCAACAGCCCCCATGTGGCGCTGCAGCCGAATCATGCACATGCAGCGGGAACTGCACCCCACCCTTCTGTCTTCCCTGGAAGGCATCGTCGACCAGATGGTCTGGTTCCGAGAGAACTGGCACGAAGAGGTATTGGGGCGTAATCTTGAGAGTGTCGTTCCGTACGCTTTTGTGGCCGTGTGGTCTTCATGCAGCTGCCTGGTCCTTTCATAAGTTTGTGGTTGAGCTGAGCGATGGGACGCAGCTAAAGTGAAGAGTGAATGTCCGCACACCAGTGCAGCCTTCAGAATTTGAAGTGGGAGGTTTCCAAAGAGGATGAAATTGAGAAGACCATTCCTGCCCTTAAAGTGCTTGCTTTGCTCGCTTGCATGAGCTCAGTCACTTCCACTGCACAGGCTGACCAGGCGGCAACGGTGGGTGTGGGCAGGAGCGGGGGTGACGGCTGACCTCGGTGGCCCCCAGGGCAGGAGTTAGTTCTTCAGTGGTCTTCTCAGCCGCAGGGCCACGCCCATACTGGTTTGTATCTGAGTTGACGATGAAAGAGTCAGCCTTTGTTGCCCCGATACTTACTCCTCAGTGGGCCCGAGGCCCCCGTGTTGTCACACAGCTCTTGTGTGTACTCACGCAGACCTGCGGCCGTGGCCCAAAGCCTCTCTGTGAGGCTTTCCCGGGGTCAGCCAGCAGGGGGGTTGCACGTGGCTGAGGAAGTGGGGTTGTGTCCTAACGTTCAGGGCACGCGCTCCACAGTGCCAGGAAACAGCTCACGGTGTGCAACACGCACAGAGCCTGCCCCCCTGGTGCTGATGCCGCCCTGGGTGGTGGCGGGGCTGTGCTGGCCAGAGGCTTTGGGGCAGGTGCACTGCTGGAATCGTGTGCTTGTATGTGAATTGTGTTTGGTCCCTTCCTGCCAGGTGCTCAGGCAGCTCCAGCAGGGCCTGGCGAAGTGCTACTCGGTTGCGTTTGAGAAAAGTGGAGCAGTGTCCGATGCCAAAATCACCCCCCACACGCTGAACTTCGTCAAGAAGCTGGTGAGCACGTTCGGGGTCGGCCTGGAGAACGTGTCCAACGTCTCCACCATGTTCTCCAGCGCGGCCTCCGAGTCGCTGGCCCGGCGGGCGCAGGCCACTGCACAGGACCCTGTCTTCCAGAAGCTGAAGGGCCAGTTCACCACCGGTGAGTCTGCCTCCGTGCCTCCCACAGCAGGGAGGGGGCCTCGCCAGTTTCCTCGGGCTTTCTCATGTGGCGACTGTAGAGAAATGGATACTGAGTGGTGCACAAAGCCACTCCGAAAAGGACATCTACTGTGTGACGTGTGTTTATGGGATATTTGTGAAACAGCATGCTAACCAGAGATGGAGAGTGGGTCAGTGGTGGCCAGGCGGCCAGGGTGGAGGATGAGGTGGGAGTGGCTCCAAGGGGCTCCGCAGGGAGCCTGGGGATGGACAGGAGGGCGCCTTGGTGGGGGGTGCTGGTCACACCGAGAATAGGCTCGCGCTGGGACAGCTACACCTTCCTTGGCGCCTCCCGTGTCGGTGTGATCGGGCCTTTACTGGTTCCTGGTTCCACCTTCACCTTGGTGACCCCTCCGTTCTTTGCTCTGCCTTTAGCTGCTATCCAGCCTGCAGCAGCCCGGGGCAAGGGGGAAGTGGGAGGAGGCATCTTTGCAGAGTTGGCCGGAGGCTCTGCCCCCAGCAAAGCTGTGAGAAGGGGACAGGAACCTACCCTGGCCCGGCCCACTCGAGCTGACTCGGGGTGGGGAGAGTGCAGGGCAGCCCTCGGAAGGCGTGGGAGGGGGCCTGGCCCCGCTGCCCTCGGCTGGTGTCAGCAGCTGCCTGTGCTGTGTCATGGGGCTGGCCGTCTCGCTCGGCCTCAGGATAATCGGTCCTTGTCAGCACGAGGACAGTGCCCCTCATGGCTCCCACAAATCCCTGTCTCAGACAGAAGTGGTTGGGCTTTTCCTGACCTTTGGGCTCCAGCAAGTTAGGGGGATGAGAATCTGGTCCACCATTGGTGTTCTTCTGGGTGGGCATTGAAGGTTTTTTAAAGGACTTTTGATAAACTCCGAGAACTGCATTGACTGGAGTGCTTTAAATGCTTGGTGAAAGTACACGTTTGCCATTTTTGTCATTTTGATCACTTGCCCTAATTTCTTCTGATGAAGCTGATTTATAATTTCGTTTTCTGGACAGTTTCTCCTTCCACTTTGCCGGATTGTTGTGCGGGTTCTCACACAGGGCCTCAGTTCCCAGGGTAGCGCCTGCTCTCAGAGGTGCCCTCTGCGCGTGGCCGAGGGGCTCCCTGGGTCTCCGCACCATTCCTGAAGAGAGCAGGCTGTGGCGGGAATGAGGGTCTGGGTTGGCGGCCGTCTCTGGCCCTGGGAGAGCCGCCACACCAGGACTTAGCTCTGTCCTTCAGGCCCAGCTGACACGTTGAAGAGCAGGAGGGATTCTGGGGTGTGGTGCCGGACTGGGTAGACAAAGGCCTGTTCCAGCTGGGAGGTGCTTGTGCAGTGATTTTGGGGGTGAACTAGAAATAACCCCGATAACTAAAAACGTTTATTTATATTTTATTTTGAAGATTTTGACTTCAGTGTTCCAGGATCCATGAAGCTTCATAATCTTATTTCTAAATTGAAAAAGTGGATCAAAATTCTGGAGGCCAAAACCAAGCAACTTCCAAAGTTCTTCCTCATAGAAGAGAAGTGTCGGTTTCTGAGCAATTTCTCGGCACAGACAGCAGAGGTGGAAATCCCGGGGGAGTTTCTGATGCCGAAGCCAACACACTATTATATCAAGATTGCTCGGTGAGTGAGCCCGGCCAGGCCCCGCTGCCAACCCGCTTCCTGCAGACAGGCAGTGCCTACGGGCAGCTCTGCGCATGTCAGAGAGCTCAGGGCTGCCCTAGGAGTTGAGTGGCGGGGCCCTGAAGGGTCTGGTCTGACTGGTGGGTTAAATGTCTTGTTTGAGTCAAGTTTGTATTTGTTTCCAAAGGACCTTTTCTGATGGCCCACAGAAACTTGACAAAATCAAGTTTCCTGGTCTTTGTTTATATGCACAGCACAGTATTCGGGCAGATTCAGATGGTTGTAGGTGTAGTGGAGTGTGTCGCATCTCATTGGGAGTGTGAAGAGGGCCGGGAAGAGGCTGCCTTGTCCAGCAGTCAGGTGTCTGGGTTTCTTTCTCTCAGGTGCAGAGCTGTGCTTTCCCACAGTCCCGGGTTTCATTTCCCTTCCCGCAGACCTGACCTGGCTCCTGGCCGGGTTCCTCCCTGACCTTTGTCAGTGGTCAGGGAGGTGACGGTGAGGGCGGGGCCCGTCCATCCCCATGCTGGCTCCTCGGGGTGCCTGTGGGGGCCAGGAGGGACTGTTTTGGGCCCTCCCAGCCTTGCTGCCGCTGTGCTCAGTGCTGGGCTGGTGCCTCATGAGGCTCCTGGAGTTAGGCCCCAGGGCGAATCTTTTGAAAACTCCATTTCATCTTCTGCCTTTTGTTTTCCCTTTGCTGTGGTTTTTCCCTCCTATTGTGATGTAATTGCATGATCTGTAAACCGAGTTAGGGCAGGGGGGGTGTGAATGACTGCTAGTCAGGGGAGGCTCCCGTTCAGAGAAGAGGAGCGGGCTGGAGACAGGCTGTGCTTGTGCTGCAGGTTTATGCCCCGGGTGGAGATTGTGCAGAAGCACAACACCGCCGCCAGGAGGCTGTACATCCGTGGGCACAACGGCAAGATCTACCCATACCTGGTCATGAACGACGCCTGCCTGACGGAGTCGCGCAGGGAGGAGCGCGTGCTGCAGTTGCTGCGCCTGCTCAACCCCTGTCTGGAGAAGAGGAAGGAGACGACGAAGCGGCACTTGTTTTTCACAGGTGGGAGGCTGCACTGGTGGGCACCTAGTAGCGCACATTAGCTGTGAGGGCTTCACGTGCCCTGTCCATCAGCCCCGAGCAGGCACTGAGCTGCACCAGGTAGGGAAGGCCTTGCAAGGAGGACCGGCCCCTGCCTGACCTGTAGGCTTCTCACTGCAAGGTTGGTGCTTTGATGGGTCTCTGGAAAAGGAGGTGCTGTGCCTGGGCCCGCTGCCCCCCAGAGCCCTCCCCTACCCTGGGCTCTGGTGGAACCCAGACTGAATGGAGGCTTTGTCCCGGGTCCATAACCAGGGCACCTCATTGTGCGGGGAGGCCTTGGACTCCTGGACCCCACACGGCTGCACGTGGGCACTGCCCGAGCTCGCCTTCAGGGAGCGAAATACAAGCCTCGGGCAAGTCGGGGTCCTGGAAAGGCCACAGGGGTCACAGGTGGGTGGTAGTCAGCAGCACCCAGGTGAGGGCTTCCCGTAGCTGAGTTGTCCCTGGCTATTCGTGAGGGACCTGTGTCTGTCCATAACAGGAATAGATGAGACCTGTCATCCCACCCAGAGAAGAAAACCGTTGGTAAAGAATTTCAGTGTTAAATATTTGTGTTTAGGAGCCCATCACAGTGCATTCTCTAGTCGTATGTGTGGCTTTCTTAAATTCAGTCTCGCCAGAACAAGATGTCAACAGAAAGCTGTGTGCATTTTGACGTGTGTGATACGATCTCTAGTGTTGGTCCCAGCCATGGATAGTAGATGGTTCTTTCCTTCTTCCAAAGCTACACACTCGTACAGACCACCCAGTGGCAGTCCACGTGTGCGTGCGTGCCCTGGAGCCCTTGTGAATTCCTTCACTGTTGGAAGCCTGGCAGCACGCCAGCAGCTATGGTTTGCCTGGCCCTCGACCGAATGCACTGTGTGCAGGGCACCAGAGCTTCTGCGTGCACCTGCTGACAATCCGGGCAGGTGGTCCTGGCTGCTGCTGCCCTGCACAGCGGCACCTGCACGGTGGGCAGTCTCTGTGTCCTTTTTTAAGATTCCTGCTAAAGAATTTCCGTCTAGCTGTGTCTAAGCACGGTGACGGCAGCTTGGGCTCCATCCCCGGCGCTTGGAGCTCCACTCCAGCTGTGCTCCCTCAGTGTGCAGAGTGTGACCAGAGTTCTTCTGGTTTTGGCCCATCCTGCTGCCTCTGCTCCCAGGACACGCCTGAGGCTGAGGCGAGTGCCGACCCTGGCTCTTCTCTCAGCCGCCCTGTTTCTCTTGCTCCTCTCTCCTCAGTCCCGCGAGTCGTGGCAGTGTCCCCACAGATGCGCCTCGTGGAAGACAACCCCTCATCTCTCTCCCTTGTGGAGATCTACAAGCAGCGCTGTGCCAAGAAGGGCATCGAGCATGACAATCCCATCTCCCGGTACTACGACAGACTGGCCACCGTGCAGGCACGAGGGACGCAGGCCAGCCACCAGGTGCGAAATCAGGACAGGCAGGGTCCCAGCTGCGGCCCGAGGCCTCAGCCGCCTCTGCAGTGGTGCTTCCGTGACGGGTGCTCAGGAAGCGTGTGTGTGTGTGTGTTGGGGGAGAGGGGAGAAGTTCCACCTTGGATTGTGAGATGGTAGAAATGACGTGATCATGGACTTGGTGAAGGGACATTTGCTGCAGATCAGTTGTTCTAACAGGAAAAAGAGGTAAGTTTTAACCTTGGAGAGGTTCCCAGTTCTTTACCTGCCCTTACAAAAAACAATCCAGAAACTAGAACTTTAAACATTACTTCCTGGCAAACTTTCTGGCAGCCACACCTGGTCTACTTGATGTAAAGCTGTTTGTCTGCTCGGTGCTCTGGGCACTGGGCGTGTGGCCTGTGCTGCTGCGTTTTGTAAACCGCAGAGGGTGACCACTGAAGCTGGGGCCTGGCTGTCCGGGTCCCACAGACTCTGCCCGCACCCATTGCAGGGACAGAGCTCCCTCCTCACCTGCGGGTCCTGGCCTGTGGTGGACAGCAGGGCAGGTTTGGGCTCGAGATGAGAAGGGCTTGTGTGGGACCATGGGCATCACCGTGGGGCAGCTGCCTCGGCTTGGTCCCCGGAGGCCGCAGGGGCCCTTGTTGTGCTGCCTGGGAGGGCCTCTCGGGTCCTGGGAGTGACAGGGCTGGAAGTGGCGGCCTTACCTCCATCCCCCTGGGGGCTCGGTCTGTCTGGGTTCCGAAGGACTGGACTCTATGGCAGTGCTTCGTGCAGGCCGAGCCCAGGTGGTTCAGGCCACGGGTCCGGGGCAGCCTCCACCTTGGTGCTGGCAGGGCCAGTGAGGTCCCTCTGTCTGGCTGGCTTCTGGGGACAGCTCATCCACCTCCCTTGCGAATCCATGTCAAGTCCTCATTGGGGCCCAGGTCACTCTGGACCACGGGGAGTTTTGAGGTGTTTGTGGGAGATGGATGGATGGTGTGTGCTTGAGGCTATACTCACCTTTGACAGTGTGGGGCCCTCGGCCTCTGTTTGCACATATGTGCCCTGTCAGAGCTCTTGTCCTTCTGCGAACAGCACATCTGACGGACGCTGTCTGGACGAGTGCAGTGTTGGGTCGTGCTGGGCCCGCGAGAGGCAGCCCCAGCTTCACGCCCTCCTCTTCCTTTGTGTGCCCCAGTTTGCTGCGTTATTAACTCTCCTCCTTTGTTCTTTATGTTTTTACAACTTTTATTGCGATATAATTCCTGTGCCATGGAATTCCTTCACTTTTAAAATGTACAGTTCTGCATGTACAGAATGCCCACAGCTGTGTGGTCATCACCGCTGTCTGCACCACATTTTGTCAGCCCCATAGAAACCTCACACCCACCTGTGGTCACCCTGTTCCTCTCTGTCCCCTGCCCCTGGCAGCCATAGTCTTTTTATCCCTGCACGTGCCTGTTTTGGACACACCATGTGAATGGAATCAGGCAGTAGTTGGTGTTGGTGGCTGGCTTCTTAGCTTACCCAGGGCTCGTTCATTTGGTAGCATGAGTCAGCAGTTTGTGCCTTCCTGTTGCTGAGTAGCGTTCCTCTGCATGCACATTGCACATTTAAACTGCCCGTCCATCAGTCGATGGACTTTTGGGTCGTCTGTGCTTTTCCGGTAGGACAGCGGATGCTGCTGGGCACGTCTGTGTGCGTGCTTCTGTGTGGACATGCTTTTTCACTTCACTTGGACGCGTAGGTCGGAGTAGACCTGCTGGGTGGATGGTGGCTCTGCCATGTGTAACGTTTTGATGAACAACTGCCTGTTTCCCGAAGTGGCCCCTGCGGATGCGGGTGCTGAGTTCCCACATTCTTGTCCGTGCTTACTGTCATCTGCCTTTCTCACTTTGGCTCTCCCAGTGGGTGTGAAGAGCTGGCTCCTTCTGTTCGTGAGCAGTAATGCTGCGCGTCTTTTCATTTACTAGCTGGCTATTTGCATATTTTCTTTGGAGGAAAGTCTATTCAAGGCCTTTGCTCATTTTTAAGGTGGGTGATTTGTCTTTTTATTGTTGATTTTAAGAATGCTTTGTATGTTCTGGGTATAAGTAATTGATACAAGTAACTTTTGTCTTTTCTGAGTATTGGCTATCTTTTCCTGATTGCGTGTAATAATTTTGTTGACAACTGAACATTTTAAATGATGTAACTATTTAAAACAATTATTAAATAATATAATTATTAACTAACACAATTATTTAAAAGCATCTAGAAGGCAGACCCTCCTCCCCCTGGGTTTGTTGTCATTGCTGGTTTGTCAGGTGCAGCCATCGAGGCCGCCGCTCTGGTACAAGCTGTTTGATGAAGGTGGTCTCAGGTGCCTTGAACCAGTGAATCTCCTACTTTTCTGAGGGCCCACGCATGCGCACGTCTGTGCGTGTGTCTCACGGCACACCTTCAGCACGGTCCGGGGGTGTGCCGCTGCCTGGCCTTCACTTCCCGCTTGTGCAGGTCTCAGGGTCCACCAGGAGTGAGCGCACAGGGGCTGCCCAGGGTGTCCCTGAGCGTGGGCGTGGCCGTCTAGGCTCCCAGGACCTTTTCACAGCCCTCTGTCCTTTTGCCCCCCAGCTCTTCCTCTGGTCTGGCTGCCTCTGGGCACCGCAACTGGCGTCGGGGCCTCTGCACCCTCTGTGCAAAACAGTCATTACAAATTGTTTTCAGCAGTTGCCTCAAACAGGCTGTTCCTCACTGAGTGAGCCCTGCGCGCACTTGGAGACTAGCCTGATGGGGGACTTTTTTTCAGGAAACTGCCTGACAGGTCCGGTTGGGATCGTCCCCTGGGACTGAGGCTTTCTCTGGGATCACAGACCCATTCTGCTAACTGCTTTGCCTGCTAGTTCCTGCAGCTGCACCGCATCCAAGGCTGTTCTGGAGCTGTGGACAAGGGTGGGATACATGACTTAAAGTGCCATAAAGCTTGCCCTGACCAGGTGGCTGGTGGGTTGGAGCACTGTCCTGTAACCAGAAGGTTGTGGGTTTGATCCCTGGTCAGAGCGCGTACAGGGGACAGTCGATCGCTGTTTCCCTTTCTCTCAAATCAATAAAACATATCCTTGGTGAGAACTTAAAAATAATAAAAATAAAATGCTGCAGACCTCATTGCTCTCACCAAGATCCACCTTTATTTTATTGACTAAGAGATGCTTGGAGTATTGTAAGCTTTGGTTTGATGTCTAGAGTTCAGGAAAAGATTGCGTGATTTTTGCCAGTGTTCTGATTGCTTTTACAAAGGAGCAGATTTTGAAAGTCCACACTCTGCTCTCCCAGAGTCGCTCCTTTGCATTTCACAGATAAGGACATGAGCAGGACGGGGATGTGGGCCAGCAGGCTGCATGGCGCCTGGTGGCCTGGGGCTCGCACTCTGGTGGCTGCACAGAGAACGCAGCAGGGCTCAGCCCAGAGCGGACCTGTGCCGGTCTGTCCAGCGGGACCCGAGTTACTTGGTGAACCTCTCACTGGGGCCGACGCTCAGCTGGTGATGTTTCAGACCGTCTTGTGAGTGTTCCGGCACAGGGTCCAGTTTGGAGTGCAGTGTGGCATTTGCTCTGATGGCAGGCTGCCTCCTTCTGTGCATGGAACTTTGTAAGAGTCTTTGTTACGAGGTGGTGGTGTTGGTTTCTGACCATTCTTTTGTTCATTTTGTTAACTGGCCTGGCGTGTTCTGTGGTTAGTAAGGTGCAGGTGTGCAGGTGTTTGTGTGAACATTTGGTGAGACTGATGTCACATTTAGTCGTGAACAAAGGCTTCTGTGGAGGCAGCTCTGTCGTCACCTGGAGCAGGAGATGCGGACCCTGGAGGGAAACCGAGCACTCTGTGTGTCCTGAGCCTGGTCCAAGGACACTGCGTGCGTGTTTGTCAGCACAAGGAGCTTTGCTGGTGCTGTGTGAGACATTAGTTTGAGAGTTTCTGTTTGAAGGAAAAAAATGGAGCGTTAGGTGGAGCATTAGAATCTTGGCATGATACACCATTTCAGGTCCTGCGAGACATCCTCAAGGAGGTGCAGAGCAATATGGTGCCCCGCAGCATGCTGAAGGAGTGGGCCCTGCACACCTTCCCCAACGCCACCGACTACTGGACCTTCCGGAAGATGTTCACCATCCAGCTCGCACTGATCGGCTTTGCGGAGTTCGTCTTGCATTTAAATAGACTCAACCCTGAGATGCTGCAGATCGCTCAGGTAATGTTGGTGTGAGCAGGCCGACCCTCTCTGTGAGGAGATGCCTGCGTTCTCTGTGTAAGTCGCTGACACATCCCCTCCCGACTTTTAGGACACCGGCAAACTGAACGTTGCCTACTTCCGGTTTGATATAAATGATGCGACTGGAGACTTGGATGCCAACCGTCCCGTCCCTTTTCGCCTCACCCCCAACATTTCCGAGTTTCTGACCACCATCGGCGTCTCGGGCCCCTTGACTGCCTCCATGATTGCGGTTGCCCGGTGCTTCGCTCAGCCAAACTTCAAGGTAGGCTGTGGGGTTGTCGGCCAAAAGCCGGGCTAGGGTGGCCTCATGGGAAGTGCGCTCGAAGAGGGTGGGCTGCTGTGCAGCTAAGGTGTCTTGTCTTGGGAAGCAGGGTGTCAGGCGTGTTCGAGGTGCTCAGGAGCCTACTTACAAGGGGAACCAGCAGCCTTCACTGGGCTTCTCCCCAAGTGTCAGCATGGTGTGTCCGCGGGGTGCGCTGCACTGCATAGCGCCTTCTCTCTGTCACTCCATAAACTCCGCTGCTCCAAATGGCAGGAGGGGCTTGCAGGGTGGTGCCGTCTCGCTCGAGCTGTGGTGACAGGCACATGGACGAGGCTGCGAGCTGGCAGCACGCCCTCGGCCACACTCGTGTGGCCGGCACCACACTGGCTGCTGAGGTTGGTCCTCATCGAGTCTCACGACTCAGCAGTTGTGCGGATGGGGAAACTGAGGCCAAGGAAGGTGAGTGGCAGGTAGAGGTCATCCAGCCAGGGCTGGACACACAGGATTCAGAGCCACTTCATTCTGATTCTGAAGTTTTCTCTTCACAGTTGAGGACAGGACACAATGTGGTTTTTTGTTTAACTTATGAGACCAGCTGTATCTTTTTTCCTTTTTCTTTTTTTTCTCAGATAGGGAGTCTGTGCCTAGAGAAGTCTTCAGACACTTGTTTTCCCAAAACATTCACTTGGAATAGTTTTGAATCACTCAGTAAACTGCTAACGGGGAACAGGACTTCACAGGTCACACAGGTCGTGCTCTGTGCGCGTGTGCATGTGTGTCTCATGGGACGCTGCTTGGGGTGTCGGGTGGACTCGTGTGGACGTGCGTAGAAGTGAATAGCCAGTCACTGCTTCTCGAGGGCAGGGCTTGTGCTCTACTGCGGTGGACTCTGTTCCCTGCTGTCCGTTTGTGCTGGCGACCTGAAATGCATTTTTGGTTAGAGAGAAACGTTATACTTCTGGAAATAATTGTAGGGCAATCCTTAGAATGTTAGAATGGCATTTAATTTGAAAAGTCTGAAGAGAATGAAGAAAGCGCTCCTTACTTGAAGTTAGTCTCCCATTACAGTTGACATTCAGTGTTTGTTAGTGTCGGGGTGCAGCATAGCGGTCATTTACGTAATGTGGGAAGCGATGGCCCTCGTGGGCCTAGTGCCCCTCTGGCACTGGATGCGGTTATTTGTGGTTTCCACCCCTGCGCCTGTTCTGCGACCAACAATTTGTGCTCCTCAGTCCCTTCACCTTTCTCACCCAGTGCCCCGGCCCCTGTTCCGTCCGGCTATCGTTCAGTTCACTCTGTTTCCGCTCCGTTTGTTCATTTCGTTCTTTAGATTCTGTGTTAAGAGAAACCCTATGGTATTTGTTTTTCTGTCACTTATTTTGCTTAGCATACTGCTTTCTAGGTCCATCTATGCTGTTGCAAATGGCAAGATTTCCTTCTTTTTTGCAATGGTCTGTTGCACATGTGACCTACAGCTTTTTATCTGCTTGTCTGTCCATGGGCACTTGGGCTGCTTCCACATCTTGGTTGTTACAAATAATGCTGCAGTGAACACAGGGGTGCATACATCTTTTTGAATTAGTGCTTTGGATTTCTTTGGGTAAATACCCAGAAGTGGAATTGCTGGATCCTGTGGTAGATCTGTTTTGATCTTTTGAGGAACCTCCACACTGTTTTCCATGGTGGCTCTACCAGTCTGCATTCCCACCAGCAGTGCAGGAGGGTTCCCCCTTTCTCCACGTCCTCGCCAGCGCCTGTCGTTTGCTGGCTTACTGGCTCTCCTCAGTTTAAAGGCCTGTTACAGCTTGGGGTGACGCCATGCATTACTCATTGCGTACACTGTGCTGGTGCAGATGGGAAGGAGTTGGGCCTTCTCCACGCTCTGGGCCAGATTTCTCCACAGCCTGACTGTGGTGAATGCCTTCACATTCGGCTAAAATGTAGACCATTCTGTGTGGGAATCTCCTCTCAAAAAACACACTGTCAGCACCTGGTAACAGAAGTGAAACCCTTCACGTGTCATGTGAAGTCACTTTGGAACAGTCCTGGCGCCTGAGATGAAGGCGCTCAGCGATCTTTGAGGCCACGGTGGGTTGTTGCTGGGTGGCCTAGTCCCTGAAGATGCGCGAGATCTGTAGTCAGTCTGCCTCCTGAGCGACTCTGCCGTGTCTACCAGTGCCCTCCTCCCTCCCTGGTTCCCTGCCCTGCCCCTGCAGCCTGGCTCTCTGGGGCACTTGCTTCCTGTCCTGCAGAAGCAGCCCCCAACCCCCACCTCCTGCTCCCTCCCGTGAGGACAAGGTGCCTGGCTTCCTGACCCTGGCAGCAGCAGCAGCAGCCTCTGGCCCCGCCCTCTCTGCTCCCTGTGCCTTCAGCTCAGGGTCCCTGGGTGGTTGGTCATCCTGCTGCCTCTGACCTCACTTGCCCGCTAAAAGCCCAGCTCTCGACTCTTCGTGGCTCGTAGGAGACAGGCGAGTGCAGGGGCCCCCACCACAGTGTCTGGCCCTGTGAAAATGGAATGCCAGACGGTGTGGCGCGTGCGTGCGTGCCTGTGTCTTCAGTCTGTGCCCTGGGACTTGCCCCCTTTGTGGCCTCCAGCTCTGTGTCCCCGCCTTCAGCGGTGCCCTCATTAGCCTCTTCACGAGGAACAGCAGCCGGTGGGGGGCCACCCCTCGGGCCCTGCTCCCCAGCATCAGGAGGGGGTCTTGGTGGTGTCCCGCTCTGGACTTACATTCGCTCGTCTTTAGCCTTCACGTGTTTTGAGGAGAGAGGCTCTGTGAGTCTTCCCTTCCATGGAAGGGGAAGCCTCGGCACTGAGGGCAGAGCAGGTCGGAAGGGGTGGGGCGAGGGCTCTCCTGGGCCACCAGCGCCCCCAAGTGGGCTCGCACGGCTCAGGCCTCTGTGTGCGTCCCTTGTCCCAAGACACTTGCCTTGTAGCATGCACCTGCATTGCACCTTGGGTCCTTCCTATTTGTCCTGTGACCTCCTCACAGACCCCTGAGACCCCTCCAGTCCCCCCCCTCACCTGCTCTCCCCCGCCGTACCCACTGCCACCTCCTGCAGTTCAGGTTGTGTCTCCTCTTCTCTGTCCACTCTTAGCTGCAGGCCCTCGCAGGCGCAAAGGGATATGGGCCGAGCAGAGGGGCAGACAGGCTGGCCCGGGGAGCAGCATGCGGCGGCAGATCCATGTGTCCCTCCGTGGAAGACCAGACAAGAAGCTGGGGCTCGATGCTGAGGCGTGGCGGCCGCTGCTCCCTGTGGAGGAGGCTTTGCCCGAGCGGTTTCCCCCGCACACATGGGGAGGGGGGCCTGGGCTGGTTCTCCCTGGGCAGCCGCCCCTGGCCCTTCCTGCTTGAACACGGACTCTTCCGTTCTCCCCTCGCACAGGTGGACGGCATCCTGAAAACTGTGCTTCGGGATGAGATCATCGCTTGGCACAAGAAAACACAGGAAGACACCTCCTCGCCGCTCTCGGCCGCTGGGCAGCCGGAGAACATGGATGGCCAGCAGCTGGTCTCCCTGGTGCAGAAGGCCGTCACGGCCATCATGACCCGCCTGCACAACCTCGCCCAGTTCGAAGGCGGCGAAAGCAAAGTGAACACCCTGGTGGCCGCCGCCAACAGCCTGGACAACCTGTGCCGCATGGACCCGGCCTGGCACCCCTGGCTGTGACACGGCTGCTCCTCCTCCCTACCCGCTCCCGGAATGTGAAGGGCACCTCCTGGGCTTCCCGCTCCGGGCTCCCAGCTGGCTCCTCCCCTGGGTCACGTGATCCGGAAGTCCTGGTGCCGGCACTTTGCTGGCCCTGTGCTTGGGAAGGAGGGTGGTTCAGCCGGGAGTGCTGAACTGTGGGGAGGCGGCTCCAAACGCCAGCACAGATACCACTCTAGGTTTTTAAAATAACCTCTCAGGAAGGCAGGCCCCGCCTCGGCTCCTGTGTGGGTCCCCGTCCCTCCCTCTGGGTGAGCAAGCAGCCGGCCTGCGGGGACGGTTCCTGGCGTCATTTGTAAGGCGCAGCAGCGACCCCTCGCAGGACCTCCATGACGACTGCGCGGAAACCCGCCTGGTCAGAGAGGGGAACTGGGGAGCAAACCTCGCTGGTCCGGCTGGAGCACACACCCCCGTGCTGCACGGATCAGCGCTGGGCGGCCCCTCGGCCTCTGACAGGCCTCCGGGCAGCGCTGTCCCTGTGCCGTTGGGTGGCCCCGCCGGAGAGCCAGTGTGGGCTCGAGCTTCTTACCGGCCGGCTCTCTGAATGTCTTCTAGACGTTTACTATCATTATACCCCCAAATCACCTCTTTCTTCCTAATTTAAAAAGAACAGCAACAGAAGTTTGTCTGTTAACTCCAGTCTGTGTTCACATTTTTATACATATGAGTATTGAGAATGTTCTATCTAAATTTGTACAGTGTGATTTTTTTAGAATAAATATTTTATAAAAGGATGCATTGCCTGTTCTATGTTAAAACGCCTGCTCCTCTGAGGTGTTTCCTCTGCTCGCAGGGACTGGACGGCCCCTGGCCCGTGTGGGCCACTCCATGGTGACACCTTCGTCCTGCCTGGAGCTCGGGTCTGAGCCAGGTGGTTTGTGACCGTGACTCGCAGGCTGGTCGGCCTTTGGTGGCGTGAAAGCGGGCCCAGGAATCTGGTTCCTCTCGGCTTTGTTTCCACATGTCAGGGACGTTGCCCTGTAACCTGTGTGTGTGGATAACCTGCGTGTGCATGTAGCCTGCGTGTGCAGATGGGAGGTGGCTGGGCAGGCAGCAGCTCCATGTGGCTGGAGGCCTCCAGCGCCCCCTGCAGGGCTGTGTCCCTGGTTGGAGCATCCATACCTCAGCTCCACCAGCTCTTGTCCTTCCTCTGGTGTCCTAGCACCTGAGGGAGGGAATGGACAACACAGAGCCACTGCCCTGGGGGATGTGGGAGGGACAGTCCCCTTGGGCAGTCTGTAATGTCCCAGGATGAGAGATCATGAAGCAAGACAGAGAGGGCTGGTGGTGTATACTTGATTTCTAAGAACAGTTTTGAGTTTGAACGGACTGTCCCCACTGGGAAGGGCTGCCTCAGGACAGTCTTCATACAACATGGGCTGGTCGGCAAGGCCCCTTTGGGGTCAGGGCTCTGGCCGTCTCGGGCCCTGGACTCCCCCAGGCTGTGTTGTGCCCACTCTGGTCCCTGGCATGCCAGCAAGTGTGGGGTGAGCCCGTAGCTGCTCTTGCTTAGTCCCACCACAGCCCAAGAGGCAGGACCCCGGGTGGTCTTGAAGCGCCAGACGGTGGTCATGCTGGGTCATGACCAGGCTGCCAGCCTATCTGCGGCAGGGACCCCTTCACATCTTTCAACCGATCTCCTGTCCTCAGAGGTGGGTGGGTCCCTTTACAGAGAAGGGATTTCCAGCTCAGGGTGAGCAGCTCACCCTCCGTCCCAGAACCAGTTGTGGAGAATCGGGTGGAACGTTGTCCTCGCCACACCTTTAGACGTGGACGGAAGTCAAGGGACCAGGTTTTGTCCATCTGACCTGACTCTGATGACTGTACGTTATTTTACAATCCCTGGGAGGGCTGTCCGTGAGAAAGTATCTTGGGTTCAGATGACAAAAGCCGTGTATGTAAAATGACAGGTGGTGGCAGACCGGCAGCTAGGAAGTGGCGTCTGTAGACTGCATGCCTGAGGGGTGCAGGTGCCTCTCCCTGTTCTCACTGTGTGTGCAGCCTCCTTGCAAGCCTGGCATTGGGAGTCCTTTGGCCCCCTGAGCCGTGACGTGCCTTTGCGCCCTGGGAGGGAGGCATGAGTGGCGTTTGGGCAAAGGAGGCCCAGAGTCCAGGTCCTGGTGAGGAGGCTCGCCCACACCCTGTCCAGGCACCAGCTCTGGTTTCTTGGAAAACCAGCCTTGGCATAGCGGGGGCAGGAGAGGCATCCCCCTTGGAGGTCCGCTGTCTCCTGAGCTCCGTCTCTAAGTGGCCTCATCACGGACCAGGCTGGCGCCTCTAAGGCTGTGAGCCGCGGCTTTCTCATGAGCAGCGCTGCTGTGAGCTGGGCCCTCGGAACGAGGGCGTCAGGAAAAGGGTTCGGGGGCTCCTGACCTTGAAACATGATTTCCAGGTGAGTGCTATTGTTAGACATTATTGTATTTGTTTGTTTTTATTGCTCAAGGAATGCATTTTTTAAAAAACATATTTTATTGATTATGCTGTTACAATTGTCTCATTTCCCCCCTTCATTCCCCTCCACCCTGCACACCCTCTCTCCCCCACGCCCCCTTTAGTTCATGTCCATGGGTCATAAGTTCTTTAGCTTCTACATTTCCCATACTATTCTTTCCCTCCCCCTGTCTAAGTACCATCTATGCTACTTATTCTCTGTACCTTTTCCCTCTCTCCTCCTCCCACTCCCCTGTTGCTAACCCTCCTTGTGATCTTCATTTCTGTGGTTCTGTTCCTGTTCTACTTGTTTGCTTAGTTTTTGTTTTTGTTTTAGGTGTGGTTGTTAATTGTGAGTTTGCTGTCATTTTACTGTACACGTTTTTTATCTTCTTTTTCTTAGGTAAGTCCCTTTACCATTTCATAAAATAAGGGCTTGGTGATGATGAACTCCTTTAACTTGACCTTATCTGGGAAGCACTTTATCTGCCCTTCCATTCTAAATGAAAGCTTTGCTGGATAGAGCAATCTAGGATGTAGGTCCTTGCCTTTCATGAATTGGAATACTTCTTTCCAGCTCCTTCTTGCCTGTAAGGTCTCTTTTGAGAAATCAGCTGACAGTCTGATGGGAACTCCTTTGTAGGCGACTGTCTCCTTTGCTCTTGCTGCTTCTAGGATTCTCCTTCATTTTTACCTTGGCTAATGTAATTATGATGTGTCTTGGTGTGTCCCTCCTTGGGTCCAACTTCTCTGGGACTCTCTGAGCTTCCTGGAGTTCCTGGAAGTCTATTTCCTTTGCCAGATTGGGGAAGTTCTCCTTTATTATTTGTTCAAATAACTTTTCCACTTGTTGCTCTTCCTCTCCCCATTCTGGTACCCCTATAATTTGGATGTTGGAACGTTTAGAGATGTCCTAGAGGTTCCTAAGCCTCTCCTTATTTTTTGGAATTCTTGTTTCTCCATTCTTTTCCGTTTGATTCTTTCTTCCTTCCTTCTGGTCCATTGCATTGATTTGAGTCCCAGTTTTCTTTCCATCACTATTGGTTCCCTGTGCATTTTCCTTCATTTCATTTAGCGTGGCCTTAATTTTTTCATCTAGTTTGCAACCAAATTCTACCTATTCTGTGAACATCCTGATCACTAGTGCTTTGAACTGTACATTTGATAGGTTGACTATCTCATTATTAATTAGTTGTATTTGCTCTGGGGCTTTGATCTGTTCTTCTGTTTGGGCCTTTTTGGGTTGTGCCTGTTTACCAGGGTGGGGCAACCCAGTGACTGGGTTGTGACACTGTATGTGGGGGTGGGGTCTGAAAGGGAACAATGGTGCTTGCTCCGCTCTCTGATTTCAGTCCCTTCCACCGCTTCCCCCAAGCAAACTGGGCCCTTCTGGTGCTGATTCCCAGGTGGGTGGGTTTGTGTACATCCTGGGACCCTGTGAGTCTCTCCAAGAAACTTTCCTGTGAGTCTGGGAGTCTCTCCCAGCACCTCAGCCCCCACAGGTGTTTTCAATCGTTGTTTTGAGGCTTTATTTCCCCATGCTGGAACCCTGGGTTGCACGGTCTGTCTGGATCCTCAGCCTCGCCTGGTTTATCTGCGCACGAATGTGGGAGTGCCCGGTCAGCCAGCCGCCTTGCATGCAGTGCCTCGTTTCACAATTACCACCTCACTGAGGCTGCCCGTTGCCACCCTGCACCCGGGGTCTACCAGCCACTGCTTTTTGTGCCTCGACCCCTCTCCGCCTGGCTGCCCAACTCCACCCCTCCTACCGGTCTGGATGAATGGGTCTATTTTAACTCCTTGGTTGTCAGACTTCCATGCAATTCAATTTTCTGTCAGTTCTGGTTATATGTTGTTTGTAAATTGTTGTTGTCCTTACTTGGTTGTATGAGAAGGCACAGTGTGTCTACTTATGCCTCCATCTTGGCTGAAAGCCTGAGGAATGCATATTGATTTCAGAGAGGCAGAGGGGAAGAGAGAGAGAGAGACAGAGACATCACTTGGTTGCCTCCAGCACCCGGAACAGGGACAGAGCTGGCAACCCAGGCACGTGCCCTGACTGGGAATCGAACCCGTAAACTTTTGGTTTATGAGATGACCCTCCAACCAACTGAGACACACCAGCAGTTACCGTGGAACTTCGTGCAAATGCCTGCATGTTCTGCTCTTGGAAGAGTTAGTTCATTAGGTAGGAAACAAGCTTTGGGTCTCACCCCCACTGGCAACCGAGGTACCAGGCACTCTGTGGTCTCGTAAAGCCATAAAACGTCCCTGTCTCTATGGTGGTATAGTTAGGTTCCAAAAATATATAGCAGAACAGTCATGAAAAGAGATGTTTTCCCTTTCTTTTCTGAGAGTATATATACGCATATATACATGTAAATGTGTGTACGTATATATGTGTGCTTTTTCTCATACAGATATAAATAGGTATCGGAATATGTCTATGGACACATAGGGCAGAGAGAAAGGTTTACAGTTGTTTGTATGGAAAGTAATGCAATTTTTAATAAATAATAACACAATAATAAATACTGTGTTTCACGTACTCGCAACTGTAAACCTATTGTATCCCCGCCCTGCGTGTGAGGGGAAGGGTGTGGAGGAGTGGGGGTCCTGCCTCCGGTTCTATTGTTAAGCTGGGAGAGGTATCAGGCTGAAGAATTCCAAGCATAATGCTTCCTAAAAAGAGACAATGTAAAAGAAAAACAGTTTAATATATGTAAAGTGTTATATAACAGATACTTAATAAAGTGAAAAATAACATTTAAAAGGATGGAAAAGAATACAGCTTTTATTATAATTAAACCACAAAAAATGACGATGTTATTTCTTATACCAAGCAAAATATTTCAAAAGCCACAAGTGCCCTGATTATACAATGCCTTCTGAGAAGGTGCAAGACATTCTAAGTATACACATAAGCAGTATTGATTTCCAGAATGTTTAATGAAAAAGAGTTGTCGGACCCAGGCCTTGAATTTTTCAAACTGGAAGAAGCCCATCTTGGGGGGAATCTCCAGATAGGCGGGGTGCTGATGTGCCATCACACCTTACAGAGCGCCAGACCGCCCTGCCCCCCTCCCCCCCCAGGAAGTCCTCACCAAGGAGTCCGTCTCCTCAGGACACCTCCAGGAGTCTGCCTCTGTTTTTGGATTCTCGCCTTTATCAGTGGGTTTGTCAAAAGCTGCGTCCGAGGTCTGGGGTGTTTTGGCAGAGTGAGAATCTGCACAGACTCACAGGGAGGCTGCAGAATCCTCGTGGCAACTCTCGGAGACAAACATGGGGAGCAGGAAACACTCGGGGACCACAACTGTCGGAATTCTCCGCAGGGACAGCCCGGCTCATTCTGGAGCACCAGGGACCCTGCACCTCCTCTTGGGCTCCTCAGTGGGCTCTCCACACTTTTGTCCTCTGAATGCAGAACCTTTGCTCAGGCTGAAGTGCCTGCCTTGGGAGCTTCCGACCAGGGTGCTGGGGGATAGGAGACAAGACCAGTTCCACAGCCAACTATAGACAAAACAAAAACAAAAACAAGAACCCTAGAAATAATCCTCAGAAAATGACGCTTCAATGTTAAATTGCCTTCTAATCCCAACCCCACGTTTCAGTTTGGTCTTCTGAAGAAATGACTTCTCGTTTCTCAACCGGATAAAACACGTTGATGGTGTAGTCCCTGAACTGAACCCTGGGAGAGGAAAAGGAGGGCTGGAGACCAAACCGCTGCAGCAGGGGAGCATGATTTTTCAGCAATCGTTAGAAAGCTGAAACAACCCTCAGACACGTGACCCCCTCGGCCAGCACGACCAGGAATCGAGGTCTAGCCAACGCGGGTATTTAAGAAGCGCCTGGAGCGGAGGACGTTTGCAGCCCGCGACACACAGGCCATTGCAATCAGTTCCCAGTTCCCAGTTCCCAGGAAGAGGCAAAGCACGTAGTTGCTTCACCTGGGGTGGGGGAGGCTTAAGCTCCAGAAACTGAAAACTGGGGAAGAGGAGGGGACAGTGCCCGACTCCCGAAGTTCATGTTTCCCACGCAGTGGGCGCAGCCCCGGGGAGCAAGCCCTGAAGCCCACACTCCCGCAGTCTCTGCCTGCAATTGGCAGCTCCTGACACGGCCACCACTGCACGGCTCTGCCGTCACGCGACCAGCTGTTCGGCCCATGACCCCGCCTCTCCAGCACACAGCTGGTGACCCTCGGACAAGCACCTCCTCCCGCAGACCTGAGGCTGTGGATAGCGGCGCGCTCCTTCCCAGCCGGTGAGGCACGCCGGGCGCAGCTCCCGGGCAAGGCGGGCACCTGAAGGGCGTGGAGGGGACGAGGACAGAGGAGCGTGGTGGCGGGGCGCAGGGCCCTTCCGCAGGACCCCCTGGATCTGCGGCGGCACGAGGCGACCTCGCCTCGCTTGCTCTACACGAAGCCATCCGACAGGTCCCTGCGGCACCAGGAACTTGCGGCACCTGTGGAGCCGGTTGGGATGGGGAGCCTGAGGATGAACCGCTCATAGCCTGCGCCCCGTGGCAGGAATGAGGGCCATGCGGAGACCGAGAAGCAGGAGAGCACGCGGACCGTGACAATGGCGCTCCTGAGCTCCGGTTGGGGACCATCACCGCCCCCCCCCCAACCCCGCCACACCTCCGCCGCTCCCATCAGCAGTCTCCAAGGCCGCCAAAGCTTCCACTCCGTTTGGCGCGCCTCCAGGCGCAGCCCGCAGGCTCCGAGGGCTGTTCTTGGGGGTCCTGGCGGTGCACCCAAGAGAGTGAGCCTGTGCCCGCCCCCTGCCACCTGCTATGGGCTGCGCGGCTGCTGTCCCCGCTCGCGGCAATCCGCCCCGGAGAACCAGGTCTCGCAGATAGGGACCGCCACTGCCGCCGGGTTCCCTGTGACACCAGGATTTGCACCCCCCTTCGCCCAGCTCACCGCACCCTCGAAGGAGCAGTGTAGTCGCGGAGTTCAGAGCT